GGGGCAAATGCTCTTTAATTTAATCAAACTCATTGACAATTTTACGGTTGTGCATTTTCACATTTTAATGTTTTCAATTTGGACGGATTTTTTTTCCTTTTCCGCAGTATAATTGTCACTCTGTGAAGCTAAAGTGATTGTAAAATATTTAATAGTCTTCTTAAGGGCGAGAGCATCGGCCATAAAATAGTTTAAAGTAATTGCCTTGTCAATGGCGAGGAACAGAAGACGAGGCGATATAGGATGAAAATTTACCAAATATCCTTCTATATAATTCTAAAGGCACACTATCGTCGCTTTCAGTGAGGGAAGAAGAATGAGTAAAAGCGATGTGGAAAGAGGGAAACGACTGAGGAAAAAGAGAAAGAGAGAGGCTGTAAATGTGCAATAGACTCTTGAGATTTTCTCATATTGTGAGGATTTTCCTCTTAGGCACGCCAAATGGATGGGGAACACTATGTATTCTCTCCTCAGTGGGACCAATAATTCCTCTATGTGTGTTAAAAAATATTGCTATTACTACAATGGAATATAAAGGAGAATCGTGTGTGGAGAATATTGTAAAATATAGGCGATGGTTTTTATTTCCATGCCATTGCAAACAAGAAAAGAGAGGAGGGCAAAAGATACACATTTACCGGGATGAAAATCTCCCCACACACACACACACCACAGATGAAAAGCTCTGGCAAGAGCACACGCAGATGAGAGGATCCAAAGATAGTGAATAATGGAGGAAATATCTCACAAAAGGCATAATCCTACTCATATGGGACAAACTTTCCACACACACTCACTCACTTTCTTACCCATAACAATCATTTGCCATCTCATTAACATTTTAATCTCTTCATTTAAATTGTTGCTGAGAGTTGTAACAGAATTCTCTGCTGAAGTGGCTGCTCGCCGTTGCGTTGGTATTACTAATTCCTTTTGCAGAAGCCCTAATTTTTTTTTTAATATCCGCCTTTATGCATAATATTTTCTTGTTTAAATTGGCTACTTAATGGCATTTGAAGTAATCTTAAGGATCATATTGGATAAATTTCACTCGAATTCATAAGAAATTTTCATTGTTCATTCACTATGAATTGGCTTTTATTGGATGTTTTTCAATCTCTAGCTTTTTTTTCAAAATTTCTACAATTTTGCAAATAGGTCAAAATTTTCAAAAGTCCAAAATTCCTTTATCGCGCTTAATAACAAGAAGTAAACTTTCCCAATTTTGCATGCGACACATACAAAGAAATATGAGAATCCAACAACATGATGTGTATTTTGAAGATTCCGCCCTATTTGCAAGATTAGATTGTTTCTCTCTCTATGTTCAAATGTTCTTCCTCTTTATCACCTCTCGTTCTTCGTTTTCCGTTGGGCACTAACATGGCTCCTATTCCACCGGGACTGCTGTGGTCCTAATGTGTGCGCCCTATTCTCTGTGTGTCTAAAATCGCGCCATTGTCCGTTCTTCTAATTCACAGCGGCGGTCGCGGCGTCCACATCATGCCACCAAAGGGCACTGTCGCTGCCGTGCGCGGCGGCAGTGCTCAGCGCCGCGCCGTCTTCATCCTCTGTCACAGCATCCGCATCTGCGAAGGCGGGCGGGTCGGGCGTGCAGCCGGTGCACCAGCGAACGCGCTCACTGCCGCTCACGGAGGAGACGGCCATCGTGGTGCCGATGCCGCGCGTTGTCAATTGCACATGTCCCATGGACGGGGCTCCGAATTCCCTCTGTTCGCACAGAATTCCACATGGAGCCACGCCAGTGTCGGATGGTGGCCATCTCAATAACAACCACCTGCCGCCGTGCGTGGGCAATTGTCCCGAGATGAACAATAATCGCGATCAGCAGCGAGATTTCCCGCCCATCGCGCACCATCACCTTCATCATCACCATCATCACATGTCCACCACGTCCATGGAGAGTATCGTGGAGGATCAGGCGCTGGCCAGTGCGGAGCCGGACGAGAAGCCGAAGAGTGTGGCGCCGACGAGGAAGATCAGTGGCGGCAAGTTCCCAGGAGCTTCCGCCTCCTTCTCGGGCGGATCGCCTCTGTTGATGCGCCGCGCGCGAAATGCGAGCTCGGCGAGGAGTACGTATCTCTGTCTAAAGCCACTCACTCCCTCCCTGCCTCCAAAATGTTGTATATCTCTCTCTTCAACTGCTCCACCGGAAGTTTGTGGCGTGTGTGAGTGTGTGTGAAGCGCCCTGGAAGAGAGTCTTGTGCTGGCCAAGATTGAGTGCAACGCCGCAGAGACTTATCTCTCTCACCTCGAAAGGTGTGAATGGTGCGCGGCTGAACAATTAACATGTTCATTTTCATTGGCTGCACATGAAAAGCCATAAATATTTGATCTGAATAATATCCATAGGATAATGCCATCAAGATGCAAATGATGGCGCAGAGAGAAAAACCTTTACTGATTTGCATAGACATGAACACTAATTACACTTGTCTCACCTTTCAATTCGCATCAGAATGCCCATCGCACTTGATGAAGAAGCTCAAGCAGCAAGATCAAGTCAAATTCAGGACTCGCAGTTAGTTTTTTTTTTTATTTCACATACTTAAAGTGTTAACTTTTAATTATATACACAACATAATTCCCTGAAGTATGTGCAAATTACACTGTAATCCCTTAAATATCTCACAGCATCAACAGGTCGCCCTGAACCACCCTCTCGGCATTACAGAAAATAACACAAGATGTGTGCAGTACAATGATAGGGGGTGAAAATGATGAGAATTGGAATGTTCCCGAAAACTATCAACTATTCGCATAAGATAAATACTCTCACTTTATACATACTCCCCAGCTTAATCGTATATTTTCAATCTTATGCGCATTTTCTGAGACGAGTGAGGGCTCAAGTGTTTGTCACATGTTTATCTCCTTTTGCCGCCACAGTTGGAGTGTTGGAAAAACACAATTTGCAAGCATCCGAAGACATTTCTTCGTACAAGAATGGGCAAAAGAGAGAGAGAGAGAGAGAGAGAGAGTCTCTGTGGCTCTGTTTGCAAGAGAAAATAATCAAGTGCGGTTTTGGGAAAGAGACGGTATTTTGGGAATGTAATTCTGACCCGAAGGGTGGCTTTAGTATTGGGCTTTAGTATGCCAATACAACACTACATAATATTTTCACCATAAGCATTATGTTGTGCTTTCCAGAAGCTCTCCTCCACACTCTGGTTGAAATTTTTCCACTGTGTGATTCCAATTTGTGTGACATCACTATGTTTTTGGGCGGGGGTGCAAAGATGGGAGAGCATCTCTCCCACTGAACTGATATTAGCCAATATTGTGAGGTGGTTTCCATTCTCATTTCTGTCTTGTGTTTTCCTCTTTTTTTTCTTCTTCTTTTGGGGCTTCCACGATACGGTTCAATCGATTTTTGCACCATCGTCATATTTCTAATATTGGTAGGTATATTATAGTTTTTTCCCTTTCACTCTCACACCCTTGCCGATGTTGAGCGCGCGGAGGGGGTTGGTGTGCGCACCCCAATAAATAATTCAAGGGTCTTGCAAGAAAAGCCACACTACTTGAATTTGTTTGCGCCGCACTACTATGTTGCCCTCCTCACTATATTATGTACACTCACTCATCCTATTTACAATTTGTTTCGCCTTATTGTTGTTTACTTGTCTGATTACCCAGTGTATCCATTGGTTTTCGGATATTTGTTGCTATGCCCTGTGAGTGATGGCAGAAGACTCTTATGGCGAAAGCTCATCGACGAGGAGCGATGGAGAAAAAGTTCATTTCACCCCCACCCCGCCCGGAGAGTGGAGGAATTTTTGCCTTCCTTGGGAGAAGCAGAAGATCTTTTTCTTTGCCTGATTTTATTGCGTTCGTTAGATTGAACTTTTTTCCATCGCACCGAACTTTTCTCACTCACCCAGAGCAAATTCACCCTCTCTATCTCTTCTTGCCGCATGCAAAGACATTCCCGGAGTGTCTCTGAGGAGGATACAAGAAATTACCAGTGCGAAGTGCCCGCGAGATTGTGAAGAGAGTGGGTGGAATTGTAACAGAATTATCTTGGTATATACTTTGGGTCGCAGAGAAACATATGTAGCTTTATGCCGTGAGCGCATAACATGGAAAAGTTGAGTGGAGAGAAGTTTTTGCCCTGCGAAATTGAGTTATTAATTTTTATTCTCCTTCATCCCTTTGATTGCGATGATAATCCTTCACTGTGTGAGCTTTTCTCCCTGTGGTTTTATGCGCTGAATTGTTGACATGAGACAGTGGCTGCGGAGTAAAAAGAGTGTGCTTTTTGTCACGCTGAGGGAGCGCCTCGCGAGAATGAGGTTATCACATTACACCACCTCAACACTGTGTTCTTTATTTACTCCCCGATAAGTGATTGTATAGGTTTTTGTAAAAAGCTCTGTTACCACATTAATTTATTTATTGTACATTCTTTGCATATATTCTTTACTGTTTGTGTTCAATAATCCTCTGATGTGACTAAAATTGTCCGAACACGAACTCTTCACAAGAACAGTATGTATAGTGATTGGGAGCGGGACTAACTCTTGATAGTGATTGCGGGATGGTGATTTGGGCACAGGCAAGAAGTGAATCTCACGTTTTTACTATCATACGCAGTGTGTATGTGCAAAATTCCATCTATAATTTATTCCTTGAATGATAAATTGCTGAAATTTGCGTGCAAGTGTGTGTGAGTGTGTGTGAACTGACCTCAATTAAGATGCTTTCTTTCGATTTATTATAACTATTCATTTATCACAGAACCATGAAATTTTTTCCATTGTCATTATTCAAATGACTGCTACAATACAGTAACTTTATTTTCGCATTCCTTCACACCATCCTCATATTCCTTTTGACTATCCAACTTAGCGTCTAAGAGCTTTTTTCACTCTCTCTCGAGAGAAAGAGAGAAATGGAGTGAGAAAATATGTCTCATGGTTGTACTGCGCCCTTGGGGAGATGTGGTCTAATTTCTTCTTGTCTGCCTCCCCCACAAGGTTCGGCCATGAAGAGGGAGCGCTGCGACAGTCTCCCGTCGCGAAATCGCGCCATCAGCGAGAGTAGCCAGCAGAACAACACATCGATGCCACCGCCGAGGTCGATTCCCTCCAATCGCCCTCACTCCATGTACAACCGACACAGCAACAGCCCGCCGGTGAACTCCTGCCCGCTGAGTCCGTCTGGGGCGTGTTCGGAGAGCGACGGCTCCTCGCTCAGCATCGATGAGACTGACGGCTTTGGGCAGTCGCTCACACCGGACGAGTATGGTCACCACTTCCGCAGCTATATGGGGTGAGTAATTGCCTTGCCGGCGAAAGAATCGTCAAGCTCATCTCCCTCCCTCTCTCTCTCTGTTTAGTGGCATGTCGCAGGAGTCGGCGATTTTGGAGGAGAACTCCGACGAGTACTGGAACGGGGACAAGAAGCTGCACTCCATGTACGACAGGAACCACAGGGGAATCACACAGAATGGCACTTCGTTGTCGCTGCCCATTGCCCAGAGCCAGGGCCAGCGGAAAGGCAGCCCGGCGCCGCCAGTGGGCTCTGTGGAAGGGCGCAGCAGCTACATCGAGATGTACAGTCCGTGCGGCAGCTCGCCCGGCGATCCCACGGGCTCCTCTGGGTATCTGCCCATGTCGCCGGGTGTGGACTTCGGCCGAGGCGTGTATACAGGGAGCTCGGGCGTGCACAGTCGTGCCTCGAGTCTGGCTGAGGAGGGCGTGGACGGTGGATCGCAGCACGATCAGTATGTGGACATGGATGCGTCGCATCGACACCATGGCATGAGTGGCATGAGCTCGGCGGCGAGCAGTTCCAGCATCACGTCGGGAACGCCGTCTACGGACACGCGCTTTGCCGACTATCCGCTGGAGAAGGTGTTTGCGCGCTTTACGCCCGATGAGGAGGACAACTCCTCGCGCGATCGACCAATCCGAGCGTATTCGGTGGGCAGTCGAATGGAGCACAACAAGAGGAAGTTTCGCATAGATCTCCTGAACACGGACAATTCGAGCCTTAGAGCTCGGGCGTTCTCTCTTGGGTCGCGTGCCAAAGTGCCACGTTCGGAGCAGTACAAGAGTGGTCACAGCCAATCCACCATTGCGCAGACGAATCTAGCCAACAACAATGGATCGGCCAAAGGTGGGAAAAAGTCCTCGAGTGCACCGATGCTGGACAAGAGGACGAATCAGGAGCTGATGGATGACTTCATGGAGATTGACTTCTCGCGGGGCGACGAAGAGACTCCCACGTCAACCATGCCCATGCCTGCGCTCTCATCGCAGTCCTCAGAGTCGTGCAACTTCCCGCACGACATCACGTACGGCGGCCGCACGGCGGACACCACGGATGGCTATGTGGAGATGAGACCGGTGGCGGTGACGAAGAGTCCCAGCCTGTCCAGTTCTCCTGTGAAGTCGTACATGTCGCCGCGAACGGTGCCGCTGCGATCTCTGGTGAAGAACAACAACAACATGGACATGTCGCCTGTGTTGGGCAGGGCTGCGCCCAGCGGAGCGGTGCTGGCCACCTCTCCGAAAACCTCCACAACGTCCGACGACTACCTGAACATGAGCCCAGTGGAGGGCATCCATGAGAAGATGGATGTGGACATGCCGCGGATGTCCAGTGCGCCCGAAGGGTACATTGAGATGTCGTGGCCGAAGAATAGCAAGACTGTCAACAATAACACCATCCCTGAGAAGCCGGCGTCGGATGAGTACATCAACATGAGCTTTCAGGGTGTGCGGCGGAATGGTGGGGCGAAGAGGGAGTCGTCGGGAAATGGACAAAGGATGACTTCCATGCCGATCAATATTCAGCAAGGGAAGCAGAATTTGTATGCCGGCAGGAGTTCGCTGACGGGAAAGAGTGAGAGTCAGCAGTCCTTTCTGCCGCTGACCGGAGGCTCGACGGGTCAACAGCCGGCTCACAGGTCAGAGTCAAAGGACAGTGGCATTGTGACGCCAACAGGATCAAATGCTGCCATCTTCCCGTTCAGCCCGAGCAGCCCGATGAAACCATTCCAGCACGTGGAGGCGCGCAAGTGCCTGGTGGATGGCACCAGCGGCACACTCATGCTGGCCGAGGAGGAGGTGTCCCACGGAAGCAGCGGCGTGGCCACGCCAACCACTCCTGTGCCCATGGAGGGCATCTCGACGGAGGAGTGCTCGGGCAAGGGCCTGCGGAAGTGCCATGCCGAGGAGATGCTGGAGAATCGCTACGTCGATTCTGTGACGCAACAGACGAAGATCCGGCGGCTGTCGATGGAGGTGCCGGACTATGTGAACTGCCCACCGGTGGGCGTGCGGAAGATCACGCCGTCAGTCTCACCGCTGAGGAACAGTGCTGAGGACGTGGCTGGGGACTATGTGCTGATGAGGCCTTCCACGACCACCGCCAGCACGACGGTGCCGAAGAGGGTGACTCCGCTGAGCAACAACTCCAGCCAGATCTCTCTTAACACCTTCGAGGGCTTCATCCCCATCGCCTCGGCCGAAGAGGCGGCGCGAGAGGAGAAGGTTGTGAGTCCTCGTATCACGCATCCCTCGTCACTCAAGCGTCCTTTCTGGTAAGTGTTTGTGTGTGAATCCTGTGGATTGGTGTGCTGCAGTGTGCTGATTAATGTCTTCTTGCAGGTATGGCAAGGAGTCTGATGGCTCATTTGACTCCCTGCGCGTCGCGTCGAGACCGAACTCGGTAAACAGCGACAAGATCACGTCGAAGATCTCCAGCTTGAGTCTCAATCGTCCAAACTCCGCCAACAGCGACCACGTGCCCCCCATATCGTCTTCCTCGTCCGCCTCGACGCTGTGCGGCTCCTCGTCATCCTCGAGCACGCTGTGCGGCAGCAAGAGTCCCTCCAGTGCCACGCTGATGCGCCCACAATCCTTCACCGAGTCCTCTAGCTCGCGCCCGGACTCCGTGGCGGACATCTCGTCACGGCCGCCATCGGTGACGAGCGAGCGCGAGCTGCACTACGCCAGCTTGGATTTGCCGCCGTGCAGCGCGGGCGCTGCCGGCGTGGCGCCACTGGCGCGCCAGGAGGCCACGGAGCTGTCCTCCTCGAGCGCCTCCTCGAAGAACACGTCGCTATCGGGAGACTCGTCGGCCAGCCCAAGTCCCAATGCGGCGCCGGTGGGCGCTCAAGTGGCGCCGGTCGCCTTCAACTACGCTCAAATAGACTTCACCAAGTGTGAGAACGCCAAGGCCACGACACCAAATTGAAGACAAGGTAGAGAAACAAACTGTACATACTCTGTCGTTGCATAAGATTCCTCAAAGACGATTTATGAAAAGAATATATCTCAAAACACCCACGAAAACTGCCACAATACTTTAAAAGAAAAAGGAGGAGGAGTGAAAGGCGGAAGGAAGTAGCGAAAGAGGAGGAAATGTTAATAATGAACTAAGATTAATCCAAAGGAATACCGTAGATGAAGTTTAAAGAATCCAACTATCCACTCCAATAGATTGTAGCGAAGAGATGAGAAAATCTTTAATTAAAAATATTTTATAGACTTTCCTAAACTATTAGAGCAGAGATAAGGAGAGTAGAGGGGAAGGATTTAAGCAAACGAATGGTAAAATGACAAGACTCAATTCCTACAACACACGCCCTTTTTCCCTATTGTATTTATTGCCACACAATCTTTGTTTATAGAATTTGTTATTTTTTTGTGTTTCACTCCTTTATTTTTTACACAATCATAATGAATATATAGTAATATTCCCTTTTGTAGTCACATTGAAAAGGGGGGAAAGCACTTCATTTTCCCGCCGTTGCTTTCTCCCATTCTCTAGAAGAAGAAGAAAAACCCCACAAACAAGTTGTTCATTTTTTGATTTTGTTGTACAAAGGACAAAAGTCTGCAAAGTCTATTTCGGCGAGAAGAGAGATTTTGTAGAAATTTGACCGCAAGAAGATATAAAAAAAGAAGAAGAAGAGCATCCAATCAATTGCTGATCATCTGTCGAAGGGACATTAAAGAAATGGCTAAGAAATTGAGATGAGAAATAAGACAAGAGTGAGAATTTGCGCCAAAATATCGTCCATGCGATCAATTTTAGGGTGAATTTACAATTTGTGTGAAAGAAGAGCGACAACAGCATTTGTGGATTCCTTACTCACAAGACTGCCATTTATGTAGATGAATTTTCTAAGAGTTACACATTAAAGGGGAGAAAAAAATGAAGAAAGAGAAATCACGATTGAGGAAATTAGAAATGTGGATTAACTGAAGAATATCAAATTTTAGTATGAATTCATAATTCTCTTTATTTTCTCTTTCTACATATAATTTTTTTTTGTCATAATTTGTATACAATTATTAGTAGTAATTATGTCTTCTTCTCTTGTTAATTTAGATAATAATGATTTTTCCCTCACTTAAGTGAATTTTGCTGGAACAAAAGTCAACATTTCTCTCTGAAAGTGAGCGGAAAGAATGGGAATTATACAAGGATTATGTAGTGAATATATTATTTAGCTATGGTGAAAAATGAGAGAGAAAACATAAAACTTCATGCTATAGCTTTAATTTCTTTCGATGCTTTAAAAATCACATTATAGTATATATTATTATAAAGGAGAAAAAAAGCTAATTTAATGGTATACATAATTGTAATAAATATAATGGTAAATTCTTATGTATAGCAAAACATTAATTCTAAGATGAAAACTCCTTTTTTTTCTCGCATATAGAGTAATATTTTACACAAAAAATATCAATTTATTGTTCTTTAGTGGAATGACATGGGAAAAGTTGCACTTTGTAGAAACATTTCTATATTTTTTTCTTGTGCTTAGTTGATGATTAACCAAAAGAGAAATTCTCTTCGTGAAATCAATCTTCCGTTTTTTGAGGTGAAAATTGAAGTTCATGTTTTCAATCTGCAAAGGAGACGAAAGAAGAAACACAAAACACAATGATCAAGAAATGCAAATTGACTGATTATAATGTAACATGAGAAAATGCAAAAGAGGTTCAATAAAATTATTGAGAGTTCACATCCAAAAGCACCCCAAAAGTCACATGAATTGTGCAGTAGTTTAGCCGACAAGACAGAGAGAATCTTGTACCATAGCGTAAAGCGTGTGAGGAGGAAAATTTCCAACCAATTATTAATTACAATTCAAAGTGTTCGATAAAGTGGCTATTAACAAAGAGACTAATTCGATTTGATTACACATACATTAAAATAGAGAGAGATATGGGAGAGAAATAGCATAAAAGAGCATAGCATTAAAGCAAAGTTAGACGTATAACGTAATCATGAAGAGCATATATAAACATACTTTAGGTCTTTAAGGAGTGAGAAAGAGTAGTGGGAAGATTTTGCTAGGTGTAAAAACAACAGAAAACACTTGATTTCATTAACACTTTATTTCTCGCTGATGATTCTCTATTATGCGTTGAGTCCAAAAAAATTATTTGCAATCCAACGGTTTGGAAGGCCGTTAATACAACGAAGAAAAGCGATCCTATTTTGAAAACTGCCTCTGAAGAATTTTATTTTGTTATATAAGAAATACCGAACTATTTTACCCACCGTTATTCACTCATTTAGATTCTACCATAATTACGTTTTATTTTATTAGGCAACTTTACTGAAGATTTATATTTATTAAAGTTGTTTCGGTTGTTCTTGCATTATTTTTCTTTATTCTAAACGTAGAATTTGCCTGGATTTTGTATACATATTTTGAATCTATGTTTGCCTTCCCTTTTAAATGCGGAGGGAATGACGAGAGAGAGAGAGAGAGAAAAAGAGAGAGAAAGTGGTGTAAACTTACAATGTTACTACTAAATGAAATATATAGAAAAATATTTAAGAGAATATAGAGAAGATATAAACTTAGTTTATATTAGAAAGTGAGACAGAGAGTGAAAATACGTAGTGAAAACAAGCAAAACCTTTTAAGAAAGAGCCACAAAAGAAGGAATTAATGTAGATTTCTATTTGAAAAATAGAACTTTCATTCACATTCACGAGTAAACTAAAGTAAAGGAAAAATATAGCTGTAGTTGTAAGGATTTCAGTGGAAAGAAGAACAATGCAAGAATGCGCAGCGTAACAAGTAAGAATTTTCATTAGCAGTGTAATTTGTAGAGATAAATAGCGAAAAAAAGTGGGATTCGATTGAGAAGTAAAAAAATATGATGTTGAATGAAATTAAACAAAAAAAAAATAAGAGCAGAAAATGAAACAGAAAATGTGTTCAAATTCACTAAAAAAAAAGAATACTTTTGTAATATTTCTAAAGGGACATTTAATGAGAATAAAGGCATAAAAGAGTTAATATATATATAGACGGGATTATCAAGATTTTATTCATCACTTTTTCACATTCGCCACAAGAGGAGAAAAGAGTCGAAGAAAAAATCATCCTTGCAGTTCATTTTCTATTCGTGCGTAATTTTATAGTGACACAAGATGATAAGAAGAAATAACTTATTTATTGTCTCAATATGATTACTTTTTGTTTATTTTATGACCAACATTCTCAATATTTCAAGATTCCTTTTCTCAATTTTATTGTATAAAAAATACACACCGATTTTGTCTTCATTCTTTCTTCCCAAAGATTTATATAAAATAACGCAAGTTAGATTTGTATATTTATTCACATTTTACATTTTTACCTGCAATTTTCTCGCGGTTTTACACATTGCAAGATGAAAAAGAACACCTCTTTTGTTCACCTTTCAAGACACAGAAGAAAAGGTCGATTTTTTCAAAAGAATAAGAATATATAGAGAAGACGGTATATTTTCGCTGCATGGTGCTACAGAAATCGAAATATATAACATATGAACTGCCAATTTTATAATAAAAGTAAAAACAGAAGTTAAAGGGAGAAGGTAAAGAAAATAGTTGACATAATGAAGAGGAAACAGAATTTCAGCAAAAAAAGGATATTTGATTGCAAAGAAGAAACCAGAAAAACACACGAAAAAATGGAGAATTTGAAAACGAATTAAAGATATTCAGTCGTTTTTTTTTAATTAAATGGTAACGGAAGAAAAATATTATGAAAAGTCCTACATGTAAATGAAGATTAAAAATTAACTGCATTATACTGATGAAAATAATGGAATTGATGGAATTTAGTTACTAAAGTAAAAGAGAAAAAAGAACGGAGAACATTTTAAAAGTGGAAAATCACGACGTGAGAACAGAAAAATATTACCTAAGACGAAAGCAAAAACGTGTATTTTGTAAAACAGTGAAGAAACACAGAAGAAATCCTTATATTGGAAAAAGAAAAAAAATAGTGTTAAAAAAATAGAAATATATATTTTTTTGGTCTGCCATAAACATATTTTAGGAGCATAAAAAGAGAAGCAGTTAAGATTTTTTCTCCTTGTAATAAAATGCATATTACACTCACTATTACAAATAAGAAAGACAAAAAAAAGGTTATTGTTGTTTGAGAGCTAAGAAATGAAGTGAGAAATGAATATTTGTAAATATAATCCATCAATTTCTTATACATTTCAGAAGGAGAATGAAGAAAAAGGAAAAAATTTCAGCCACTAACTAAAGAAATAGAAAGGGAAAAAATTGATTGTCGATGGAAAAGCGAAAGAGAACATTAAAAACCAAATAGCAAATGTGGAGGAGATTTGATTAAGAAGTTGCATAAGAGAGAAAGGAAAACAAAAAAGATGGAATATGTGGAAATTATGTGTTCTTTATATTTTGTAAGCATAAGAAATATAAAAAGAGAGAAAATCATTATACACCTACACATTAAGGGATTTACCTAAAAAAAAGAAGAAAAATATATTTAAAAATACTGTAGATTACATTAAATAAGGTTAACTAGAGTGTAATGAGAAAAAGTAATAAACGATAAAAAGAATATTTTCAAAGAGAAAAAAAATCATCTAGATTGTAAAGGAAAATTGACGAGAAAAAGTATACAAAAAGAGAAACATTTTTTAATACAATAAAAATTATTTTACTAAGAGAAGAGAAAAACCTAAATATATATATACATATATATATTATGATACTCTGTAAGTGTAGTGAAAGTGATGATTTTGTTTTTTTTGTGAAATTCTTTGTCTTTCCGTTGAAGATTTTCCTCAAAAAGAACAGAAAGTGAAAAAAAAATCCTTCTGAGAGCGAAAAGTGGCAGAATTTTTTACGACTTAAATGCTAAAAGAAAAAAGTGTAGACAGATGAGAAAGAAATCGTAGTGAATTTAAGTGAAGAAGAAAAGTTTCAAAAACTCCTAAAAGCACTAAAAAATGAGAAAAAAAAGAAATTATAAAGAAGAAATAGTTTAAAAACATGAATAGATTTCTATTTAGATAGCCAATTATACATGATTATCGATGAGCATTAGTTGATAAACTAATCTTATTACATTGTATTTATGATATAAATCCATAAATTATTACTTTTACATAGATGTAAAGTGAGAAAAATGGTACAGAAATGCCGGGAACGAATGATAATTGATTATCCCTCGTTTATGTTTCCTCCTTATTAGCCGTAAAAAGAGATATTTTTGAAGGGATTCATGATCGTTTCATTTCTTATGTCATTAAATTCAATTGTTGTATTTATTTCATCGATTCCTCATGAAATCTTCCTTTTTTTTCTTTACAAAAATGATTTAAACTAAAGAAGAAGAAGAAGAAGTGAAAACACGACTTTGTCACACAACAGAAGAGTGAAGAATTAATTCCACAAAATATTTTTATTATTGTATAAGGAAAATACAATGAGAGAGGAGTTTGAGAAATAGCTACTTTTTATTTTGTTATATGCCATGTTATTCGTCATTTATATTTATTATTATTTTTTTCCCCTTTGCTAAACTATTTTACAATTTTTGTCTGTCCTGAGTCAAATGAGAAAATTAGCGTGCGAGAGAGAAACCTATTATAAATGTATTTAAAAAGTGGATAAGAAGGAAAAATTGAAAAAAATACACTTGTAAGCCCTAATTATAGAAATGAGTAATAAGAAGTAAACTGTAAATTTAATTTTAAATGACTATAAATATATCACCTTATAAAAAAAAATCTACTTTATTTTCAAATTATCTTGTACATTTCACCATTCAAGCTCTTTTCCGTCGTATTGGAGGAATTTGCCATTGTGCTCCGCAGACAGTCCTCGAATGAGTCTCTCCATACTAGATGTGCTCTCCTCCACATCCAGTGGCGCCCTCGAGCCGCCCATGTCTGTACGCACCCAGCCCGGATGTAGGCAAACTGCCATGATATTGTCGCCTTTCATGTCTCGACTCATCGACTTCGTTGCCATGTTCAGAGCCGCCTTGGACATACGATACGCATACAATCCGCCACTGTCGTTCGCTGCAATCGATCCCAGCAATGTCGACATGTTCACCACGCACGCCCTCTGCGGTCCAATAGCGCGATCAACGTTCGCACTGGCGGCCTTTTGAAGCAGCGGCAAGAGAGCCTTGGTCAGCATCACGGGAACAACGGAGTTCACCTCGAAGCAGTCCAGAAGATCCTTCCTCTGCGTATGAGGCAAACGGGTGGACTTGGGAGAGTATCCGGCATTGTTGAGAAGAACATTCAGTCCATTTTCCTTCACAATGTCTCCCACTTTCCTGGCGAAATTGTCGTATTCGTCAAAGTTCTTCAGGTCAATTTCCAAAATATGAATATTTGGGTGCTCCTTTGCCAATTGCTGCAATTCCTGTAAAGAGCAACGAAGAAATTTCTCAGATTCTTCACACACTTCCAGAAAAGTCTCCGCATGACGTCATAGATAAGAGGGGAAACGACTCGGCGAATATAAATGCGCCTTCACAGCGACTCCAGCGACACAGTGACGACAATCCAAGGCAATCGAGTACCAAACTCTCGCTGTAATTGTTCTCGCGCTTTTGTTCACGTTTTTTCGCATATTTCGTGCATTTCAAGTGCCCAGTAACTGCTCAGAGTGTTGTAAAGTGAGAAATGGCACCGATAAGTGGTGAGTTTGCCAGTGGGAAAGAACTTACTTCGGCCTTTTCAGCATTCCTCACGGTGGCTAAGAGGAATTTCGGCGCTTCTTGGCGATTTCGGACAAAACATCTGACCAGCCCCAGGCCAAGACCTCGGTTACAACCCGTGATGAGCACAGAATTCATTGATAGGGCTGAAAGATAGGCATTTAAGGCGTAATTGCCTGATATCTTGCGGCCTTGGGTGAATGTCGCAGACTCACTCTTGCGGTCGATTTTTCCCACGCTTCAGCTCTTATCGTACTGTTCAATCACCACGGTCGATGGGGCGGAATGTGCGCCTTCTTGGAAAATCGTCCGGGTGGGAAATTAATGGGAATATTCGCGGAAATTGAGAAATGTCTGGTAAAAGCGACTGTCCAGACAACGCGCCGGGTGGAGAACTGTCAGGGGGCGCCGCAGTCACTGAGTGGGTTGGTGATTAAAGATGGCGATTTTGAGAAATTTTTCCGTGAGAATTCTTCGGCCGGTTTACCAGAATTACTTCTCCTGCAGCCAATGTTCACGTGTTCGACGGTTCTCCAGTCGTAAGTAGGCTTCTTCTGTACTGAATGCATGAATCCCCCGCGGTGAGGAGACTTGAGAACTCCTGTCGAGCGTGATTTCGAATGACTTGGCATGTCTGGAGCTTCATTGGGCTCCTCTCGGTGGTCCCCGGAGAATCTGCTGCGCATTTCTTCCTCCCACACGATCAATGCCCGGCGCCGCGTGAGTTGGAGTCAGTGTCAGGGTTATGCTTGAGTGAGAATGTCTGTTGTTCGCAGGATCTTTCGACTATGATCTGGTGGTGATCGGAGGCGGATCTGGCGGCCTGGCGTGCGCCAAGGAGGCTGTGGGACATGGCGCCAAGGTGGCCGTGCTGGACTTCGTGAAGCCGTCGCCGCGCGGCACGAAGTGGGGCCTCGGCGGCACGTGCGTCAATGTGGGCTGCATCCCGAAGAAGCTGATGCACCAGGCGTCCCTGCTGGGCGAGGGCATCCACGAGGCACAGGCGTATGGCTGGTCCGTGAACCCCGAACAGGTGGCCATCGACTGGGCGGCGGTCACGGAGGCTGTACAGAATCACATCAAATCCGTGAACTGGGTCACGCGAGTGGACCTCAGGGACAAGTGAGTGAATTGCTGCTTATTTCGTCATTCGCGAGCATGATTCGCACACTTCATGACGCGCGCTTATCAGCGCAGTGAAGCGCGAATCCATTGCCATTTCGGCTGATTTAACGGATTTACCATTCAGAATCTCAATTTGTGCTCTCTTACGGCGGCGTTTTGCAGGAAGGTGGAGTACGTGAATGGCCTGGGATACTTCAGGGATCCGCACAATGTGGTGGCGGTGCTGAAGAACGGCACGGAGAGGGTGCTGAATGCGAAGCACGTGGTGATTGCGGTGGGCGGACGTCCGCGCTACCCAAACATTCCAGGAGCCATTGAGTACGGTATCACCAGTGATGACATCTTCAGCATGCCCACGGCACCGGGGAAGACATTGGTCGTCGGAGCGGGCTGTGAGTGGGCAATAAATCAGCGGAGATAGCTGATAAATCACCCTGATAACGTTAATCAATTGGCAATGTGTTGCAGATATTGGTCTGGAGTGCGCCGGCTTCCTCAAGGGCTTCGGCTACGACGCCACTGTGATGGTGCGCTCGATTGTCCTGCGCGGCTTTGACCAGCAGATGGCAGACATTGTGGCCAGCGCGATGGCAGAGAAGGGCATCGGCTTCCTGTTCAAGACGGTGCCCACGAGTGTGGAGAAAACAGCGGAGGGGCGCTTGCTGGTGAAGTATCGCAACAGCGAGGGCGTCGAGGGCAGCGATGTGTACGACACCGTGTTGTTCGCCATCGGCAGAACGGCTCTCACCGAGGACCTGCAGCTGCCCAGTGCCGGCGTGAAGTTCAATCAGGACAACAAGAAGGTGCCGGTGAATGAGCGCGAAGAGACGAATGTGGAGGGCGTGTATGCCGTGGGCGATGTGATCGATGGACAGCCGGAGCTGACGCCGGTGGCCATTCTGGCGGGACGGCTGCTGGCACGGCGCATCTTCGGCGGCGGCGAGGATCTGATGGACTACAGGGACGTGGCGACGACAGTATTCACTCCGCTGGAGTATGGATGCGTGGGTATGAGCGAGGAAGCGGCCGTGCAAGAGTTTGGCGAGGACAACGTTGAGGTGTTTCACGCGTACTACAAGCCAACTGAGTTCTTCGTGCCGCAGAAAAGCGTGCGCTACTGCTATCTGAAGGCCGTGGCGCACCGCGATGGCGATCAGAAGGTGCTTGGGCTGCACTATGTTGGTCCAGTGGCAGGAGAGGTGATCCAGGGATTTGCAGCAGCACTCAAGTGAGTAGAAGTACCACAGTATGTGACTGAAGAAACAAGAGCAACTTGTTCTTAAATCACGTATTTGGGGTCGACAATGTTTTGTGGGTTAGAGGAATACTTGCTTGTTTTCACTAGTTGAAAGGAGATTTGTGCAAAGTGGCACTTTATCGATAATAATTACGTTCATTTTCCTTTTTAACACAATTTAAGGCGAAAATATAACTTATTTCGACTAATTAGTCCTTGGGACTGTCGAATTTAGCTTGTGTTAATTGTGTTAAAAGAAGGAAATTGCACGCAATTTGTATCAACGAGTGTCGATAACTTTCTTCACTTAAGCGCTAATTCTAACATTCTCATCAATGTCGCCGTTTGTCCTGCAGATGTGGCCTCACGATGAAGATATTAATGAACACGGTGGGAATTCATCCCACGACTGCTGAAGAGTTCACGCGTCTCAACATCACGAAGCGCTCCGGAGTGGATCCAACGCCGGCGTCGTGCTGCAGCTAAGATCATCATCAGTAATGGTCGTGGAAGAGATGCACTTTGATGAATTTACTCAACACACAGGAGGAAGAGATGCCCACGAATGTCTCAAATCACGGCTGATGTTTTTTTGTATGAATGTTTCTCGTTGTTTCTTTTTGGGGAGAAAATACACACTCGTGATTTTGTGAGAATAGAAACACAGTGAATTAGAAGCGCTGTCTTTTGACTCTGCCGTGCATAATTAATGGTGCAGCGAAGAGGTTCCGCAAGTTTGTGCTAATTGGACGTCTTGGGGGTGTAATTAGGGGCAAAGTTGGTTATCGTGATTGCTGAGGAAGGTCGTCGTGAGTGCCTGAGAATTTGCATCTGATGCATTTGTGACCCACTTTCTCCCTGCCATCCGCATCTTCGCCACTCCGCCGATGTCGAATGCCGATAAGCGCGCTGTAAAGAAAGCTCAACAGTGTCCTCGTTTTTTTTTTTATTGAGCCACTTTCAATTTCCTTGATGGATTCCTTATTGATTTTCCGCCGCAACACTGCGAAAAGACGCCGTTTTACGAGCGCGCGTCAATTGAAAAGTGGTCCATTTTGTCAATTCATCAACTGTTTTATTGGTCAAACATTATACAGAATAACAATATCTAATCAATAGTTCATCCTTTCATCAATAAATGGTAATTATATTTTTTTTGTCTTGTTTAAAATTCAATAATTATTTATGATTAGGTCCGAAATATAGAATCCAATTAAATGTTCTTTTGTTCAATTAAAATTAAATTAAAAAAAAAAACACCAAATATCCTTTTCGAAACTATTCATTTGTCGTCCAATAACTAATTGAATACATTATTTCTTCCTGGCCTCAAATCAGTTTTGCAGTACTATTGAAATGTTTGTTCTTTCTCTCAAGCACTTTCACGGTTAAGAATTTTTGGTGGTTTTTTCCTCTTTATTTTTTAGCGTTTATCGAATACAAGATATTTTTCCTCTTTTTTTTTTTTACTAGAAACCGCAATATTTTTCTTCCTTTTTCAACTTGTAGGTTCCTTACTCATGTTCATTTCATTTTTTTTTCTATACAAATAACAGACTAAATAACAATTTGAAAAAACCAAGGAATTGGACAAAGAAGAGAACTAAAATGTTTTGTATATATATTTTTCTTTTTTTTTGTAAAGAAAGATAACAATATTCTCACGTGATAGAGTTTTTCACATGCTCTTCTTTTATTATTTAGTTCACCTATCATATAAATTTAATTCATGGGAGTGATTTTTTTTATAATGCCTTACATGACAATGAAAAATTCATCATAATCTGGCAATAGTCCATATTTTTTAATTTTTCATCGTCATTTTGTTAGTGGAGTTTATGCGATTTTTTTTTAAATATCTCTATCCCTTGCTGTCATTCCGAGTTTCTCTCGCTCTCTTTCATATGTCACCTGCTGTTTTTTCACTTTTTTTCTCTCTTTTTTATTACAATTCAGTGCTTCTAAATGCTGTTGTTGTTTACGTTTATTTTATTTTTATTTATTTATATACCCTTTATAATATTTTTTATGTTTTTTTGCTTCTCTTTTCCTAAAGAGTAGTTGTTTTTCATTTCATTTTTTAAATATTAATGTTAAAGAGGAAGTGCAAAGATTTTTTTCTTAGTTTTCATTTTCAAATTTAAATTACGCATTAGATTAACCTTATATTAGACCTCTTTTTTTTAATGTTCTTCAATAATAGTTCTCTTCTATTTTTTTTATACATTTAAGTAACAAAAAAATCATAACGAATTAGAAAGCTTGTAGTTCTGTGTTTTTTTCCTTTATTAGTTTGTTAAGGGATGTATTTTCTGTTTTTTTCTCTTTTATCCTTATGTGGTGACTTCAATGGCAATTAAGATTATTTCACTTTTATATTTATGTCTTCACATTTTCCTTCATTTTTTTTCTTTAAAGTTATTTTTACTTATTGCAATACGAAAGGCTATGAACACGTTAAAATTTTAATTTAACTTGTTTTATCATCATTTTCTCACTTTTATCCTTTACAATGAAATTTAGTAAAGAGAAATACAGTTTCTACAATTCATCTTTTAGTGAGTTTATGGTATATGTTGTATCTCTGACCTTTCAATGGTGTGATTTCTCTCCCTTTTTTCTCTCTCTTAATCTGTTAAATGGGATGTTTTAATGGCATGATTCGAAATAGATTTTTGCCTTCATGTGACTATTTTTATATGACTTCATTGAATCCTTCTTCATCACCGTTTAACACTAAAGCGAACACTCTGTTTAAGATCCTTCACTTCATCTCAACTTTTTTTTTACTTACATAATGTGTTAATGTGTGTTTACATTACTTTTTAAAAGTGATTCTCTTGTTTTTAGAGTTGCGTGTGATGAACTTTTTCACCTTAATAATGATTACACGGAATTTTCCTCAATGATTTTTTTTCCTTCAAATATTCTTAATTCTTAGAGTTGTCTCTTAAGTTACGCAATTAATAAAGGCGCATCTAAAATATGTTTTTTTTTTAAATAATTAATTTCTAATTTCAATAAGTTTCTTTCTCCCACATTTTCTCTGTTCTCTTCGCGCTTTCTTTTTCACTAATTTATAATTACAATATTTAAATTGGTTTTATTTATCTAAACAGAATAAAAGGTATTTTTTTTTCCTATTCGCAGTAGTTTAACTCAGGACTTTTATCTATCATTTAGCCTTCCTGCTCTTTCTCTCTTTCGCTCACCATAAGTTATAAGAATAATTTTGTCCAATCTCCGTTCGTCAATTTTAGAGGAAAAAGATGGGTAAGTAGTTTTGCTCTCATCATTCATTCTAGTGAAATTACATTGTTTTCTGTTTTGTCTAATTTTAATCTCACTGTTTGGTAATCCTAGAATTTTTTCTTTACTTCACATAATCTCGCCTTAAACTTGTTGTTCTCTATTTTTCTCTTAAGAAATTTCTCCTCTTCTTGTTATTTACAATATAAATAATTGTTTTTTTTCTTTCTTTTAATTTAGGTATCGTTCAATAAGCAAAAATATAAACTATACTTATGTTAAATTAGTAATATTTATATTATTTCTTGCTTTACAATGTCCTATGTATTTTCAAGGTGAAAGGTATTTTCATTTTATTAGTTTCTAGTACGAGTAGATTTTCTTTTCACGCCCCTTCAATGCTGTTAAGCTGAATCACTCATTCTGAACTGTGCTTTCTTCCGTCCCTCTAAATTTGATTTGATCTCCCTTCTCTGTTCCCTTCTCCTGAATTGTCCATATTTATTTATGTTTTCTTGCCGGTATTCTTATGTTTAACGATTCTCACACTGTTTAAATGTTTGTTTTTTTTCACGAAGTTAAAGCATTTATTCCCCGTTTCGCTGATTTCATCCACACTTAACACACCATCCTTGAAGCTCGTGCAGTGTTGCAAGATTACTCTTTCCCTTCTCTCCTGATTCATCTCCTTTCGGCTTATGTGAACGAATTTAGAGGAAAATTCTCATATTTTTTTATCACTTGATTGCTTTCTCAATTTCTTCTGTGTTTCAAGTTACTTTTTCTAATCATATTCTTTTCTGGTATTCTCTATCCACTCAAAAGTACCTTGATGGGCTCCAACATATTTCCCTCTCGTTCTATACATCTCTCTTTCTATAATGTCTTTATCTCTGTTTTTTTTATCTGAACATTTGAAACACACTCTCAGTCATAATTTTTAGATATCATCCTTTTCTTCTTCCTGCAAGAAAAACGGCAATTAGTTACTTTGTGATGAAGATTGCCAGCAAATTACGGGCATTTTAGATGCGGATTTTTGTGTGGTCGAGATTGCAAAGACTTTTCTCGTGGTGAATTTTCACGGAAGAAATTGAGCACCCCGAATTGGTGGAGAGCAATTTCCAAGATGTTTTTCGATTCGAAGAACACTTGAAGTTACAATCAACCAATTATATTATTTTTTCGAATATTTCAATTTGCCTATTTTTCGGAGTTTTGTAAATCAGAGTAAATCGGAGGAAAACTTGACGTGAAGCAACGCAAAGTTCTCCAAAGCTTTTGCAATTCCGCGAGAAAAGCCCACAACATCTCGTGATTATCCGGTTTATTTATCAATATTTATAACCTACAGGAAAAAAATGTGTTAATTCATTAGAGCAGGCAAATGCAGATAAATCCCTTTAATATTGCACAGAAAAGAAATCCCTCCAAAACCCCCACAACAGTTCTCTCCATCGCTCGCTAATCATTCTTCACCATTGTTCATTGTGTGTATTGAGAAGAAAATCTTGCTCACTATTAAATAGTGTTAATTTGTTAATCGTAGTTAATGACTTAATAGCACCTCAACGCCTTTACTTATCTCTTAATTTTTCATATAAATCTATTTATATGTTTACTGTTTATCTCCCTTTCGCACACTCACGCCAAAGCTTGGCGATCTCTTGCAAAGCGCCCGCCAATTCTTCCGATTGTGTGTGCCTCTCTTTTATCTCCTCGTGAACAACCATCGGCTTTTATATCTTCCTCAACAATGTACAAGTTTGACGACGACGATGAAAATGAATCACCGTAAAAAATGCCATAATCCAGAAGTTGTGTGTGTGAAAAACAGTGCGAATGAATGCGCCCGATGGTGCGAAGGATGGGTGAGCAACTCCATATAGTGTGAAAATGCAGGGGTGGAGGAAAAAGGTTTAAGAAGGGCTGCAAAAGAAAGAGAACGGAATGCAAAAAATCCCCGACAACAGAACAAATTAATTTGAGGAGTGAAAATCAAATAAAAAGCATGTTGTATGATTTTTTTCGTCTTCTCTTTTACTTACACGTCTCCAAAAAAAATAATAGTTAAACGATATAATGGTAAGATATATATATTTTTTTTACAAAAGAAAAGAACTTGTTTTTTTCTGGCTATAACAATATAGTAGTTGCTTTTATGCGTCGTACTCGCTATCTGTTTTTTTTTTTACTTTCTTCCTTTAATATCCTCCTTCCACTAAAAATCATGTTAAAATGAACAATTCGTCGTAATTCCGGAAAAGAAAAGATTATAGAATTGTCGCCTTTTTTTATGTATCTCTTACTACAATTTGTTCTTCATGCTAGAGAGAATCTACTTCAATATTCAACTTTAGATTTCTAACTTTGATTAGACTAGAGAGATTTTATCGAAAAAAAAATAAAACACAATAATTCTTACGGGTTAATTTTGCGGAAATTCTTCAAAATCTCTTCACTTAATCAATTCATTCAAATTGAGTTAATTGGCCAATTATAAATTAATGTGAGTGAATTCTCCTCATGTTAAGATATTTTTCACATAAAAATCAACCTCATTAATTTCTTTTTCCTTCTTTAATAAACAACAGAAAAGAGCGTCTTGAGACACATTTTATGAAATGAAATGAACACTAGAAAATAAATCAAGATTTGGAGCAGAATTCGTCCAAATCCAATTTATAGGCAATTAGAATTTATTTTAAGTACCAAGCATAATAAGAAATAAAAATGGAAAATAAGAGTTTAAAAGTTCAGTATAAGTACAGCAAGTGAGAATTTTGGTTTTTAAGATTGTAAGCACTGAAAGGAGATATTCACTCATTAAATCAATTCTTTCAATTACAAAATTACAATAAGGGGAAATTTTCTTTTGGTTACAAAAACAACAAAACTGAAAGGAATAAAAGGAGGTGAAAAATTACAATTAATGGGTCTCTATCGCCCTCAAATTAATCAAATTACAAGTAATTTATTAACAATATCTAAAACTTAGAGAGATTTTTTTTTATCTCTTTTTTGTCCTCTTCTAATTACTAAAAGACCTACAAAGTTTCTTTGTACATTCGGAAATTTTCAAGTAATTAGAATTGCAAGGTTGATTCAGCAGTTGGATGGCATTTTCTTTTTTTGACCCCCTCAACCCAAGTAATCATTATGTCTTTTATTCGTCATCTAATTCACTTTTCGCACTGTCATCTTCACCTCCTTGCTCTGTGTTTAAGTACAAACGCCAATTAATGTACATCAAAATATACGGTGTTGTTAACTTTGAGGATTTCTCTCCTTGTCACTGAGGCGATTTGTAGCTATAAAATCATCTTTTCTTGTCTTTAACTATATGTTCTCATCTATTTAACATTAAATTCTCCCAATAGCCAATCAACAATTGCAAATTTAATTAAAATAAAATTTCACAACAATAAAAACGCTTCCATAATTGTCGATTTTTTTTTTCTTCAATTTTGTTCCAAACAATTTGTTTTCTTTTAATAAGATTGTTAGTGGTTTTGTTTTCCATCTTCGCGTTATTTTGTCTCAATTCTATTATTATTTTTTTTGCTTCTTCAATAACAGTTTATACGTAAAATTTCTCATTTTGTTCTTTTTTTTTCTTAACTTTTCTTGCTTCTTTTTTTCTCTCACGATAATATAAGATATTAATATTACGAATAATAAAGATGTATTATACAAAAAGAAAACCGTTAAAGAAATTGACCACAAGTCAAAGAGTTACAAAGATTTCGCTTATGTGCATTTCTCTTTTTGTGTATGTGTGTGTATGAAAAAGAAACAAGAAATATATTTAACAAGATTAGGATTTTTGCAATATATTATTTATACGTTATAATATTATTCAATAGTATTAATATGTAAGTTATATAATCAGGCGCGTTCGCTATAAAAAATATTATTAAAACTCTTACAAAGCGCGCTGGTGATTTTTTTTTCATCCTTTCATCAATTCTCTTTCCTCACAATTTCTCTCTTTTTTGTTTACTCCCTATGTATATTTTTATTGACTTACATATGTAAGAGAAAACACAGAAAGATGAAAATAACAAGAAATCAAAAAGGTGAATTATTAGTTTTTAGGAATATTACTCTCTCTCTCTCTCTCTCTTTCTCTCCCTTTCTCACTTTACATGAAAATTCTTATTTCAAATCTCTTTTTTTTATTGTGTTTCGTGTCTACTTATTAATTCTCTTTATAAGATCATCTATGATTCTTTTTCTTCACTATAATTTTACTTAATTACACTTTTCTCAATATTTTCACGAAATTTGTTTTCAGATGATTTTCTATCTCACTAATTTTCTCTTTTTTTTCCTCAACTACAAAGTAAGAATTTATACAGTTTTTATAATCGTTTTTCCGATTGTTTCTCTTTTTCTTCCTAGGTTAGTGTTATTCTTTAAAGTGTTATTTTTTTTCATGTCTGATCAATGATGATCCTTTTCTTCTCAGTGTAAATTCTACATGTGTTATTTTCCTTTACACTTTTCCTCATCATTTCCTCATCGTCTTTAATCAATTCACTGAAATGATTCTCCTGACCGCCTTTTCACTGTTTTTTCGCAATTTTTATCATTTCTCTTTTATATGCCAGTTTTTTTTTATCAATAAATCGTTCTCATTTTTCTCTTGTGTTTATTGATAAATTTTATTTTCTCTGTCTCACATCAGACTCTTTACCATGTGGATCGAGTTTTCTGCAAGTAAAAAAAGAAACAGCAAAATGATAATTTATTGGGAGTGAAAACAGGAGCTTTTTTTCTCTGGTGAATTTTGTAACACACACAAAAAAAACATACATAAAATATTAGGTATTAAATCAATATAAAAATATATTCGCAATTTGACCAATATTCCTTTTGGAGGGTGGAAAGGGTGAGGGGGTGGGGGGAAACAGAAACTGAAAAAAGGGAGAAAAAACCCGTAAAAGCCCGTTTGACACTCAATTGAGAATGAAAAATTGTTATGCAAATGCACTGCAAGACGGATAAAGAATATGTGTGAGAATTCTTCCAGTGTTTCTCCTTCTATCCTCACATTTTCTCTCTTTCTCTTACTCCCTTTCTCACTCGTGCGAGTGAGTCAGTGGAAAAATGGTGAAAAACTGGCATGGATGAAAAAAAAAACCAATAAAGTAGAAAGAAAATTGTGAAAAGAACGTGACATTGTTATATGAGTTGTGAAGAAGAACAAATTAAAGACGCAGTGAGAAATTCTTCGTTTCAATTCTCGCCCCATTGAATTAAGAACACCCAATTTTCTCCTTTAAATTTCTCTACGCTTCTGTCCATTTTTTTTTATATTGAGGTTCTTTGACAACAAGAACTTTTTCACTATTAATTCCTCACTTAACCTGGTCATTGTTGTGTCATCAGCAGAAGTAGAAGAAAGATTTCTTATGCCTTCGCGCGCAACTAAAGAATGAAAATCCCAAATATTACACTCAACCGCTCGCACGTGACTCTCATTCATCAGACGTCTGGTTTAGTGGAAAACTTTGCCCTTTGCGAGAGAGTGAGCAAATACAGAAAGTATTTATACAAAGTAGAAACACTCCACCTTCATTCACCCCTCGCTCAACTCTTGCATCGCGCAAAAAGCACTACTAAACCCACCTTTGGCACATTAACAATTAAAAAAAAACACCCCACAACACTTGCTTAGCTTAGCCGCTGGGAAATATTAATTTTTGCACTCAACCACCACGCAAATGTGCTTAAAATGCTTGATTCTCAATTGTGTTTAGTTGGTGAAGAAGTTCTCCGTTTCCTCCTTCTCGCAAACACGCGAATGCGTCAACAAATAGCAAGAATTATTGTTTGAAAAATATCAGAACTTGCTTGCAAAATTTACGTGAGCTTCTTTCCAACCGTGTTCACAATAAATCTATCACACCTTCTCAAAATATTCTCATATAAATCGAACCCAAGAGAATTCACCACTTTTGAAACAAAAACCACTTCTCTTGAGTCTGTGAAGCTTTCGAAAATTCCATAAAATCACTGAGGATTACAATTCATAACTTGATAATTTTCTCCACCGTTCTCTCTTGTTACTTAAAACTACAATCAATTCCACATCACAAAGTTCTCCCTTTCCTCTTCACTCTTTCTCTCTTGCTCTACAAGCAGACAGAAATGATTCCCGTAACAAGTTCAAACAAATGGTTCATCAGCGAAAAAAAGACGGTATTTCTGTTGAAATTTCACCCAGTGATGACATGAATAAAGTTGTAAAACAATAGTTTGGAAGGAAATAAATGAGACTTCTTAACAATATGACTCTGTCTAGTGAGAACTTTGCACTGATGGCAAATTTAAAGATTCTCCTATCACTTCTTTTCAATGTCTTTTATTATTACATTTTGCGCCCCTCCTGTGTGATTTTGACCCACTTTATCGCGCATCTCTTTAAAGCAACACTTGTTTGGTGGTCTTGTCATTGATGCAAAAGTTAACATTTCTATATCAATCGCCCTAAATGTCTTGACTTAGAATATCTTTGGGTCAATGGAAAGAGTTCTCTCTACTTACTGTTCAGGACTCTGATCTGTATCACTCTCATCGGGATCTGCCTTATTTCGTCGCTTCTCGTAGACTAAAATTATGGCACAGAGAATGAACACTTCGGCACAAATTCCTAGGAAGGGCCAAAGTGCGGCGAGTTTACCTGAAAAATTATTCATTTGATGCATTAAATATGTAGATTTTAATTAGAAATTCCTTTCCTACAAAAGGAGGACATCAAATCTCACGCTTGCTCTCCTTCCCTCTTCTCTCGCTTCTGTGCTGCCTCGGCAACCAGTAAATGGCTCAAAAGGCGCACAAACACACACACACACAGAGGAGAGAAAGTGTGTGATGAGGGAAAAAGAGTGTGTATCTATCTGCCAAACCATCCTTTTTCCTGCTGAAATACACATTATTCTTATTTACCTTTTACTCGCAGAAACGTTACAGCCACCGCGGGCTTTGTAATGCGATGCACTGTCGCTAAATTATTTGCTTCACATGAATAATTCCCACGATCCGTGAGTTGGGCACTCTCAATCACTAAAATTGCATTTTTAATATTTCTCTCATCTGGTAAATATGATATTTTACTATTTGCTTCAGGTGACGTTATATTATCTGCAATGGAAAAGAAAAAGGAAGAGAAAGATGGGAATTAATATAAATTCAGCAACTTGCTCAGCTTTCAACTAATACACCAACTGATGCATTGAAGATGCCACATAAATCTTGCAGTTGTAAGAAAGTCATCTTCATTTTTCATCCCCGCACACGGATTATTTCTCTCATCCTCTAAACTCTATTACAAGAGAGCTTGAGGGTGGAATAGCACACAAATCGATACTTCTTTTTACTCCTATTTTGCGCACAGACACACATATTCTCGCATACAATTTCAATGCCAATTATTATTCTAAGAGAATTTTCTGTATAATTACATACTAATACTTATCAATCACTTGAGATAAAGAAAGAAAAAAAACACGTCTCAGTGTGATGGCTGAATAAATTAATAATCCTTCCCTCCATTTAATATCCTCATATCAGTCGAGGTTATCAGTTGCTTATCGAGATGATTATTTGTGGAAAAGCGACGCAAAAGCTGTGATTAACACTCCAAACATACTCCAAAAGTGATTAGTTTATCCTGAGAAGTAAAAAAATAATAATTCCGTCCTTTCGCAACCCAAAATGCGGGCAAACAGAGAAAGAGTAATTAAAGAAATCACACAATTTCGTAGATTCTCTCTTCCTTTTCGTTCAATAATCACACACATTTTTTTTGCAATACCAGAAAATGCTTTGTGTGTGACCCAAATTCGCTTCTATTTCATTGATTATCTCTACCTTATGAAATTCGTCACAAAGAAATACGAATGCTTAAAGGTATTTCATGAGGAATTATATGGCAAGTGACGTTAGAGGAAAATGCTGTCTCCTTCCTTTGCATTGCGACCTCAATGGCGAGACAGACTCGAAATGACACAAAATTATTATTGTCGATGAGAATATATGCTCTTCGACTCAGGTGAAAAGCATGAAACTATGCTTGAACTTTGCAACAGAAAAAAAATGATATGAGTTTTGTCTTCAGTTGCATAACTTAATTAATTTATCATTGCATCTGACAGACTTTCATTGGATATTTTATCTTCAGTTCAATTTTGAGTGTTGAAAACACTCCAAAAACTCTAGGTTTCCTAGTAGTTTTCATTGGCAAAATTTTCCAATTTACACTCCGACAGTGAATGATTGAGCTTAAAACTTGAACAACTCTCCAAAGCATTGAAGATGAACTGACGTTTCTTTTGCCATCCTTCCACATTTTCACTAATTCATCAACTGTCCCTTCGCTTAAAACACAGACACACTCACGGATACACAGAGGAAGAGGAAAATTATATGTTCAAAATCACTGCGTTGCGATATTTCATGAAGCGGGCCGAATTAGAGATCGCCAAAGTATGAAGTTGAAATTCCCAATTTCCGTCACTTACACGTGATTATAACATGGGCATTCCCCTAATTAATTTTTGATTTCATGTTCAACATGGCCCACCTTCGCCTTCATACATTTATAACCATTAAGGACTTCCATACACACACACATACATTAATTGCGCTTATTCGGATTATTGTCATATTCTTTGTGTAAATATGTAGAAGAAAATTATGGAGTAAAGCTAAAATTAAATTAACACTACATGACGGGGCTTTTCACTCCCATACAACACAAAGAGGCACATAGAAACAGAAAATATGTATTCAATGACTCATATTTTTAGTGTCATGTTTCCAAAACAGCAAGAGACACTGCGCGACACAGGCAATAACAGATTTTTATTGTGCTTCTCAAGCAGCCCAAAGTTACTCATATTTATTCAGCAATTCACTCATTTCAGAGCCTCTGTCTCACTCTCTCGTATTTACGTCGCGCCAATAAATCATCGTGAGCAAGAGTGAGAGTGTTAAGAGGACATGGTGAACTATTAAGTAAAATCCATCGTGCTCATTTATGCGCTTTTATCACCCCTTTCAACAAAATACAAATTGCCATATGAATAATTAACGCATAAACTAAACGCGTGGTCTCTATCAACAATTCTTTGTGTGCATGCTAAGCAGCCAAAACGATGACGTTCACGCTGCCAGAGGAGCGCAGATATTAAGATGAAGTTTATAATTTGCAAACTTCAAGATTTATTGTTGATACACACTTTACGCATCCTCTGTCTGTCTCTTAATCGTGTTCACTTTAATTCACACTCACCGAGAATTGTCCAATTAATTTCTGGATTCGTTCCAACGACTATACACTGAATTTGTAATTTTTCTCCCTCAATTACAGCCATATTAGATGGTAATTTAACGTAGACATTTGCTGCAAAAATAACAAGAGAAAACAACTCGGTTAGAACTACAGCAAGACCTCCATCACCGAACTTGCCAATGAAGCTCAGAGAAACACACGCTGGAGCACTTTACAACTACGCCTCATTTACACACATGAGAGGAGAGTGAAAAAGGGACTCAAATGTGCTCACATTAAGTATCCTCATTGAGAGTGAAAAGTAGTTGTAAAATCAAACTATACAATTTCTCTGTGCACCCATTAGCTGTACATCTTTATGGATTTCACCTTTCTTTACACTTACCGACTACATTTATATCTTTACTTTGTGCTAAATGCGGGAGGCTACACGTATACAATCCAGCATCGGATTCCTGGGTTCGATCAATCACGAGTTTATATTCAGACTTAAGTATCGTGTATCTGCCCTTTAATTCCGCCACATTTTCCACACTGGTGCCGTTTCTAGACCTGAAAATGTCCACATTGGGATTTGCGGGAGAAGAGAGAGAGAGAGAATACATTAATAAAAGTACCACAATATTGGGTTCTCTTCAACAAAAAAGCGCGCAAGGGAGCTTTTTTTATTATTACATCTCTCTGCAGTTTAGTTTTCATTCTTTTTTTTCTTCTTCTTCTCAACTCACCATTGAAGTTCGTGGTTTCCTGCCTCTGTTACATTGCAGAACAGTACCAGTGGATGTCTTATTTCAAATACTTTTAATTTAGCTTCTGTATGATCGTAATTTGGAACTAGAACATCACCTGAAAGTGGAGAATAGAAGACAGAGAAAATTGTTAGTACAACAATAAAATTTTTCTTAATAACACACAAAGGAATTATATTTTGAATAGGGAAAACCAGGATAGGAAAGTTTCGCAATATATGTAAATTCAATAATAGTAGAAAAAGGACAATAAAAGAGAAAGAATTGCCTAATTTAGCGCTTATTGAAACAAATGCTGGCATAGTCTATCAATAAAGACAAGAAACTTGTCGAAGAAAAATCTGCAAATATTTCACACCAAAAGCTATTAAAAAAATATATATATCTATTTTACAAAGAGTATTTAGAGGAGAACTGAATAAAGAGGGAAAAGTAACTTTGTGGGCTGTCTATAATGATTTTTATGGAGTCTCTGCATGGAAGAGAATCACACATTCTCTCACAAAATCTCCCCACTATATACACATCATCCCACGCTTTTCTTCCTCCTATCCACACTTTGCCTCATTCACTGCCAGTTATTCCTCATCCACAGCCAGCCAAGATAATACCACAGTGTAGATCCACCAGCTAATTATTGTGATTTACCCATTCCCAACCAACACACAAATGTCGTCACCCACAGACCACTGATGTGCGCCACCGAACGCACAAGAAAACCCAGTAATCAATTTCATTTTAAGACAAATCAGGTCAATACCGATGCAATCTATTATTATTGCATTCGCATGAGAATTTTCAATTGACACGCACTTTTCTCTGGAGGAAAATAATATCAAGCGCGCGCGATAGAGAGAAAATCAATTATTTGGCTTCGTGGCAGCGGGAGGGCAAGATTAAAAGGTGTAAATAGATGCACACAGCGCACTGTAGCATCGAATGCACAACACAACATTCTACAGAAGGTCTCTGCAACTCAATCAACTGTTCATCAGTATTTCACCTATGAAGGAAATAATTAATTTCATAGAACAATAGTTTTGATAAATGCTTCGCAGCAATCAGACGTCAAAATGTACAAGCAAAATGGTTAAATTATTCGATAGATATCGTCTATGATCTTGTGGTTTCCGTGTATCATTGCAACTTTATTGCGCTGTATGCTAAAGGATCTCCTTCTCAAGCCCACACTAAAAACTCCGAATCAAACTGCTAACGAAAAAGGCGAAGAAGCAAAGAGTGGCTCTAATACAAACTATGCAATGAGAATAGCATCTAAAAATCAACGAAAAGGAGCACAGCAAAAAGAATGCACCTCCAGAGACAATAAATTACTTTAGCCGTCATATAAATCCGTGTCTCTCCACTCGCCACTAGAGTTGAATGAACACATCGCAGGTAAAGTGCTTATTGTTGGTCACAAAATTCACTCCGCCCGCAAAGTCAATAAGAAAACGTTTATGCGGACGAGTGAAATATATGGCGAAATGCAATTATGATTATAATTGAAGTGGGAGCCCCAGACAGAAACACATATAAATGCCAAAGGCAGAGAGAAAAAAGAGACTCATTGTGAGAAAAAATGGGTGTATTTTTAGGAGAGTCAGACTAAAATGCAAGGAAAAAAACACGCTTTTCCAATCAACAATAATTGAAAGAGAGTCGAACAGCTTGACTGTAAAATGAAACTCATGCAGAAGAAAAGATACTTCTTTTTTCTCTCAGTGTAATCAATTAATATTCCTCAAAAGTCCTTATATTCTATGGATGTGATTTAAATTAAGAAGAACTTCACAGTGGCAGACAAAGAAGAATTCATTTATCGTAGAAAATTTTCCACTGCAAAAAACTCACACTCACACACACACACACATATATAACTAAGAATTCATCAACATTCTAAGCACATTCACTCGTTCTCTCAGTCTTGTCTTTCTTTCTGTAAGATAATATTTTTAAATCGAGCAAAAATCAAACATCATCCTGGCACAAGAACAACGCATCGCGTCACACACAGAGAGAATATTTGGAAATTTGTACCTCAAATAGCTTTTCTCTATTCTTCCTTCGTGTAGCATTTTCTACATACTGTCTTTCTCTCTCGCTTACTTTATATGCTCGCCCTCAAAGCAACAATAACTATCATGAAATGAACTTTAACGATTATAAATAGTTATAAAAGCCAACAAAATTTTCCCTCAGTTCATCATACAAGCATTTTTCCCTCGTTCACTGTTCAGCACCCAGAAGTTTGGGGCGTGGGGAATTTCGGTGAGTGCTGAAAGCACTTGTCGGAAGCGTCTATTAATTTCCACATCGATTAATTTACTTCAGCCAGAGTCTCATCTTCTCATGCCAAAGAACAAATTGTGATCTTAAAATAATGTCACTAATAAACCGCAGACTAGATAAAATACATTTCTTTGCAGAACACACAAAAGTTAAGCAATATTGTGTTGTCACAAGTGAAATTCTAATAACTGTCATTTGACGTCATTTCATTGTATTTTCAATAAAATATATAAATATGCACACGACACAATGTTTGACATTCAACACCACACATGAGGACATCACATGGGCAATCTTCAAATGAGAGCTTTGCACTCTCGACAATTGCACTTTGAGGCGACACGTGTGATGTATAAATCCCCAACATTGTCGCCACGAGGCGGAGGAGAACCAATAAAACCTGCAGGTGATTCATTTTGGCTGAGCTGAATGGGAAATCAAAGACATATTGAGCGACATTATATGCAGAGAAATTGGTTACTTTGTTGCCCATCATCGCACAGGATTAGCCCATGGTAATTGGATGAGTTGTCATTAGGAATGCCCACATGAAAGAGGGATTTGTGTAGCAAACTTTCCACCCAACTAAAGCATATAACATATGAGTATGTAAGTGAATTTAATTCATTAAATCGCGTCATCATGTTAGCACGCACCCAACTGTCTCTTCTGTCTCTTTCGCTCTTTTTTCACGTGTCCTGTCCAACAACACTACCCTGTAACTGTTTTTTGGGTGAGTTCAAGCCATGCGAAACTTTCTCTCTTTTGCCATTTAACGCACATACGTATAAATGTTTTTCCACCCCCTGCGAGGCAACAACACAACAAATTCCACAGCATATGCACATATCTGGATAAAATTAATGTGTGAGTGATTAACAGGTTTTGCCATTGGAAAGTCTCTCATTTCGCAAATATAATCACGCGGCTGTGTGAGGCAGAAAAAATGGTAGATCCAGAGGAAAGAGAGAGAGAGAGAGAGAGAGGATATTATTTGGGAAAGTTTACCTCATCATATTATCCTTTAACTACATAACACACAATACACACCCAATTGATAAATACTTTCATCACTTTCCACCCACTTTGCGCCCACCCACAAGCACACTTTCTCCTCCCCCTCTCTCTCTCTCTGTCTCGTTTCGGCACGTATTATTATTATTATTTATTACAATAATTGGATAAATACATAATAATGATGCGTAAAACATAAATTTGGTGTTATAATTTATATGCGGGGAATGTTTTGTGTTTCGGCCTTTTCCATGACTGCGCCAAAAAGGCGAAGAAAGTGTGGCTAAAAGGGAAAATCCCCACACAATGCCACATGCTCGAGCGCTATGTTGTGTTATATCCAAATTCTATTTCATCGGTCAAGGCGATTTGCCCCAATTGATGGTCACACATTAACTTTTTCTCATCAATTTAATCTTGTGAATTCAATTCAATCCCCTCTAGCGCTCTCTCTCTCTCTTTCTGCCATTTCATACTCAGCGTGCACACAATATTTATCCAAAGAAAAAACCCCTTCTCCAAAAACCCAATTCGATTCATCAGTGTAGATTCATTCTGCCACAATTTCCCTTCCAAATTTTCCATTTCCCCGCACAGCACACAACTTAAGACAACTATACTTTGAGTAAACTTTTCCCTCGAGAAGAAGCGCAGGGTTGAAGACTGAAATTTGAGATCATGTCAACAAAATTTCTGAGTCACACATGGAGAAAAACTCAAACTATAGTGCGGAGTGAAGTCACGAGGAATTTTTCAAGCAGACGCACAAAGGGAAACTTTCAACATAAACACCCATTCTCTCCTGTCAAAATTCCATCGTTCAAAGGACTCTTTTGCCTTTTAATTCCTCCCTCGCACACCCCGTGTGACAAACTTAGTATAGTTATTCAATTCTTCCTCTCCTCGCACTCATTCGTGAGCGACATTCTCACACCCACTGAATTATTTAAATGTTTGACAAAGAAAAATCAGAAAGCAGTGAAAAAAAAATAGAAAAATGAACATAGTGAGGAAAAAGCACAATTCATTCTCTGATGAACGCTTTGGCGAAATCAGAAAAAACGACTTTACTTTAAAGTTGTGCACTTTTTTCTTTTTATAGTTACGTGTACCTAATTGAAGTTTTATTTAAAGTCGTTTTCTCACAATTTTATCAGATTTAGAAATTGTTCAAGTTTGAAATAAACTAGATTCTTATACTCTAGGTCAATGCAACTATTTATATATTCGTGTTTATTAGAAATCTCATTAGTTTTAATGAAGGAAATCTAAAGCAATATTCATTATTATAATAACTGTTTCAAATTCAGCCACATTCCAAAAGAATCTCCCTTCAAATCAGCACAAATTCACACTTGAGTCAATCCGGCTATTCTAAAAGACATAAACATTGAAAAGTGCAGAGCAAAAAAGTGGAATGTGAAAAAATGCCGACAATCCCTTTTCACGATGGCGTCATAGGAAGTTAAAGTGTACAAAAATCACATTTCTCCCTTTCCAGCCTTTCCTACTCTCTCTCTCTCTCTCACACACATTCGGAAAATATCCATTTCCACTTTAGATTTCCCATCAATAAATTCAAACAGAGTGAGAAAGTGAGACAGAAGGATTTTCCAACTGTTCTATTCTATTAACTCTGATGAACGAGTCTCGGACACAAGGCGAAGAGGGTTGAGAGTCAGAAAAATCCATAAATTAAAAGTAAAACTGGCTTCAAGTTTATGAAGTGGAATTTGTGTCGATGTCTCTTCTCAAGTCTAACATTCCACACTTAAATCCAATGGACGGCAAACAGCCACGGAGGAATTCAGTGCACTACAAACATTCAACTCTTTCTCATAGTACCGCCATTGCTCTCCAATTTCTCAACGCCACACAGAGTCGCGCGCCCTCACGCAGACCCAGTGGTGTTTATTAATACAGAACATTATCAATTAATTAGCTACTGATTGATTGATTAGTGAGTATTGGAGGACGAGTACAAGAACGTAATAATTTTACATTCATTCTCACGGAAACACACACACACTCTCTCTCTCGCTCTCACTCTTCGGCGACACTTCTCAATGACTATCGATGTGTCTTTGAAAGATAGGGGAGAATATATGTTGTGATGAAATGACTATTTTGAACGACCCTCTAATCAATTAAAATCAATCGAAAGAGGTCACTATCAACGTCAAATTGATAAAACTTCAAGCGACTTGTGGCAACATATGAATTTCGTCAAGTGGCGAGATTAAATTGACTATAGAGACTTCATATACTTACAACGTTTCAAACACACCACAATTAATTATGTTACAAAGTACGAAAGAGAGGCGAGAATAAATTGCTAAAATATCCACAGCAGAGGCAAACATGGAAACTATACAGAGGACTAAATTGAAAATAACTTGTATGTAACTCAATTTATCAAAACATAATACTTAATTCACAAAGTATCATTCAAAACACAGCTTTTACAGATCATGTTGAAGAGAAAAAGAAAGCTTCAGGGCAGAGGAAGGAAAACTTCATAAACACTATACTATAAATGAGATATTTCCTGTGAATCCATTATTTTTTTCTTCCAATATATGTATGTATAATCTGACGTCTCTTTGCAAAAGCCACCCATCATTGAGTGGAGCATTATTGAGAAATACATATGTAGAATTTTTTATACTAATGTTCAAATATAATTCAATTCAGTTTCGCAGAAATATTTACAGGGTGATTTCACATAAAAACTACCGAAATTCTATATGCTCTAAAAGTCCTGATTCACAGTTTTTTTCCACCATGTGAAAAATAAAGCAAGAAATAACTGAAATAGAGTGTGAAAAAATTGGGGATTCTCATCTAAAACACTGCCAGAAAGTTTAAGCCTTAAAACTTTAAGCTCTTTCCCACCTGTGCTCTTCTGGCTATCGTGCAATCCCCAATTTCTTAAGCCACACCCGGAAAATACCCAAGTGAAACCACCCTCTATACATATGTGTGTGTGTGTGAGATGCTCTTTTGATGATGATTAATCTCTCACCCTTGCTCACGACAAGCTTCTCCAGTTGTTTATCTTTTTGAGCAGTGCTTTCTGTGAAAGTCTCACGTGCGCCTCCTGCCGCTCCACCGTCAATTTCCACACCATTTGCATCCACTCCATGTCTCCCGGCATCACTCTCACTTCCGTGAGCGCTGACACCACTCGTCGTCGATAATTCCTCAATATCTGCCACCACATCCACCGTGTAGTGAAGATGTCCCGTCGCCTCACTCACGTCATCACTGACTCCCGCAGCGGACTCGCCACTCTTGTCGTCGGCCAATTCATTGACTTGAGCATTTTCCTTCTCAATTTTCCCCCCCTTCCCCCCATCATCCTCAATATCAACCACTAAATCATCGTCTACTCCGCCGTCGCCATCGCCATCGCTCTCCCACCCCACCAGCACAGTGCCCTCGAAGTCATCCTCCAGAGCGACCATCTCACGCCCTGTAGTGCTCGTGCCGGCGTCAATTTGACTGTCGACATCATCATTACCAATCTCGCTCGTGGTACCATCGTCCCCAATGTCCAGATCCACTGTAGTCGCTGGCCTCGACGACGTCAATTGTGACGCCACGACATCAATCTCAGCGACCATCGTCGTCGTGGTCGCCCTCCCATGGTGCTCCCGCTGCCGATGTCTATGCAAATCCGCCCTATTGCTGCCGCTGTTCACCACGACTCTCAAGTAGTGCGAATTCGGATGGACTCTATTGCACTGGTACTTTCCCTCGTGCCATGGCTGCGCCTGGCTCACGCTCAGCGTCGCCAGGAGGATGTTCTCACCGTCTGCCGACCCAAACCACAGCGCGCCGCCCCAAGTCAAGTTTGCAAGAGGGCATTTCCACAACACATACATATCAATCAACACAAAAGCATAACATCCAAAAATAATAACCGCATAGTGAGAGCAGTGAAGAGAGAGAAAATCATCAATTAGTTATTGTTTGAATTTTCCTATTACACTTAGATAATAGATTATACAACAACAATTCCTATTATTATTCCTTATGCCGCCTTCAAACTACACAGAACTTTCCACCCCATTCTCCTCTCCTCCAGACTCCTCTCTCTCTTTCTCTATCAACCTATTTTCACACTTTCAGCAATATTATGTGTGCCTCCAATTTAACTAAACTTTTTATTATGATTACTCACTGAGCATAAAGTTAAACACGGTACATTTTCGCTCATTGAATTTTCCACAAGGAAGCTTTTCCCGGGAACACTTTAATATCGTGTATTTCAAATATACACACACACAGACAAAACATCATAGGTGGAACTTAAAGTATACTATTAAATTGGTATTAAAACCTTAAATTGCTAAATTTGTGGCATACTTTCTAACAATAATTCGCCCCATTTTCTCCTCCTCCCCTTTCCAGTGCATAAAATTCCATTTTCCAGCACAAAAGCTATACAGAATTTCCCACTCATTCCAACTCACACTATATTTGTTCTGACTACTTTTTGTGCGCACCATGCACAAAAGGGGTTCCTCGGGGCAATTTTAAATCCGTTCGCCACTTCAAAAGGACACCCAGTCACACTGTGTTTTGATCAATAAAAATAATATTTGCACACCGCCATGTAACAATTTTTTGCCGTTACGCTCTCCTCAATTCAATTAATTCCATTGAACAGCAATTATGTGTTAAATGAGAATCAATTTTGCGTCCCATTTAAAATCGTCATCGCATTTTTTCTCTCCCTCTCTTTTGCCACAATTTCACACACAATTTTTTTCTTTTCAATGAAATGGAAATCATTTCCATGTCATTGAAAATCCCCGCACAGCAAAGAGTATGAGAAAAATCTGGCGCTCAAAGGATGAATGAATGAATTTGTCCTCAGCGTCTAAAATTATTAATAGATGTCTTAAGGACGAAAATAAATAATGGTGCAAAGATGTGAAGAAAAAGGCGTGTGAGTGTCGCTCTTGACGACAGTTTTTCAGAGACAAATACGTCAGGGATTATCGCTAAGCACGGCACAAACTTTGTAATAAATGCGATAATGTGAACATTTTTGCATTTTTCCTCTCCTTGGAAAAATGAAGTCAATCAATTCTATCTCTCATCTCTATCACGTCAAATTTAAGCATTTTATTTTCTTCAATCCTCGGAATGTGAGAAAAGTGCAATTAATTGAGTGGTGCACATGACACAGTTCTAATGAAATTAAAAAAATGGTAAAAATGAGATTAAATGATTTATTAATGGATGCCTTTCTAAGTGAGACAAGGCTTTCATTCTCATATTTTTCTCATCTCTTCACCTAAATACGAGGCATTTTGTATGTTCTAGCCGTTCCAGCATAAAGCACCTTATTTTATCAGTCTAATTTCCGGCATATTCCTACATATCTTATCACAAACTACTATCTGAAGAGCCTTGGAAAAACACCCTTTCTTTCAAAATTCCCTGAAAAACTTGTTTATGAACTTGTCAAGTATTAATTCTGGGAAACGGAACATGATTTTCCCTCTGATTAATATCATATTCTAGAAAAATTCTGAGAAAAATGCATCAAAGACACTTTCTATGCGTAAAAAATAAATCACTCGCCTTGGCGCTCAATTGAAGTCATAATCTCTATTTGCTCTCATGCTCGTACTGAATGAAATAGTTTGGAAAATTGTTAAAAAATTCAGAGCATTTGTTTTGTTAGATCCGCCACCACTTGAACTTCATTAAAAATGCATGGAGTACATTTTTTGCCACGTAAGAAAGAGATAAAGATAATACTGTGAGATAAAAGGCAGACGAGAATCTCAAGGCAAAAATTCTTCAGCTTTTCATTCATGATTTTTCTTCATGCAACTCAGAATTTCCATATGCTGTTACATCAGCATACGAAATTCCTTCCACTTCTGAAAGTATTTTTTCTCTTTTCGCTTTTCCACACTCCCCAGACAGACGGAAAAATAATGAAATTGCTATTTTACGTCTGGTGCATTCTTCAGGCGAATAGTATAAAATATTATTTTTTACGGCACTAAAGTCACCTTGGCACGACATAGTCGAAGAAGAGAACGGGAGAAAAGTTCTTGCAGTGTATATACTTCACCTACACATACTATATAATAAATTAATATGTTTAAATCTAAAATGATTTTGTGGGCAAACAAAATTCCAATGGTTGAAATAACAAGGTGGAAAATGTTTATACAAAAAGTCTCTGAGCAGGAGGAAGTAATTTAAATAGAGTTGACCAACTTTCAGGATGAAAATCCACCTAAATTGGTCTTTAACTAAAAGCAGAAATGGAATTTTAATTGCTTCATCTTCTTCTGAGCTTTATTGCAATCTGAAAGCTCTTTCACTAAAACTGCTAAGGTGAAAATTTATTTAAAGTCTATTTGATGTTAACATTTTTATATTGTTTTGTGTACCTTCAACGTCAGATTCGGTAAGAACATATGAGTTCTCCTGACTCACATGATGCCCCATTAATTTGCTGTATTTTTCAAGCATTTCACCGTCTTTCATCCACTGAATGGACTCACTTATCGATACAGTGCAGGTTATTGAAAAAGGTTGACCCACATTTACATGCGATGGCCCAATGTAGACAGTTGAGTACAGATTATTTGCTTTATATCCTCCTCTTGCTGCATGTTTGGGGGAGTGGAAAGGACAGTTTTCATTGTCTCACCTTCACAACAAGCAACACAATTATGTCGCACACGACCAAATATGCAGGAATATTGAAGGGAAATTCCATAAAGCATCGCAACCATTAAATATTTCAGCTCCATGCACACTCGCACACACATTCCTTCTTATCATGTCACGAGAGGAGAAACCCTTCTCCTCCGGGCAAAGGCGAACAGAGTATAAAAAAAAACATGGGGCGACTGATAATGTGACTCTTTCAGCCCCAGAGACAGTCTCTCGGCGACTGTTAAACAATTTGGTAAATATAAATATGAAATTATACTATGTGAATAAATATTTTCGCAGCCCAAAAACATACACATATTCCACTCACCCTTTCCCACTCTCTCATGGAAAATGGTCAAGACGGCGGCAATGTGCTCTCGAATGGTGGAGAATTTTGTGACATTGTGTCTCATTTCCTTATCAAATCCCATATCTCACTGGTCAACGCTCAACCACAAGAGTCACAAATGTACACACGCATTTTTCTCAACTACAATTTTATGGCCAACACACACACTCACACACATACACACACGAGGGAAAATAGGAAAAGCGGAAAAAGGGACAGTCATTTAGAAGAGAGACAGTGTGTGATGGGGAAAAAGCAGAAATATGTATATATGACTGAATGTGCAAAGGAGACAGAGAATGGAATATTTTCTGTGAAAAGTCCATCTCGTCAATTTTCCTCCATCCAAACCTTAATCTGTTTTTTTGCCTCTACGCGATCTTTCGCATATTCTCTGTCTCCCTCTCTCTCTCTCGTTCTCTGACACTATTTATTCATCATATTTCAAGATTTCACATCATAATCTTTCACCATCAATCCGCCCTCCGTTCGCATGAGCAAAAAAAATCACTCATCATTTCCAGTGTGCAAGGAGTCCACACAACCCATCTTGTCTCCACTCATCCTCGCCAGATGCTCCTGACCTCACTTTTGGTGTCGCCTCGTCCTGCGTTTCTTCAGTGTATGTATTGTGTGTGTGTGTGTGTGTGTGTGTTGGTGTGTACATTTAAGAAATGAAAATGTACGCCACATCAATTCACTCTCGCCAAGAGACACTAACTCAATAGACATTGTTATTGCAAAATTAGGGCTGATACTTTCAGCCATTCGCAATTGCACATAAATACGCCAGAGATGACATTTTCCGTCAATTACCAAGAGAGGAAAGAGAGATCGATTATTACATTGCAGACATAATAGGAATTTTCCGTAGGCTCTTTTTCCCTTTTCATACAACGCAATTCTCTAGAGAAAAAGATATCTGTGACATGGATGAAGAAAGATAGTGTGCAAATACAATTTTCTCAAAATATTTCCCATATGCATCACTCTTGCAAATCAGTAAATCATTGCTTAATGACTCATTGGTCATTATCATTAAGGGTAGGATATAAGAGGAAAATGACCAAATAGGGAGACAGAGAGAGATAGAGAGGAAGACTTTGACGAAAGAAGCAGGAATTTTCCATGAAATGTAAAACGACAAGTTTCGAATTTCGCATTCACGTCCCATCATATTTAATATGTGTATATAATATAAATATTGTAGATTGAAATGCAAAGTATGTATAACGACTAAAGTTCAGAAAATCTTCCGCTCAACACGCTCTCATCGAAGGAAGAACAAGTCACCTATTAACCAAACTCCACAAACTATACAGAACATCCTGTGGGCAGAAGTTTAATGACAACTTGTAATTATTTCAAAAAAAGAACCATGGAATGCAATCATTCTTCGCAACATCACATAAATTAAATATTCAACATCCATTTTCAAGAGAAACCAATTAGCAATTAAATGTGAAATAGCCAAACAGTCATCTCTGTGACTAGTATTGCTGCGAAATTTTTGCCAGAAACACACACCGTACAGAATTGAACGGGCAATTTTGCAGCTACATGAGAATATTTTCATCAATGATACCCATATACACGAATTGCTGAATTGCATTGAGTGGAAAAGTGGATTACACTTCATGTGCAATATCTATTTTTCTCCACCACTCTCCACACACAACTGCAAGCCAGTAATCTCTCAATTTCAAGAACCTACACACACACTCTCTCTCTCACTCTCGTCATATTCAACTCGTGTGCATCATAATTCCCCAAGGCGAGAGCAATCCCATTCAGTGATATATTATTAATTTTATTATCTTTGCATATCATCTCTTGGAAAATGTCTCAAAATCTCCACGAACACTGTCGTGCACTCATTTTCTCTCTCGAGCGCGCATTCCCGGATGACAAATTCCGTCATTGGATGAGTGAATTACAATCCTTCAGCGTATAATGTCACATGTGAAGCATTTTATATGGCAACAGAAAAAAATTGTGCTATCAGTGAATTATTGTGAGTCAAGTGCCTCTTATAAGATATCCCTCTGATAAGATACACAACTCTTTAGTAATTTATATTTCAATTCCACGGCTCTGCGTACTCCATGCCTGGCATCCATTCTACACTCTTTTTTCCTGGCTCTCATGCCAACATCAAGCAATTTTCCCATCCAAAACCCCCCGCGCTACATGCCCGCCCCCGTCCTACTGGAGTTACACACTTGATACACAATTTTATTATCACAATTGTGTGAGTTGCTTAACAACAGCAGCCCAACAATAAGATTTTCATGTTGACACCCATATTTAGAGGAGACATGATATTTCACCCTCTTTCATCGCCACCCAACTCGTCTCCTCCTAGTATTCTTCTCATCTCTCCGTGGCCAGGGAATGTCGAAGACTCTGGCGAGTGGAGAAGATGAGAAAAAAAAACAATATTCCACAAATGCTGACATACATATACAAGAGAAAGAGAGGGATTCAAGAAAATATCTAACCAGACATCGAGCGACTGAGACTTTTACTGTACAACTTGAATTTTATAAGACCTTAAAGAATTACCAGAAAAAAAGGAGAACACATCAATTGCATCAATTCATAATAGATCACATTTTCACGGGAACTTTCCTAGTGAAATTAGCCAACATAGAGTGCGCCAAAATTCTTTGGCACACGCGTGAGTCTTCATCGCATATTGAAATTTGCCATTCCATTTGACACATAAAATAGACTAATTTTCAGTACAATTTGTGCTTCAATGCCATACTGTTTTTGAGTCACTTCTTTTTCCCTTTCTAATCACATTAAATCCCATATATTTCAATGCCACACAGAACCAAAAATATATCCATCTTTAATCCCATAGTGTTAAAAAGTAATGCAATATTCACACGAAACTGACACAATGATGAAAAATATTCCGATGATTCCTCATGAGATATTTACACCTTGTTGTGGAGAGCACGAGAGTATGAAAAAGCCATTCTCCAGGCTAAAGAGCTCGGTGGGAGAGGTGAAAAATGCAAAGGAGGATATTCAATTGACACGCAACATTCTTTTATTCTCTCTACACTATATAGCGCGCACACCTTGGAAAATTCACCAGTGAAATCCTCACCGGAAGGAGAGAAGAAATTCAATCAAATTGTCAAAGATTTTTTTTTCTATTTCTTCTCTCGCTCTCTCACTTCCACACAACACAAACAACAAATCTCTCATGAGAACTCCTTTTGAAAATGTTATGCGAAATCAACATTTCATCCCATTTCATCCTCTTATTCAAATCATTTTCACATTCTCAGATTCATGCTCTTCTATTAAAAGGGAATTTACAATATAATAAAAAGAAAACTTTTCTCCTTTTCATTACACAATTTTCTACCATTGAAATGCAAACAGAACTTAACATGCTCAAGTTATTTTTCCTACATTATAGCTCACTATTGATTTTTCTTCGTCTAATTTTTCATGTCATTCAAAAAAAAAGCCACACTACATACATGTGACGGCGAGAGAAGGACTATCGTGTGAATGAAAAAAACAATCGAATTAGAGGGTGAAGAGGAAGAAAAATAAATTGTTCAGCAGCTAAAATTCAACATTAGCACGTGAAAAGTTATTTTATATTTATTTTATATAGACCCGCGATGGCCTTTCGGTGCTCATCTAATTGACACCGCGTGTTCAGTGTCTGGTAACTCTTTAAATCGTTTTCACAATTCACTCCCTCAATTCTCTCTCTCCCTCTCTCTCTCTGTGTCTTCTAACATACATCTCGCACTTTTTTCACGCTCATCTTACACACCGTCGTGTTTCGAAAAAAGACTCAACTCTCGCCTCACATTTCCTATTCCCTTCTTCCCACCCCCACTCGCGCCGAAACACCCACAAAATTTGCCTCTGAACGAGAGATTTCGATGAAGGTAAACATTGGAGATATTTGTGAAATATTCAACAAGAACAAACTGAAAGGAAGAAAATTATGTAGTTCTTTTTTCTTTACCACCTCCTCCACATTTTCCACCTCAGCCGAGCCGCGTTTTATGTGCTTTAGTAGTTTGTATTAACAGTTGAGGAAAGCGGAACAAGGAGAGCAAGAGAGAATGTGAAAATAGTGTTATCCATTTGCCAGCCACGGACAGGGAGAGAGAGAGAGCAAAAGAGAGCGAGAGTGCAAAAGATTTCAGATGAGAAAAGAACGTCAGGGATTCTCTCTCTCTTCTTATGTCTCACCAAATTTTTTTTCCAAAAGCATTCTTCCCTTAAATCAATTCACACTTTAATGCCAAGCAATTTGTTGTATTTTTCCACCCATCGGAATTCGCAAATACTCACGAAAATTTCACTGATATTGTGTTTGATTTTGAAAAGAGTCTTAATTAAACTTCAAAAGGATGCAATATTAAGTTTTTATTTCCTCACACATTAAAAAATCATCATCATTTTTCCTTCTGTCGTTGCGTGAGAAAAAAGAAATTCTGGGAAAACTCCAACTATCTCTGTCTCTTCAGTCCATCATAATATAGCATAAATCCAATTCCCAATCTATATGTGCAGAAGAGTAATTTGACCAATGGTGAATTTTATGTGTATGTGATGTTCTCACATGCCTGGCAACCTGCCCATCATCTCACCCAAGCCAAAACCAAAGTGTAAACCCAAGCGAGTGTAAGTCAAGCCATGGCACGACAGGAGAGAGACTCTGTAGCATCGCCAGATGAAGGAGGAACAAGTGACTTCCACACATAACCACGCCACATAGCGCCAGAGATAGACGATATAGCACAATTTTAATTGTTCAATTTTCCCCTCTCCCCCCAACCAACACGAGCGCGCACACACAGTTTAGCAACAGAAAAAAAAGAAAATACCACTAAATTGAAGCCAGGAGGGAAGGCCATAGTGTAGAGAGAAAAATAAGAGACGAGAGGAAGAAGAAAGAAAATGAAAGGAAAATACGGAGCATTCAACATTGCGGACTCACTCGATTGGCTAATAATAAAAGAATAAACTTGTGACGTTATATTTCACATTGACCTCGTGCAAAAGAGGTGAAACCTGCACAGAATTTGTCCACTGCTTCTCTCTACTCTCTCTCTCTCTCTCTTGATCTAGCCAGATTTTGCCAGAAAGTATCGGTCAATTTGAAAGAAACAACCACCAATTTCTCTCGTCACTCTCTCTCTGCCTTTTCCGACAGTGTTAGGTACACACATTCACGGCGCGGAGGATAGGGCAACATCAAACCCAAAAATAGTTGAAGAAGCATCCATACACATTCATGTGGCAATATCTATTTTAAAATGCCATGAAAATTGAATCTCCTGTTCAATTTAATTCCCACCCCGAATGTACAATGGCCTGGCGAATGAGAGAGAGAACACTGTGTTGTGTGGTGGTTGAAAAGAAATTTATATATGTATATATCCGAAGAAGCGACTCGCTGTGCTCATTCGAGACAATTTTGAATAAATAACACTCCATTGCTACATTATCCTGGCAAACCTCAGTCAACATTTAATAACATCGTGAAACTGCAGCGAAGGCGGAATTAAACTGACACGAGACAATTAATATTGTACACATTGTTTGCGAAATACACATTAGCACGATCGACAGAGTGATTCTCGGGAGAAATCTTGAGATCTACCCTTGTTCCGCGCGCAGGAAAACATCCCCTCGCAGTCACAAATCACCAATCGAACCCCAAAGAGTCAGTATCAGGCCAAACCCTTTTCATATATCGCAACATTTTGCAAATATTCACTTGGCCCACTTCCATCCAACCCCACACACTCGCCCAAGACTCTCTCTCTCTCTCTCTCTTTCTCTTTCAGCTGAACTTTTCCACATCCTCCCCCCGCCCGACAGAAGCGTGGAAGAGCGGGTGAAGCATCATCCCAGAAGCCCAGAGTGACTCACAGCCACTCTAATCACCCCATAAAGCGGAATGGAGTGGGTCCGAGAGCCTTGCGCGTATTGTTTCAAATCATATCGACAGAGAGTGCGAGAGAAGTGAGAGTTTGAAATCAAAAACTATTTTTGAGAAACTATTTTTAAAGAGTAAATTCACACACAAAATGCCAATCCACGCTAATTCCTAATTGTTTCTCATCTCACAAAGCCAGAGTCCATTGAATAAACTCTCATCATCTGCCCGCTCTTTCCCGCACGCACTCCTTCGCCTAACCCGAAGTCATTCAGCAGCATTTCCCCTCACATATGTTCACACACATCGCGCCTATATAGAGAACAATCTCGGGATTAATGCGAGCGGCATTTCGTGAAAAATGATCCATCAGCGTGATCAAGGCATTAACGAGTAGCAATATTTTGACATGCAATTGTCAATATGGACAGCAATGTGTGCCTTAACAGACTTATACCTAATTTCCACAGAAATTATGTTTATATGCTCGATAGTATCAAGATCCAGAGAGATATTTCGACTCATTAGTTTTCCTTTTAGCTTTGCCTGTTTGTTGAAAAATTCAATTATCTGAAAATAATATCTCCAACGAAATGCTCTAATGCCAGAGATTGTATCTTCAAATTTCCACCTTTTAGAACAATATTGATTAGGCGCTCGAAAGTCATTTGGAAATTGCAGTGGGAGTGATTTTATGTCCTGCAATTCACTAAATGACCCTGAGAAAAATCCCTGGATTGCAAATTCATTCAAGACGACTTGTGAATTCAACACTAGAGGCTCAGGTTTTGTGGCTTAATTGCCTGGCAAACAACGAGTCACTTCCCTGACTTTCCCAAACCATTTTTTTATGGACAGTAGAGATGATAAAGCACAGACAATTGGAGGCCGATAAGGAATATTATGGCAATTTACCATTGCAACAAACATCTCGGGGAGCCCGTGGAGCCCCAGTGGCACGTGCACGGCGGCGCGGAGGCGCACAAGTCCGAGTTAACTTGACAAACACTGGTGCATTCAATGCCAACGCGAATTACGTAACCTAATAATTGATGATAATGACGATGATAGTTGTCTCGCATTGTGGCGAAAAGGGACACGGCACAGTCACACCTCACTCACAGCACGCTCACGCGGGTCGGGCTTGAGCCCGCGCGCACGCCGGACGGGCGGGGAGGGAGCGCGGCACTGCCGGAAGGCAGCGCCTTGGGTGCGTCACGGGCGCGCACGGGGAGGAAGTGGAGATGGCCAGGAGATCAGACATAATAAATATGAGCTTTACTATCAACATACCTTGTGCCGAAATCGCTAAAAATAGCAAAAGTGCCAGTGAATATCGCAGAAATGGAATCAGTTTGTGGTGCTCCATCTTGATTATTGACCCAATTTATTCCGTGTTGATGCAGTGACGGGCGGGGGTGGTGGCGAGGGTGGGCCGTCTGGGGAGCCCACGGGGTGTCCACTCGTCGCCTCGGCGGGCCGTGGGCGTCGCTCGTGTCACTGTTGGAGGCTCTGGCCCCGTGTCGCCTTGGCCTCTGGCGGCCCCTGGGGTGCTCCACGCAGTCGCTCAGCTGGCACGTCCGGTGGGGTGCATCCGCGGTCACAGGCACCCCCAAATCGCCCTGAGAGAATCACTACGGACCCGCGTGACGGTCACTCTCGCAACTCTGCTGGCCCAATGGTGTGGCGCCTGGGAGGATGGTGTGTGATATCCGCTCGCGCTCCCCCTTTGCCGTGTCGCCCGCTCGCCGAGGGGGTTGATAAGCACGGTGTGTGAAATGAGGGTGATGAAAAGAGGCCAAAAAAGAAGCGACGAACCAACGAAAAACCCAACAATTTGTATGTTATTTAAAAAACAAGAACACAAAATGGCGAATTTTTCACTGCCTTTGCACAGAGTGTTCGGGATCACGAGACAATCATTTTTCTCTCTTTCTCTCGGGATAACTTTTCGGGGCGACCCCTCTGGCCACAATCAACACACCAGCACTAATTGTACCGAAATGGATGCATTTAGCGCTTGGGACACCACTCAACGCACTCACTTTTATCCCCTTTTGCAGTGTGATAAGACTTTTTTACTTTAATTATCACGGATTTTCCCTTTTTCGCGCAACGCTTTTGGCGTTTTCCACTCTAAGCCACGACTTACGCACGAAGAAGAAGAAGACTCCGTTATACGCCTCGCTCGTGGCGCCTCTGGCGGAATTGCACGCGCAAGTTGGCATAATGAGTGGAAATTTGCAGTGTCGGCGCAATTATTGGGGAGAAAATGCAGAAAAAAGATTCTTTGGCGTCCAATTTTGTCAAATCACGCCCTATTGTGGCAGCAAAATGATATTGAATTCATTTCAAATTGGGCTTCCAGTGATCACCACTATTGGCGCTGTTGGCACTTTCCGGACGTTAATTCGGAAAGTTTGGGCGTTTTTCATTGCACTTTCCCGCTGAATCTCTTTCATTCAAACACTTGTAAATTCAAATTCTGTGAAGATTCTAATGAAACAGTGCATTTCTCTCAATCTCAACCAATTTATTGACTTTTTAAAAAATCTACAGCTAGTCTCTCGGCTTCGCTCGCTACAGCATCCAATCTTGTGGGCCAATCACTCATGAGGAATACTAAATTTATCGCTCTTCTTTCACCTCGCGGTGTCTGTTAAAATTGACAGAGGAAAACACGCATATCTCGCAGTTGAAATAAAACCAATTCTTGTGAAGGAATTCGGGAATTAAATGACGGGTGGACTATTCTCCTCGCTGCTCTCTCACTGTCTCTCTCTCTCTTCCGGCCGCTTACATGCTCAGGTATCCGCGCGCCTGAGCCCTGCGCCTGCCCACCAGATAGGCGATCAGGACGATGACCACGAGCCCGGCGAGGGCGCATCCAACCGCGATTGGCACAATGTCTGGCGTGTCGATGGCATCGCAATCTTTGGCGGTGGAGAATGCGTCCGAGTCGCGCGTGTGGAAGGCCTCCAGCTGCAGACGCGACACCAGAGCTTGACCCAGCACCGTCACCTCGTCGCTGGCCTCGGCCGACGTGAGATTGAGCGCCTGGGCGCGCGTGCAGTGGTACGACATCGTGAGCGGCGTGATGAATTCATGCTTCTTGTGCACCAACGTCAGCGACTGATTAGCTGTCGAGGGGAAGAGAAGAAAAGCGTCAGCACACAATCTGCGAGAGATCAGATATACACACGCAAACACACCTTTAGCGCCCGGGAAGATGTCAGAGGCATTGAGATCAAATCGCAGCTCCGTGAGCTCGTACTCCTTGACCGTGTTATTCACGCTGAACGTGAGCTTCACCGTGCTGTACTTCTTCCACACCAACTGCAGAACATTCTTCTCGCCATCGCAGAATCCAGAAGCAACTGTCGTGTCGTTGGCTGGCAAATTGTACAGAATCTTCCGCGTGTTGTTATCTGCGAAAGAATGACGCATTGAGTAACAGCCACAACTCCAAGGGAAGCTTCCAGAGGTCAAAGCGAGACTACATTTCACGTGGTCAATCGATAAAAGGCACTTCATAACATCGAGTATTGCAAAGTGTTTTTTTTTATTGCCTCACACTCGTTAGTTTTTTTTGTGTGTTCATTCGCAAAGAGTCAGCAAATAATTCATCAAACATTTCTCACAGTGTTTGGCTGACGACTTCTGATAACAGTGCATTAATTATTCATCAATTTATCACTCTCTGGAGGATAACATTTTCAATTAAGTCAGCCTGGAATTCACTTCTCTTCCTCTGCCATTCGTCGCGTGATTGCCAGCGAGATGCTCAATTTTTCTCCTTTATTCACTTATCAACTCGCTGTGATATTTTTTCTTTGTTGAATTCGCTCTCTGCCGTATCAAGAGTGGGAATTTAAATAAAAATTTCTCAGCAATAGTGGAGATAATCTGGCAATGGCAATCATGTGACATTCGAGTCTAAAATAGACCTTCTCACTCCGAAGGTGACTCATCGAAAAACTGCCTTTTCTGCATTTCAACAATCGCGAGATAAATTATGTGAAGGAAAAAGATCAAGTGAGAAAATACCAATTTAGATGGCAATTATTGAGAGGTTCTGGAGGAAATAGAATGCACTTGCACTCTCTCTCTTCGTGTTAAGTCATAATTGCAAGGTTTCAAACTTTCTCTGCCACTTCCAAAGTGAATTGAGGCAATTTCCTTTGAAACATTCTCAGTAGTCAAGATAGAGTTAACAATTTTCAGTCTACTAGACAAGTGCAGCGATAAGTTTCAGACACAGAAGCTCGTCTGAGTGATAAGAATTCGTAAAAAGCGTAAAAATAGGCTTCGGATTTATAGAGAATTGAAGATTTTCTAAAACGTTTCACATAACTTATTGATTAAGCCATGAGGCGATTTATAGCTTGTTTATTTTTCTAGCAAAAATTCAGACTCCAAACGAGTCTAAAATCTATTTCCACTTAATGGTTTTTTAATTGTGACATTTTCAATGCTAAATCATAATCAAAGTAACGTGAAAATAATAGCCATTTGCTGCTTTATTGAAAAAAGCTGAATTTCGGACAATTTTTCACCCAAATTCAAAGATTTAGTTTGAATGCATTCTCAAGTGCATCGGTTTGTGGCGAACTACTATCTAAGCCTTGTTCAGAGTTCTGATTTGGCTTAAGCCAAATCCACAGTCTGTTTGACTCTCAACTCTCAAGAACATCTCAAGCAATCAATAGGCTTTCCATTGAAATGTTGCTCAAGTTCTCTGCTTTCGCAGAAATGCAGTGGAAATTTCCAGACTGCTTCACGAAGCGGGAAAACCAGGGGCGATTCCGCTGAGTTCTGGGCAAACCCAGAAGCGCAGTCCTGCTATCTCACCTGTCAGCACGTAGGAGACGTTCAGCTGCACGGCCATCTGCACGAGGATGCACGTGTGATTGGTGGTGGCGTTCTTGAATTGCCACTTGCCCATGTCCGGCGCCGGCACGGGGCCCGGCTGCGGCGTGGGCGGCGGCGGGGCGGCCGTGGTGGTCGTCGGCGGCTCAGTCGTGGTGGTGGTGGAAGTGGTGGTAGATGAGCTGGTGGAGGATTCCGTGGTGGTCGAGGTGGATTCCGTGGTTGTCGGCGTTGTTGTCTCTGGCGGGGGAGTCGTGGTGCTCGTGCTGCTGTCCGGAATCACTGGCAAGGCTTCCGTATCGCTCGCGGCTTGGATTTTCTGGGCGGCTGCAAAGAGCGTTATCTATCACATATTGAATTTCATCACAGCAAGCTGTGTGTGCAAAAATGTAAATTCAACTCTCGCCCGGAAGACTTTTCTCTCGTTCGCCTTTGTTCTTTATCAGAGCGTATTCTGGCAGAGAAATTCCCCAAACAGTCACAAGCAGATTTGCTGAGAACACAAAAAGCAGACAGACCAACAAAAATGACTCGTCAAGGAGGAATTTGCGTCATTTGCGTCGCAATTATGGATGTTTTTCCATTGAAATTTCTCACATCGAAAGGCGAGAAAGTGCGATTTTTAGAACTCGCCCAACTGCAGTCGAGAGAAAATCAATAAAACCGCATGAATGCGTCAGATTGTGTATGGATGCCACTGATGCGCTCCCTCGGGCTGTTGCCTTATCAGTGCGACAGCCCCCCGTCTTCCCGTGTGATTGGACAGTGGAAAAATAGTGAGGAATTCGGCCACCATTGCTGTGAAAACTCACCGAGCGCTACCAGAAGCAGCAGAGCAAACGTCTTCAGCGCCATTTCTCCCTGGGCGGACGATGTATCACAATGTTAATCACTTAGGGGACTTGCTTGCCTCGCGGACTTTCGCCTCTGAGCACTGAAATCACGCAAAATCACACAATTTGTCGCTTCTTTGTGTCGAAAGGAAAATCCTCCCGCAGTTGCCGTACAATGGAGATTGATTGCTTTTCCGCCAGAGGAACCTTCAGATCCACGCATGGCTGCCAATTGCGTGTACTAAAAATGACGAAATATGGTTTTGAATGAAAATAGCACTCAACGAATTTGCTTCTTTTCGCACAGTGAGGAAAAATCAATGAAAAGTAATTGCTCAGCGCAGGAAAATCACCGCGAAAGCTTTTTGCGGTAGGTAAGTGATCACTTGCGTTATTCTCTGATTAATAATCTGAAGATGGATGGTGAGAAGAGGAAGAATCGTATTAATTCCCACGCACACGCGTTGGGAAAGTCTATAGATATTTTGTCTCTAATTAATTTTTTCACCTGAGTGGAAAAAGAGAAATTTTCCCCATCCGACGAAGGTGCGTGCAAGAGATGGGCGAGTAATTAATGATTGAATAAAGAATGGAAAGATTATGTTCTCCATCTCTTATCCTCCACCAGGACGGATCAATTTTTACACCTCCTCGCCTCGCACCCTGAGCGGAAGATTGTACAAGGATAAATTTCTAATGTCGTGTTCTTAAACACTTGCGACAAACAATGTGGGATAAATGTTTGATGAGGGGAGCGAAGTTTCTCAACATTCTCTTGGGGATTTTATTAACTTGTCCCAATGACGAGATTTTCAATTCATTCCTCTTCTGTCACTGATTGGCATTAAACTTTGAAAACAGCCTCCCCCTCCCCCTAACTCAGCTATTCTTGTCGAATTATCCATAATTAATGACTTCATTTGAAGATAATTTTCACCATTCTTTGGGAAGTTTCATGAGAAAAATTAAATTTCAACATTTTATTGCATTACTAAATTTTATCATGATGGATTTGGGACAGGGAAAAAACTGCTCTATTGATAAATATTTGAGTGAAACGAGAAAAGTATTATAATTTGAGAGGGAGATAGCCGTATTTTTTCAATTATAAATTAATCATTTCTATGGAATTGAGCTTGAGAAAATTCAGCAGCATGAATAAGTCAAACTCCGCAGAGAAATTCGTCGAATCATAAATAAATATGGACATATTTCTGAATTCTATTGTAGTATTTTTCCGTTTTCTTGGGTGGAAAACTTTACGTCTCCAATTGGATTGGAAGTGAAATAAATATTACATGAATTGATGGAGAAATACGCATCAATTTGAGGAGAGATTTATTTTATGCACAGCTATTCAATATAAGAATTGTAACATCGTGAAGATGCGACAAAGAATTTTCAATTGAAATAATAAAAGCGAATGACGTCTCAAAGAGCGTTTTCGATGAGGTGATGAGAGAAAAATTGGACTGTTGATAGTCATGATGAAACTGTATGGAAATCCAAAAAGAATTCCTCGCTCCACAGAAATGAAGAAATGCGCGACGAAGAACGGATAATATTGCATTTGAGCGAAATTTAATTTGCCAAACACAAAATCATGGACTGAAATTAAGAAATTCACTTTTCTCCTCCCACCAAAACTTATTGTGCTTCCTTCCAATTTCGCTCGAGCTTCTTTGCATCCGCAAATCTACTTCCTCGCTTCGCATATCATTCAAAGGGTATCAAAAGATGACGAGAAGAGGGGAGTTTTTTTCGGCAGAATCAAAGAAAGGGAAAAATTTAATTTATTTTTTTTACCTACAATTCTTTTTTTCTCCCAATCTATTTTCAGCTTTTCCTCTTCGACATGGCTTTTTTCATCAATTTTTCAATGTGAAATATATGCTTTCGCATTATTTGTACACCTCGAATGGCATGTCAGAGAATATAGAGGAGAAAAGACTGGGAAACTCAATTAAAATACCCAATTGCGAAATTACAGGAAATTTTCAATGACCGAGTGGAATTAATTGAATTATGTGGAAATCACTCTGATTTGGCGATATAGTGAGTTAAAATCATTTGATACTCTCATTAAAGTGGTTTTAATACGAATTATAGCGCGGTGATGTTGTAATCCATTAAAAATATAGCTATATTTTATATTGGAAATCGGAAATAATAATGTGAATATTGAGTACTGCAAATTGGACATTTTTTCTCTCTTCCACTTGAACACGACATGAAAAAATTTCATGCTTCATTTAGAAATAAAAGATTAATTCTGTAAATATTTCAACATGTCAAACTTAAAAAATAAATCCGTATTGATTCTATATTCTATATTGGGTGTTTTTTACCCCCGAAATCATTGAGTTTCGTCGCGATTTCTAGGCAAATGCAGAAGCAATTGGAGAAATCCGAACGCACCCTGAAGCAGATTCCAATTAGGGTGGAAAACTTCTTGCCAATCAATTGTCTTTATCGTTATTTCAATAAGTGATTTATGGCATTGGAGAATGTTGGATTAACACTGGCTGTTGGATTTGGGGAATTTGCTTCCTGAGGAAGTTTGTGTACATATAATTATTGTTGTGAAGATGGTGTGAGGAATGGAAAGTTTAAATGAAGGAATGCGCCTGAGAGAAGCTGAGAAATGGCATAATGAAGAGATCCCACTCGCATGTCGGAGAAAATTGTGGCACATTTATGGAAAATGTTGTATAATCTTGTAGTCTTTAGCATTGCTTTGGTGATGTGGAGAGCTTTATTCATTATTTGCATAAGACGAGGTGCTCCAAGATGGAAATAAATCTCACAAGCGCAATAATACGAATTATGTCAGGAAATACATCCTCGGCTTTATATCTTATGCTCGTGGAGATTTTATTGTGCCACACGGCGATGGTGTGAGTGCACGGGTTATCTGAATAAACTTGAAAAGTTGTAAACAGCACAAACGCGCCAGTGAAACATGAAAAGTTTCTCGCATTCAAGCGCCCATTCCACTCAACGGCGAGGGTGAGAAAGGGGTGGAAAGTGGGGCCTGTTTTGGGGAAGAAGAAATGAATTTGAATGGAATCAAGAGTCTTCCTTATGCTCGATCCCACAAAAAATCCCAAAGCCTCACGCCATGAGTTTTTGGCAGAAAGGTTTATCTGATATTTGCATTTTTGTCAACCCACTGAAAATCCCGGTTGCTGGAAAGTCACGCAAGAGTGCTGAGGAAAAAAAGTAAACCAAAACTCGTGGTTAAGCTCACGGACTGTGGCCAATTCGGACTATTGCAAACTCACTTTGAAGCTGAACTTAAGTGAAGGAAAATCTCTGAGGTCAGCATTAAATTTGAATTCAGTTCAACTTCTCCGCACCATTTTAATCTTTATGCAATTTCTATATTCTACAATAAATCAATATATCATGATACATATTGACATTATCCGACAGATTTTTGCCTTCATATATGTTAAATCATATTTTCTGTAAAAAGCCTCCCTGGACACGTTTTACTCGACTTCGGGACATTTTAGATTTTCGATTGTTCACAGAATGAGCCAAATTTTGAACTCTCAAATGTGTGTCATTCACAGGGTAAGGCGACATCCCTTTTCTTGCTCTCGTCGTACAAGAATAATGATGACCAGACACACTTTTCCAACTTACGAAGCATTTTTATTTTACTCTTATTTAAAATGTCTTTCCTTCAGCACTGAATCTTCTCAGCATTGGAAGGAGAAATGCCGAATGATGCAGCTTTTCGACATGATTCCATTCACATTCTTGAGTCATCAGTATTTGAGCGAAGCGTCTTACAACTCCCACACTCGCTTTATGGATACACCCAAGGGCTTTTGGGGCGTTTGAAAGGAAATTTTGCCACTTAAAGTCTTCTGGGATTGTCGATATGGTTGATAAGTATTAAGACGGTGTCTTTGTCACCAAGCGACTCTCGAGGGACGGAAATTGAACTTAGGGCTATAAAATATCACTCTGGTCGTTTAAAGCAGCTTCGAGTGACCGAAATCGAGTAATTACGTCTATATTTAATCTAATTCTCACGTATAAAATACATGTTAAAGGCTCGAAATCGTATTATCTGGAAATTTCCTCCGACTTTATTGGATTTCTGATGAACTGTCGCAAACATTTGAAGATATGGCAAACTACAGGAGATTAACCCCAAAACTTTCACATCTACGGAAAACATTTCTACTTTGGTGTGAAATTGCGAAGTATGTTGGTTCGTTGAGCCGACAAACTTGTGCATTTCTTCAGCATCTTCAATACAAAATGGTTATATTTCTCTCCTTGTAGAATCTACAAAGAACTCTCTTGGAAGCACACTTTAAAAACAACCCGCTTTCAAAGTGATTGAGATTTTGTTGTCTCGTGCACTTTTTCCGTGATTCCTGTTTGAAATTCTGCGAGGATGTCGCTCTCCTTGAGATGTATCGTGAATTGCGGAAAAAGATGAAAGTGTCACGGAACGTAGAAGAGTTGAATGGGGAAGAGGCACGGTGTGGAAAGTTCGACAAGACGAAAATCGCATTCAAATACTCATTCCTTCCGATGCTCTCAAACACTGCTAACGTGATCATGGAGCTTTTATGCTTCTGATGTATGTGTGTGATACAATTACGAAGCTTTTTCCCACCCTTTCGCTTCGGCTCTGAAGCATCCTTCGCTCATAAAAATACCGACCCAGCCCCAAATGGAAAATTGACCACACAGAGAATTCTGATGGGCTGAATTTTCTCTTTTATACTCCCCAATTTTGGTATTTATGAATGAGAGCCTGGGTGAATGTGAGTGAAATTGAAAAAGAGCAAAATTATATGATTGAGCTTCCCATTGCACGTACCATGGCACAATTTACTGGTAATGTGGCCTTAAAACACCTGACACTCCCCCCTCGAAGGCTCCCTCCTACACCTTTTGTGCGGACGGAAGTTCGCCAGAAATATTGTCTTCGAGAGCGTATTATTTTACAGCTCAGTGATTCCATATAAATTCTCCGAGGCAGCGAAATCCACTCACGATGAGGAAGACGAAAAAAAATATTAAATGATGGCAAGGCGAGCAACAAATGCTCCCACGATACACGAAGAGGTGTATGGAATCTTGCCATTTAATTTTCCAGCAAGGGAGTTCCGGAGAGTGAGAGAACGAGTAGGATTTTCGGGCCAAGTCAAGGGCCACTTTCCCATTCACTTAAGTGATTTCGGCAGCTCTCTTTTCACACCCAAAAGTGTAAATGTGTGCTCTAATGAAAGTGTGTCCAGGAAAGGGTTCTTATCTGCAAACTTTGCTGCTCTGGTTTAGATTTTTGGCAGTGGCAAAAAAGGTGTTGAGAATACGGTAAAAACGAGAGGCCCAAACACTTTTTCCAGAGCTAAAGCTCTCAACAGATGCCACATCATTTAATCTATTCACCCGTCCGCAACTGTTGAAAATCAACACATGGCCCAATGTGGGTGCAAAAAGCCACCCTCTCATGTTTATTAAATCATCTCACATGAAGTCAATTTGCACACTACCCTCTCGCTGATGATGTGAATCAAATGAGAGGCCTTTTTCGATCATTTTGTCGCATATGCCCTTCAAATACATGGAAATTTGCGCGGTTTGCACGAACCAATTAAGTTTGGAGAATTCACATCGCGTGGAGTCACGAATGCCTGGAAAATTAAGTGAGCAAATCAAATAATGGGAAAGTGTGGAAAAGCACAGTTATGGGGAAATTTAATAAGGGTAGCAAAAAGAACTCCCAACAGAAGGAGATGCTCTGGATGGCGTTGAAATGAAGAATGACTCTGTGCGGTGGAAAATCCTCAATGCTCTCATTCTATTCTTTTCCATCGGGAGAAGTGTGTGTGTGTGTTCAAGAAATGTATGGCCAAAATGTGCTGACTCGTTTTGCAATTTTGCCTTCGATCGCACGAAGATTCCTGGAGGACAATGAAAAATCTTTAATTGGACACTTTACGGAGCCAATTTGGGGATTCTCTCTTTATTGTCGTCGACAAAATCCTCAACATTGTGTGCAATTTCTTTACAATTCTAACAATTGTCAGTCGCTTCATTGTGGATCGATAAAGACGTTCGAGTTAATCACGAATTGCAATCCAGAAGTTTGGTGGAGGAATTAATATCAGTTTTTAAGATTGAGCTTTTGGACTTAAATCGGGGATTAAATTCGTCATTTCAAAAAGGAATTATGGAAATGAGCTGAAAATCCAAAATTGGACAGAAAGAATTGCATCAACATCATACATATACATATACTAATAATTACCATAACAAAATTGCGAAGGACTTTTTTGCTGGGGCGATTGGAACACCACGCAGTCAAATGATATTGTCATTAATATCCCAGTGCCAAAATGCATTGACTTGACGATGAGGCGTTGGAGTAAAGTCTGAGGGCGAGTGGAAGCGAGGAGAGGCGCTGGAAAGCTGCTGGGCGCAAACTCACCTCCTCCCCATGTAGCTTTCCCACTGTTTTTCCACGGCGAGAGTCCCTCCGGTGGGGTGAAAAATTTCACGGTTAGAATATTCGATGTTCTCTGATAACAAAACTCCCGCCACGGTGTCAGTGAATTTCCAGCAGTCATCCCAAGCAGACGTCCGCAGAGAGTTACTGCCAAGTCGTGCTCCCACGTGAGAGTTTTGCAATGTGAGAAGTTCCTTTGCTGGGGATTTTGTGTGCCGACTGCGACATTCGTGCTGCCAGAATGAAAGAGAGATTAAGTGACATCGTCTTTCTCCTCATCTTCGCTGTGAATTTCACTTGTGGACAAGGTAATTCGCCAAGAAAATTCACCCTGAGAGATAAGAGATGTTGTACATTGGGGCATTTTGTTTAATTTCACAACATCCCGGCAGGATTTGTGGTTGAACTCCTCTGACCAGACTTGAGTGAAAACTCAATTCATCCGCGAATACCCTTGGGTGTATCACGCGCTTTTCCCGCGAATTGTTGTGCCAAAGTTAAACAATAGGGCTAAATTATAAATACAAGTTTACGAGTGGAAATACAGTTTACATAAATTTCTCCACCCGCTGCGGTTCTTCCGCAATTCTCCAGGGAGAGAGGGGAGAGGGAGAGCGTGTGGATGTATCTTTGGAAATTGTGAGAATTGTGCGCTAATGAAGAAACAACCGAAATCATTGCTTTCATCTTGCCTGGCTCAGACGCGCCCTCCTTTCGCTGCCCAAGAAAGTTGGCAAAGTTTCCCCATTCAATCCGCTGGCTTCTCCACACTGTAAATAATTACTTATTTTGCTCGACGTCTCTCTGTTCTCATTTTAATCCATTTCATCGCGATGCCCCGTCCATTCTGCCATCCACCTTGGAAATTGAGAAAGTTTTTCCGCGCGCTCAGAGGTGTTGAAAGTTTTCTAATCAAAAAATGATTGCAAGAATCGCCGTGCCTGATCTCGGAATGGCATCTCGATCCACCTTGTCGGTGATTTATGTCACAGACAGATAAATTGCACTCGCGCAGAGGTGTGAAAAAGCACCTAAATAGTGGTGCTTTTCCTGCCCCATCAAGCACCTCTGCATCCCTTGGAATTGTGAGCTTCGGAACGTGCCCGGAATTTATGACGGGACAGAGACGTGTGAGCAGGATATGCAAATAGTGCCTCAAAGGCTTTTCATCTGCCGCTCTGTCGAGGACTTTGTCTTACGATATGCTCAAGTGTCAAGGCTAGACACCGACAAACTTTTCACACCACGTGGGATTTGCAACTTATAACACTCTGGGATTCCTGACAACCATTTATTGAGTTTACAATAGAGCTTTGCGCCTGTGGGACAAAAGAAAACAATTTGGTTTTCCACCGCAATTTCAAATATTCATCATTACTCATGGGAAAATATGCAAAAAACTCATTTCGCAATCAATTCTGCCATTAAATTTTGCCAAATATTCCACCCACATCACGTAAAATTCTTGATAAAACGTTATTATTATGTCCTACATAAAAGAAAGTCTTCACGTGAAACTCTTTGCAACATATATTTTAATTGAATAAAGCATTCAACAGGATGGAGAATGAATGGCAAGAGGGAAATTCACTCTGGTGCTCTGTAAATTTAAATTTTCCAGCTATTCTTTCTCTTGAATTGAACATTTAATGTATAATGAAACGTGCATGAAATGCTGTGACAATTCATTAAAAATCGACGCGACACTCTTGTTAATATTTCATTACCATTTTAGTTTTCAATTATGCGTGTTTACCCTTCAGCGAATCGGTATAATTTTTAGAAATTTAATTTGTATTAATACGAATTATTTGTCACTAACAAATTTGAGCTGGAAATAATTCTATTTGGGAAAGATTTATTTAAATCTCTCTCTAAATTCATGCCATAGAATTCATTTTACTTGTGCAAGGTTTGAATTTTTTATACATTTCATCTTTGTGATGGTTATTTTCTGAATAGAACCAAAGAGTTGAGAACACAATGAACTCTTTCGGTCATAGCAAGTTTTCCAAGCATTCTAAATCCACTATTTCAACGATTTCAACTATTTCTGTTTTTTCTCTGCGCTCAAAGAGTGCTCGACAGGACTGAGTTTATTCCCAGAGTGGCTACAAAAGGACTTTTCCCATTCATCAAATGTGTAAACATGAAATCGTTGAGGAAATCCTGCTTCACTGGAAAGCCCTGTGGAATAATCAGCAAAATTGCGGTGGATTTCCACGTAGCAAAATAAGTTCAACATCCCGCGAGAGGCAAATTACACGATAATGAAGAAATTGCAGCATTCACACAGATAAGATTTCCCATTCGTCATCTTCGGGGAAGTGTAAAAAAGCAACACATTTTCTTGGATTGTGAAAAAGTGCAGTCTGTTTCAATTTTCTCAAAACGTGATGTTGAAAACGCTCAGTTTCAGTTCATCTCGAGTAAAATTATTTCATTCCATGCACCATATTTTTCATATTTCTCCCGTCAGTTTGTCGTGCTTGTTTCTTTTTTCTTGGATGCTTTGAAAGCGTCTCAGAAAATTGCCGAGTTGCTGTATCTTAATATAGAGAAAGAGAGATGGAGAGAGAGAGAGAGAGACAAACATAGGGATGTCAATAAGATATTTCCAGGAAGTCCGAAAACAATGTCATTTGCTTGCTGGAGTGCAAATTCCTGGAGTGTTTTGAAAGGAAGACCAACAATTGGATTCCATGCAGCTCCGTTTGCTGCATTTTCATCTGCCTGAACTAATTTATGAACCCCATTGCAATTAATGATTTCAATATTTTCAAGAGAAAAGATGCATTGAGTCGCAGAGAGAAATCGCACAATTTCCTTTGGCATATAGAGTTGATAAATTGAAAAATAAATAGAAGACGAGGAAAGCAGACCGATGGGAATATTAAATTTCCTCTTGATCATCTGTTTACGTCATGTTGCAAACAAATATAAATGAGAAGCTCAGAAAAAAACCACCGAGACAGGCGAAGATTGATTCAGTCGAAGATTCCACTCCCGCATTATAACATAATTCTTATGAGGGTTTTTTCCCATCCTAAAAACCAAGCAGTGGCCGCCAGAAGATGCATGAAATCGATTTCAATTAATCTCACCAAAGTACAAATTACATTCATCCCGGAAGACTAAAGGAGATCAATACTAGGACTGGATGTGTGGCAAGGCTGCGAGGCTTTATGTTCTTGATGTACTTTCATGTAACAAAGTCAGAAACTCTTTCATCTTTCGCTCTTTCAATTTTCTCATTATAACATTTGTACAACTTGAATATGTATAATAATATACACAAGTTGTGTACGTGCAATTAGAGGAAGCAAATGAAAAGTTCTTTATGCATTTGAATGTGTGCAGACGGAATTACTCGCGGTGTACCACTTCCTCTTCCGCCTCTCGCCTTGCACTCTGTGCTAAAGCGAAACATATCAAATGCAAATTGCTGTTCAAATTCGCAAGAGAGGGTGATTTCAGCGCTCCTCGTCGGGTGGTTTCGCGCTACTTCCGCACCAAACATTTGGCGCGATTGCAATAAATTTCCAGCAAACTGAGCGCTCTCTCCACACGGTCAGTCTCCCGTGGGGTCAAACACTCGCCGAAGCCGGGCAAAAATGAGCTCATCCCCCAGAGAAACACAGGGTGAAAGTCGTTACTTCCAGTCCACGGACAATTGCATGAAATTGAAGTGGTCTCCGGTGACTTGGACACTTCCTCCCACACTCCCCTTGGCCTTATGTGTTATGATAATTGACGTGTCGGATGATGTATTTTCATTTGATTTAATTACCCGGCGCGAGGGAGAGAAATTGTTTCTGCTCACACGATATTCAATTGGGGTAATTTGATTGTCCACGCCAGGGACGCTCAGCTTCATCCTCATCATAATTTGATACATTGGACGGCGGCCAGGAACCAGCAGATTTCGTGTCTGATAGCTGCTGGATAATGCCGCATAATTAATTAAACTCTCCCACGGACATTTTGATGGATAATACAAATATATGTGGGTGCAATTGCAGTGACATCGTATGTCCATTTGCCACCTTCCTCAGACACTCGTACCCACGAATGGGTGGAAATGTAATTGCGTTGTCGCAGCAATGAACAAAAGGTGGTGCGATTGACTAAATAACGCCTCTACGTGCTTAAACCACCATTCATGGGGATGAGCGCGCTGCTTTCAGCTGTTGCACTTCAATTGATCTTTATTCAGGGTAGAGTTGAAATGTCCCATTTGAAGACAGAACTTCCAGATAAAATCGTGAATAAAATGATCAGAACATATTAGTGAGTACAAGAAGAAACTTTTATATTACTAAAACTTTCTCAATTCTGATAACACTTTAACTATTTCTCTTTTACGGTCTGATAAAATCCACAGAGGTTTTTAAATTGAGCTCTCTCTTGTTTTTGTCACTGAATAAAAATACCGCACGTCCTTGTGAGTTTATCTCTGATTCCCCAAAAATTTTCTTATCTCCTCAAATAAAGACAACATTGAAGTGAATTTTACTTGCGAAACTCCTCTAATTGGGTCACGTCGCCAATTAAATCAACTTTTCTCTCTTCACATTTCAATGGACCAATCGGATTTTCTATTATTAATTGTCCTCGTCCTTCCGGTATCCCTCAGAACGCACTATGGGAATGACTGGAGGGCCCGGATTTACTTCACAGCATCCCTGTGTCATTATGCTAATTGGCAATCACGTAAATTGGACACGACATTCTATATATTGTTGAATAATTGAGACGACTTCCTTCCATTCAGATAGATGTAATTAATTTTCACTTTAGCATTTTCAATCTCTGTCTCCATCGTGGATCACTGGAAGATGTCTCGGCGGCCAAACATTGAGTGGGAGATTAATCAATTAAGAGTGGAGAGGTGAAAAAGCACCCAGATCCGAGCTTTGAAGCCACAAGTTGGGTGGTGGATCTCCTCCAAGATCAATCGTTGATTGAATTGAGGGGCAACTCGAGTGGGAGGCAAATCGATAGTGATGTGTATATCTTGGGACTCTCATCGAAAATCCACCTTTAGACCTCATCCTCTGTGTTTGCACTCAGGCAAAGCCTCGGCGTGCAAGTTCTTGTCAAGCCCCGCAGAAGCTCACACAAGGTATTTATACACTTTGCGTGGACGTCTTCTTCTGCTCCACCCTCGCCGCAAGTTGCTACGTGTGTAAAATCGGGGCAATCAATAAGTTTTATTGCCATGTAACTACTTATACAACACAATATCGTTAGGGCCGCACAGGTATGAAATTTCTGCAGCTCGCAAGCCTTCCTGGCGTTCTGGCTTCCGCACCAGTGAGAAGCGTGAAAGTTTGCGGGCAGCCCTTCGGCATTCTCTACTTGTTTCACATTCCACGTAGTCGAGCCCCTCGGCGACTTTCCCGCACCCTTTTGTATTTGCATGTTGCCCTAAAAATCGATAAATATGTGCGCTCTATTGTGGATATGATTTCATTATAGGCACTTTGCTTCTGTGGTTATGTATATTCACTCCATTTTTTACAACTCTCTTAGAGTTTCCCTTCGCGAAAAAGTGCCAGAACTTATCGGCCGACTTGCGATACTCAAACAACAATGATGCGGTGAATTATTTCTTCCTCAGCCATAAATAAATATGAAAAGCATTAGAATTGATCACATGTGGACATTGCGTGTTTATTCCCATTACTTACATTTCTGTCTGTGCCTTCTGTTTCAAACCGAACTCACCGATGTATGGATATAAAAGTGAGTGGCAATGGAGAACACACAGGTCCTTCGGCTTTGCTGGCAAAACAACATAAAATTGCGCAAAGTAAATATTCATTAAATCGAAAAGTTTGCAGATGATTACATATGTCGCTGCAAACAATTGTCCAGGGCAATTGTAGTTTAGTGTTTATTTTGGGATAGACAACATATTTGCTTTATCTCTCATGCTGACCTAATTCCATTAGTCCATTTTTATCCGACCACACTCAGGTTGAATATTTCACGAACTCATAAAAAAAAGTGTTGAATTGCAGCGTGAATTTGCCTTGAACCTGTCTGTTTACGGTGTTTAGTGAGCAAGTCTGAAAAATAAAATCACCTGAACTCATCCCTCTATCTCTTTTATTGCAGATTATCCTGGTACTTTGGTCCAACAGCGAGCAAGTGTAAGTATTATTTCATCCAAATGTGCTCTCCTTCCATCTCTGCCTGGCTCTCAATGTACAATAAATTCCGGGGGGAGGAATTTTGTATTTTAAAATAAACCACCCTTGTTTACCATGTCTGGGTTCATATACAGAGTAATTCTGGGAAGCGCTACTGATTTATTATTTGTTCTGTGAGACCATCCGCATTCTTATTTTCGCGTGAGTGCCATTTGAAATTGGGCGTGCTTCCGCCCGGTTTTTCCGTAAAGATCACATCTTTGGACATGAAATGTTACCTCGCAAGGCGCTGAGCAAGAAAAAAAGGAGGGCAAAAGAGACTCTATGGGAGCGAGTTTTCATCATAAATTGCCAATTCCCATTAAATTTTCAAGTCTTCCTCGAAGAGAAAAATGCTGGAAATCCTACTTGTGTTTTTTCTCCTTTTTTGGGCTTCCCTCAAAAGATTACCAAGAGAAAGAGAGCTTCAATCGATGCGCCTCAGGAGTTCAAACACCATCTCTAAGACATTGAGGTGAATGTAATAAGAGAAAAGGATTTAGCAAGATTAGGGGATGATAAGGAAAGTCGATTTGCACGAGCATGAAAATTTAAATTACGGCCGTTTTGATCCAAAAAAATATGAAAACCTAATAAAGCGAAGCCTTCAAACGGTTTCAATTCAATCAATGTCTCATTTAAATGTTCTCAAATCAATTGGGCCTCACTTGAACATCCACTTGTACGGATTTCCGCTATGGAAAAATTTTCCCATTCGCAATGGAGTATGTGATTGTGTGTGTGTGGAATCCTCGAGAGTTTTTCCAACTGCCAGCGACATTCGAGCTTTGAGTTGTTGAATGTGAAAAGAGTGAGGCTTCGTTTTTCGACTGCAACTTTTGGCGGGGGCGAAGAATGTCAAAGCTCATCTCTGCACAGTTTCGCGTAGGGAAAAAATCTTTCGCCAGAGACGGAATAGATAGATTGCTCCTTATCGCCATACAATAAATTCAATTTGTCGGAAAATGCCATAAAATGGATCAATTTGTCCTGGGGAGCAGCTGAATCGTGTGTATGTGTGTGTGTTGCCAGGGAAGTATTCAATCAGTCTCAGGTCACATCCTCTCACTTCCACCCCCCGATTTTCGCCCCCAGAAGCCCACGACGTGTAATCAAATTGAGCCGGAGTGCGGAGAACGCTGTCCAATTTAGCTAATGCATCAAGTTGGGAATTAAATTCACTCTAAACTTTCCTTCACAAACTGTCTTTACAAGATATGGAGCATATCAAACGTGATTGGAAAATCCCCACGAGACATTTCTCCTGGCACCATCATAAATTCACTGTAGCTACCGAAAGATATGCATTAAATATGATGTAGACTTTGGGTTTGCGCGTGGCTGCGGAAAAGCAGAAGCTTTCTTTTCTCTATCATACAAACTCTTACACTGATGCAGGCAGCTTTTAATTAAGAGCATACAATGCTGCAGAAAGTGCTGTCGAATATTTGTATCGAGTCACCCTTTGGCACCTAATAAATTTCCCACATTTTATGGCGGTACACACGCTTGTCAGGAAGTCGTTAAACGAAGAGCGTTACTGTTGAGCTTTCTCGCTCCTCAATATCGATTTGATTTCCTTGAAGCTTCCCGCCTGAAACCTGATTACTGGGCGTAAGACAAACAAACTAACGATATCAGCAATAACCCATTTTCACAGAATTGGCATTATAAATTCATGGGGATTTAGTCTTTTGTGTGATCGACAGCCCTTGACTTGCGACGTCGGCTGATCAGCAGGCGAAGCTCCTGCTAAGACGTTACCAATGCGGGGAGTCCTTGCATGTAAATGAAGCCCCAGAAGGTCTGACGCAAATTGGCCTCTCATCGTGTCTTATTCATCGGAAAGGCATTCTCTGCACACCCGAAACATAGATATCTCGTGGAAATGGATGAGGCAATGGGGAAAGACGACAGTGTATGAAATATTAAAATAGGGTCGACGATAGATTCATCTCTGTGGCCTCACCTGAGGGCGTTCTCTTGCAGGTAGAAAACATTATTTGTAGCCAACGAGACACAATCGGGCTAAATCTAACTGTTGGGCATGGGCAGAGCCGAATGGATTTTGTCTTTGTTGCACAGATGATTGTGTCTCTCTGGGTTCTGTGGGCGGATTAACCCAGGCTCCACCGGCAATGCCAATTCCCTTATCTTTGCATACATTGATACCATTAAATTGGATCTTCCGTCAAAACCTCTGCGATCAAATTTCACCCCAGACATTATTTCATAAAAAGCAGGAAAATGTTGACATTAGATAAAAATCCCCCTGGAAAATCTCCAGAAATGAATCACTTTGCAATATTGTAAATCTCCACATATCTTTTTTTCCCGCGCCACATAATGCCATTCCCGGCAATTTCCTCCGACACGTAAACTCGGGACAGAGGAAGTGTGTAATAAACTCAAGTCTAGGCGCCATCCATCAGCGTCCAAGAGATAATCACGTGCATTTTCCACCTCATTTAATGCCGACCCATGGGGATGTGCTTTCGACCACGGACTCTCGCAAATGCCGAGCTTTTATGGGGTGAAATTGGACCCTTGTCCCTGGGATCAAATCTTATTCCATCTATCCGGAATGGCCAAGACAACTTCAAGAAGTTTCATGGGCGGCAAATAAAGTAAATCTGCGTAACGGAATATTCATATAAATTTTATGCTCTTTTCGTCGTAAAATTCCCCGATCATCAATTTTTGCCTTACACTTTCGCATGTAGCGACATGGACAGCAACACACAACAAATGCGAATATATTTGCATCTCCCACAACTCCCTCTAGCCGACCATGAAAGTGAGTTTGGGTGAGAAATTTCGAAAATAAATGAAACACACTCATTTAAATTTCATGATTTTCCACTTGCCTGGTCAGTTAGAATTGTTTCACAGTTGAGATGAATTATTGCTGTGGAAATCACTCCTTAATTTTCCATAAACTTTCCTTCTGGGACAGTAATTTACGGAAAGAGAGTGTCCATCTAAATTGGAAGACAAGTTGAATTTATTCTCCGCTTTTGGAGAATGTGCCACAAAATTGCACACAGTGTGCAATATAATATATCACGGAACAGTGAATTTTCCTTTCATTCTCACGGAAATGAACTGTCTCGGTGTGTCCTCGAGAGGCGACGCGACGGGAAAATCAATTTGGTCATGATTCAACGATCAAGGGGAAAGTCATGAAAGTTTACACCCCATTTGGCGTCCAATAAAACTTACAATAAACTCTTAAACATGATTGAAATTTACGGCAGCTCATTGTAAGCCGAGAGAAAGAGACTGAACTCCTGAGACGCTGCCAAAAAGTGGGGGTTGAAAGCCACCCTCTCTGTTGTTTTGGGGCCACATAAAGTCTTGTTATGCATCTTGAATAGCCTTTTCGTGCTCTTTGGGGGTATTTTAAATATTTTCCCAAATTGTTATTTCCACCCTTATATCTTGTCCGCTTGACTTATCGCTGACCTTTCTTTTGGGCGTTTGGGCGGCAGGGTTAAAAGCCCGCTAGGAAAATGCATCCCCTAAACTTGAGGCATCGCCTAAATATTAATTGCTTCTGCATTTCTTCCGTGAGCGTGGGCTCGCACAGCGGCGCACGTAGAACAATGAGAAATGGCGTGTTGGTGGCAATTTCGGTTGTCAGCGGCTGCAACTTTCCCAATTAATGCCTGCCAGGGGGTGGCGCAATTTATGTCGGCAATTCTCCGCCACATCTGCTTGTACATTGTCTCCGTGAGAAGAAATCGCCCCCTTTAGACACCCCGACATTGTGGGGATAAAAACACTTGTTACCACACTCTGTGGTGCAGCTAATTGGAGTGTCTCGCTCTCCATGTCGCTCCCTTTCACCCTCGGCAATCGGGCTCATTTCACCGACACGGACAAGAATACGTTCGTGTGTGGAAAAGGATGGGGTTTTTTTCGCAAGAAAAGGAGAGGGCTTTCATCCTTAAAGGTGTTCAAGAACTGCTGTCTAAACTTAAGTCCGTGAGAGAGTCTGGAAGATATACTGACGAGTTCAATGACGCAAACGATTTATTAATTGATTAAACCACTAAATACATCTGCGATGATTCATAAAATGTATATTTATGGTGAGGAAGTCTGTTTTCCTTCTCCAGTTCATTCGCATCCTCAAATCATTTTATTTACTGAGAGACTCCTCTCCATCTCATTATCATTTATCCTTTTCCATCTTTCCTGCGCTTAATTCGCCCGAGGCATGGAGCATTGTTGTGCGCGAACGTGACTTTCATATCCTGAAAGGGAATCATCCCGAAATTCTCCAAATATTCCTTCTAATTTATGTTCCTGGCCGTCATAAATGTGTAATGAGCGGCTAAGGATTACTCTCAAAAGAGCCACACACAAAGGAGTTTATGATGTTTGATAAATGAATTATTCGCCGTGTTTGCACAGGTCTGACCTCAAGTCAGGGGTGGAGGCAAAAAAAACGTCTAATAGACCCGCCTGTGGGGTTTCTCTTGCAGAGGCGGCGACATCGCCACAGAGGAGTACTGGAGTTGGGCGGCGCTGTGGCTTTCGTGGGAGACGACCAGCCCAGATCGATGCCGCTCTTCGAGGCGACTGATATCGACAATGAGATTATCATGGAGCCAATCAATTTGCCACACTCCACCGAGATACACACTCATTTCGCCACCTCAGACGTCTCAGGTGAGAAATCATGCGATGCGGATAATGGACCAGGTGATTCCCATCACACATAATTGTAGCCTGCGGCCGAAGACAAGATATAGTATCCTCTTCAGTGGCGCGGGGAAATGAATGGCATATTATTGCAGAATTTTCTCTGCATGAGCACTTTTTTTCGCAGAACTGCGGGTGGATTTATTGGGTGAGCGCCTGCAGGAAGATTATCAATTTTATTACGAGCGAAACTTCTCTGGATCTCATTCAAATGCGATGATTGCGAACGATTCGAAACGCGGCGATATCGAGTCATTGAATTTGAACGAACTTTTGCTGTACAATTGATTTTGAGTAGCTCAAATATAATCAATGTCCTCCTCTTCGGCTAACATCTCCCCTCATTGGTAAGATAATAAATTGAGATAACTTTCGCCCCAATATTTCTCTGTGCCGTCGAAGCTTCTCCACGACTTCCGCCGTGTGTGCTTGATTCCGGCGGAGAAGAATAATGACGGAAGAGGGAATCATTAAAACTTTATCATGTCTTTCGGAGAATTACAACTGAGTATTGATTTCTTTGGCGCGCACGGAAGAGAGAGAGAAAAATAATAAAGAACTCATGTTGCTTCTTCCTTTCTCCTTACGTTGGCAAAAGAAGTCTCCTAACCGTTTGACATGTCGCTTGAAAAAGTCTCCCCCGCAACTATATATGGAAGCTTATCGTGGATTGAAGTGATAGATTGCCAGGAGCAGGAGATTGATAAAAAGACAGAATTGCCAATATTCCCAACCCGAGAATTTCCCATTTGTCTCAACACACGATTTTAATGTACTCTCCTGAAAACCGTCAATGGAGGAGAAGAAAAAACCATTAACATTTCCACAGATTTTCCTCTCGACTTGAGAATCTCCTTGAGAATTTGTGTGTGTTTCTCTTGAAAGTGGAAATAAATCAATTTCTCAGAGAATTTCTGCCGATTTCTGAGGAATTTCTCCCCAAAGCGATTCACACAGAGTTCCCACCAAAATCACAACCTCGCCCGCCCACGCTTTTTCGACAAAAGACGATAAAATATTTGCCATTAATTATTCTATCAGATAGCATGGTAATTTCAAGGATTGTTGAGCTTGTGGAATTCTGTATTTAACACCCTCGTGAAAACCTAATCACAGCACTAAATCAATATTAACGCCAGAATTTGCTATTATTTATTGCATTGGTTTCGGTGCAGATTTCGGGGGCGTTTGCCAGTGAGGTTAACAAAGTTTGTCCTCACGCCAAAGTGTCCCCAAGTGAGACTTTTGATCCCCGAGATGAGGCAAGATATTCTGAATCTCATTAAGAGTAGTGCAAATCTCATTCATGGTGCTCAATTAAGGAAATATCTCGTGTGGCAATGAAGACAGGAATACCAATGAATATCATATTAATTATGACTGAGGAAAATAAACATTTTTCTGACCTCACCAAAGTTGAAATGAGAATGTTTTGTACGTAAAACCAGATGAATTCATTAAAAGTTTTTACTTATCATGCGGAATCAATCGAAAATGTTCTTTTGCCTAAATTGTTCTACAAGAGATTCCATTTTCGTGACATTACAATTACCTTTTCTTCGTGTTCTTTAACTCTATACTGTGAATGCTCAGCAGAATTTCCTCTTCCTTCTTCAAAATGTTCTTTTCTTATGACTTTTCTAAGAGAAATAATGTTTGCGTTCGCATAAATGTGGAACGATTGGGATGCGGAGGGTGGAAATGGCATTGAAAAGATATTTCACAACTGTCGAGCACCAATTGAGAATGTTTCCTTCTCTCGTTTGTCCCCCGGACAGAAGGAGGTCAATATAGTGTCACTCATGCTGGCACAATGTCTTCTTGTTTCCCCCTTTGCAGACGTGCAGGCTGCCGGAGGCGCAGGAAAGTCAGCGAGGAGCGTTATGAAGCGGTCGCGGAAGCGTCATCATCACCATCGCCATGCGGAGCACCGAAGGCAGAGGAAGCGGAAAAAGGCGCGCCTAAAGGAGTTGGATGAGTTGCGGAAGAAGGTGGCGCGCGAGGAGCGGAAGTGGTGGCGGAAGCGCAAGAAGGAGCTGGAGTTCGAGGAGATGTTCTTCGACCAGGAGAGCCACAATCCCAACGTCATTCCCACGGACGCCACGCCGCCATGTACAAAATCATCCGCGGAGAAGCTGACCAACTTGTCCAGCAGAATTGACCACTTTCGCTATCACCGCGTCAATGCGCTGGACAGCGAGAGCCGCGCTCTGCCTTTCGTCGCCATCACGGATCCACGGCCGCGCGACGCGATCACGCACAAGAGCGCGGCCGCGAAGGCTTGAGAGACAGAAGAGAGTATCTTCCCCGAAATGGGCTGTGAAGATTTACATTTGGCGCTCGCTGTTCGGAGTGAGTGAGAGTTGGAATTGTGCATAATTAATTTTCAATCATGATATTACTTTCATGAGAAAAATGAATTATTCGGTGTCGATCAAAGTGATAATAAAGTGAAATTAAATGTGAGTGGCATCACAAAAATTGCCAATGATTAACAATAATTATCGCTCTGAAATTGACACTGGGTAATATCCATCAATTGAGCCCATTGATTGACAACTCAATTTACTTTGACTCATAATTATCGAAATGGATATATTTTATAATTAATGCGAAAAATGAGTATTTTTTAATATTTCATTAAACAAACTTCCGGCATATATTCGTCAGTTTTGACACAAACCCTGCTGTGAAGTCCTATTTTTCTCTGGGCATCATTGAAAATCATGAGTTAGGCAATTAAGTGCACAAAGTATGTTGAAGTTCTCACCACACTTTTAATTAAATTCCTACCATAGTCGTGGTTTTCCGTTTCGAAACAATTTTTCCACCCGCGATATGGAAAAGTGAAAATCATATACATTAAAAATAGACATAAACTTAACTCCCAGTTTTGTGTCCTTCCGCATGTAATGACGTAATAATGTGTAAAAAAAATACACCCACAATTGTAGAATGTGAGAGGAAAAAAATTTTGCTGAAAATAAATGAATAGCAAATTTGTATTGATTTTCATGTGTAGTTTCAATTCCAAATTCACCAGCCGCTTTCTCATCAATGGGAAATTTTTCCACATGACAGCATCAAAAATGTTGCAAAAAGACATGATAGAGAACTTTATAAAACACTTTTTTCCGTTTATTTGCCAAACTATAACCAGAACTTGTATAGAATTATTTTTATACATCTACTTCATTGCTCTTTATTATTCTTTTATAAATAGAAACGAAATAGGGGAATTTTTCACTATCGCTACTGACATTTTTTTTTATCCTTTTTGTGTTTGTCACAATTTTTCTACATTTCAACAAACTAAAAGTTTCCCTCTGGAAGTCAATTATACCGTCAATGGAGAGCGCTATACTTTTATATTTGAAATGTGGCGAACATTGAATTTCTCCGCCGCAATTTTCAATTTGATTTACGTACACTTTTAATGTGTTTGAATTTATGGCAACCGCAAAATACGCATTTCTTGACAAATTGCCTAAATCAATTAAATATCTCATTAGGTGAGAATTAATGTGCCGAATTTGGCTGCTTTTCGCGAGTCTTCATTGAGCAATAATGCAGAAATTATGAAATATTGAGCTAATTTGGGAATTTGTTCGAAGCTTTTTGTAGCTTTTGAACTTACATTTGCTTTCACCACAAATCCAGCTAAATTAGCGAGTCGAATGAAAGGACTAATTGCTAAATATTCAATGAATTCTGTGGATTATTTAAAATTTTCATGATTACTCATTTCAGACTATTTCTGGAGCGTGAAATTCAATATTCGCTCTTCGAACATGGGATGTGCCAGAGGAAAGCAATTTTAACAATGCAACCTTTCATGTTCGATATTTATTGTATTCTTATTATATTTGCCATTGTGACGACTTTACAGCGTTCGAAGGGTAAATATATTGTGTAAGAAATCCTCATGATTGGAAGCTCCAACAAGTGAAATTATAGGCATTGTAGGCATTTTGAGAGAGTAGCACCACAAGGAGAGGGCACATCCCTGATAAACATACATTATGTTCTTACATATGCAGCGTCTCTTAAGGACCTATTCAACTCCTAATCCTGTACCTTGTTTAGTCTGAGAAGAAATTCATGGGAGATATGTTACGTTTCTCTGCAAATCTACTCTAAGAGGCCGTCTGACGTGAGGTTAATGACCATATATTCCTACGTGTATATCATTTTACTCTACGTACTCTCAAGTATAAGGCATTGGAGTCTACGCTAGATGTTGCTACGTGAGGGAGAGAGATGCTTAGGGATGAATCTTAGCGCGACGATCGGTGATGGCAACAAAGGGAAGGCCTTGCTTCCTCACCACCCGCCCAAAAGTGGGTCCCGTGCTCGGCTTTGCTGATGGCACGCGATGGTAGATGAAGTTTCCCGCTCTGGTTGCGCTCTTCAGCATTGCTGGCATTTCTACGGCCTCTTCCGACTCTTCTCCCGGCAGAGAGTTCCTCGAGCCACCCTTGATCGCGCTCCTCGAGGGCGACTTCTTCACATTCGCGCGCTGTTCCTCGAAGAGATTCTCCTCCATCCATTGAGGCTCTGGAAACCGGAAAGGAGGCTGCCTGAGTCGTCGCGGCGCCACAGTTGGATCGCCCTCCATCAGCACTCTCAGCTGTTTGGTGCGCCGGTTGATCTTCTTCATGTACGGCGGAATATCTTCTTCCTTCTCCTGCTGCAATTGACTCTGCAGGCGCAACAAATTGGGCCACTTGTCGCGACTATTGTATGGCGAGCGACTTTCCTCGCTCTCAAAGTAGTAATTGTGCGGTCGGGATCTCTTCTTTGCCGCCCGATTATGGTGGTGATGTTTGCGGTTGTGGCGCTTAGCGGTTCTCGAATGATATTTCTGCTTCGCCAGGCTGTGCCAGCCTCGACCCTTGCCGCCGGCTGGCCATTTGTCTGTCAGGGAAAGAGAACTTTAGGGATGCTCTCTTGGGCTTCACCCCCAATTCATCCACAACTTCAGTCAAATTTCAAGAAGAGGTCAATTTATGGGGTTTTCCCAGTGGAATTGTCTCGATTTCGTGTGTTTAGTGAGCATGCTTTCTGAATTTAGATGTCAAAGCCACTCAAAGCTCATGGACTTAATAGTTGTGCAATTATGCCTCTCAAATCAAATTGATTTCTTCCTGGAAAATGTACCTTTTACAACAATTATATCAGAGGGCAAAAAGAGAAGAAAGCTCAAGTGAGTTCTCAGAATTGCAATACACAGTGTTTCCCGTCGCTTTTACTGTTTCTCTTTCACCAGAGCTCTCAAAATAATCCCACCTCATGACTCGGTGGCGGAGAAATACCCACGCAATTGAAGTGATGTCTTTGAACCTTATTGCAGGCCATCGCCTCATCATCACACCCCAATAGAAGCGCACAATCGCGCAATAGCGTGACTGTGCAATTATAAGTTGTGTTATGTGGGGGAGTGAGCAAAGAAAAGGATGAAAGCAGCAATTTACCTTCCACTTCTTGACTCGTGAGTGATTTGGATGAGTGGCTGGGGGTGGATTTCATCGATACATTCCTATAATCACGCTCTCTGCGGCCAGGATACTCTGAGAGCACCAGTGTTGCAATGGGATTGATGGAAATTTCATTACTCCGCATTTCATCAGTTCGGTCTGGCACGAGGGCGATGAAATTCTCCTCGATATCTGATGTCTCATCCACCTACAATGGAAAAACAAGAGTGGAAAAGGAATTAGAGACGCTGGAAGCAAGAAATTTTCCCTCTAAATATGTATTTTTCCTGTTGAACTTTATATCGTCTCTCTAGCTCTCTCGTGAAGCTTCTTTCTCATGGGTGGATGAACTTTGGAAAGGAGTGAAATATTAAAATAGAGAGACGTGACGTTTTCTTCACTTCACATAGTGTTAGATTTTGTTCTGTTTGAAGAGGTGAACATTTTGAGCAATGCGTTCGTTCACATGACGATGAGATAGTTTAGCAATCGGATTACGCTCAAGCACAAACATCTCATTTAATTATCTCGGTAGAACTAGCAGTTAAAGTTTAAATGGAATCACTTTGGCAGAAGATCGTGAATCTCAAAGTCAATTGAAGGCATTTAACTTTGAATGGAATCACATAGAATTGCACAGCTATAAATCAAATCAATTTAATTCAATACACACTCAAAAGTGCGAATTAATTGGTACGAATTTATACCTTTCAGTAATTCCACACGAAATTCCCCAATGTTTGACTTCCTCAGGGTAGAAAGGGAGCTTTTTGCTGTTGCCAGTAAATTTCTCAATGTCATCAAAAATATTCAATTAAACAATAATCATTTCCCTCAGGCAGCCAAACACAGCGCCAGTGGAGAGAGATTTATTTCATCAATTCTCAAGGAAATTCCACTGACGAAGATTAATGTGACGCATGGAAGTCGAGAGACCTTTCAGCCACCCCCGGATCCGTGTGCATGCCAAAAGGGGCGCTCCATCAATTTAATTTATTTCAATTACAATAACAACGCACTAACAAATTTCTAGACGATGCTGCCGAAACCCCATCAGGCCGCGACGATGTTCAGCACGATCCATTTATTTCGAATAATTGTGACTTAATGGTACTTCACGGCGAACACACTGCAATATAATATGCGAATTTATCTCACATTAAATATGTCGACGAGGGTTATTTCACATTAGGGAAATTGTTTTTGCCACCCATTTCTACAACTGCTGCTCTCTGAGCGATGCGCAAATTAAGAGTGTCCCAATTTTTAATGAGTTTTCACAGTACATTTTCGACATTGCTCTTCTCTCTTTTGGCCGTTTTTTCACCCAAATGGGTCCGCAGTTTTGTATTTTCACAGACAAGCAGAAGGAACATTTTCCCACCAATTCGGAACATGGAACAACATTTACGCAAGTCGAGTTGCAAGGAAGATAGATAAAGGACTTGTTCGGCACTGTGACAGCGCGGCAGTGAAAATCTCTCGCAACTTTGACGGCTGAGGAGATGAGGAGAAATTGAAAAATAGAAAGATAAGGCCCGTGAAATCCCCTTTTTTTCTTCATCTCTTCTTCGTCCTACATAATGCCGAAACCTGGGCAATTGAGGGAATAACAATATCTCGACAAGCAAGGTAAAAACTTCCGGGACCCAAACATACATCATCCTGAAGGTGTATTTATTGTTTCCCAGGGAGATTTCGCTCTTCGCAGGCTGTGTTGTGGAGAAAGTCACCTTCAAACTTGTGACAGGGAGTGTCGAAAGTTAAACAATCTTCACCTCCTTTATCGCTGTATCAATACGAAGGGATTCCAGAGGATGATTGATTAATTGTGACGTGTATATTACGCATATGGAGAGAAACATCACATGCCAAAAGCCGAAAAAGCTCATCCCAGTCAATCTGACTGATGGATTTTGATGCTTTTCGACTGTGTTTTTGCTGATGAGTTCATTAGTGAGGTGAAAATTGTGCCTGCAATTGAATGATCATGAACAGGAGTCAAGCATACTGTGTAACTTGCAGGCTTCATTTGTCGCTCATTTAATTCACCCGGAAATGGCACATTACGAGCCAACTCAATTGGGACACACACTCAGGATGTACTCAATCATTCACGAGAATTGGCTGCATCATGAGTGCATTTGCCTGTATCGCATTTTCATCTCAATGGACACTGAGAGGAGTGGACAAGGCGCACAATTTCATCATGCCTTCATTTCTCGCCCATTCACGTGCGCCCATGTTGGCTCTTTCAATAAATTGGATCCCATTGTAGAAGTTGCGCGCATCTCCACCCTCGCCAGAGCCCTAATTCTCTTATCCGCTCCTCGTTCTTAGATATAATAGAAATGCGATAAAAGTCTCTGGCTCGGATATGTGACTGGCCTCAGCAATGCCGAGCGATCCCAAACAGCGGGAGAGCTTATAAATTTTAAATTTATTTCTCACATGACAAAACACCGTGAAACTACTTTTTATTATCATGCTAAATTGCTGTCCAAAACACAAAATTCACTGCCGAAATTGGGCTGAAATGGGGCCTTCTTAGGATCGCTTTGTGCTGAAGAGTGCGGCGCCATTGATGGGCTTTGCGGGGTGTGAGCGATTTTCTCAATTTCGTGGCGAACATTTCAGGGAAACTAAAGTGCCCTCATAAATAAGGGTATAATTCATCTTAAAGATTTTTACATACATACAAAAAAATATGCTTCTCCACATATATCACTGAAAGAGCTTTTAAGTGACTCTGCATACATTCAAAAGCTTGTAGTTTGACTGTATAAAATTCTAGTGCCGTCATCCCTAATTTGCATTAAAATTTCCTGCACAGACTTTAGAGTACTGTCATTTGCACCGGTCGGTAAAAAAAACAATTTCTCCACCGGTAAAAACGGTGTAATTTTCACGGCACAGCAAAGCTCTCTTCCTGAGCTTTGAAAATTGGCTAAAGCGGCGGAAAGAAATATTGCATGGAGTGGAATTGTAAATTTAAGCTCTGGGTGACAGTGAATGTGTCCATGCAAAGGGGGATAATTTAGCCGAGACCGAGTTAAGTCTGCCATCGTCACAACCTCAGACAATTTGCAAATGCTGAATCCTTCCTGTCCGGCACCTTTTTCCTCCCCAGCGGCAGCCGCAGAACCAGCCAACCCGAGGGAATGTCGTGGACGGCAGAGGTTCATATTTCATCCGGGTCTGTGCATTATGATGAAATTTGTTAGTCACTCATCCTCCACAGAGCGACCTAATTTAAATATAGAGCTATTTTTGTTTATTTGAGAGTCCTCTGGCCAGTAACTGGAATGGAAATTATTTAATGAGCCTCACGCAAAATGGCCAATTTCGGCTATTGTTGCGGCTTCTCTTCATAATATTCGTTACATCCGAATTTACGGGAGAAATTAAAAATTTCACACAATTTGCATAATTTAATTCCTAACCCATTTCCACGTTTTTGCCATTTTTGTGCCCTGATTTTTTTTTTCTAAAGTCGCTTTTCCCAGGAGGGTGGATTTTATACTTTGGTTGTAATTTTATACACAGCAGCAATTTTTTTAAAGGCAGTCACTCTGTAAGATACATAGCTTGAGAAGGCAATTTGAAATAATTTATTCATATAAAAGAGCATTTGATTTAAATTTGCGGTTAATGATATAGGACAAAGTTTGGACTAAGTTATTTTGCAATCCCATGGACTCCTAATCACATCTAGAATAAGAGGACTCTCTTTGTCATTCTATGCTCGAATTTCATTAAAATTGAATCTATTGAACACAAGGATTACTCAGAAACAAGGTAAATACTCTCGAATATGATGTACATCTGAAATGAGCATAACATTTCGTTGCATGAAAATGTACCAAAACTTTCTCTATATAAGCTTCAAAATTGTGTAACAAACTAATTGCAAATAAGAAAAGTTAGGGGCAGAATTTCAATTACACAAAGTACACTCCTTTGCTAATCGCTTCCCATTGTTGCAAAACCGCACATTCTCAATAATGCCGATGGCTACAGTGTGCCGAACAATAGGTGATATACTGTAAAATTGCACTTTAGCGCGCTATTCTTCTGGTTCTCGAACATTGTTCTGCGAGTAGATTAAATCCCAGTTTGCGTTCATTAACTTAAGCAGGAGCAATTCAATAAAAAGTCTCACTTGTGAGCAGAATAAATTTGGATTTTCACGCTCTCATACGCTCTAAGCTGCCCAAGTTCTGCTGGGAATGTTGGTGGAATTCAAATACGATTAATTTGATAAGAGTATTAAATATGTTATCTATTTAATTACATCTCACCATGCTGGTGGAAAAAAAAGAAAAAAGGCTTTTTCCGCAACCCCTTTTCCGGCCACTCTGTTTATATCTCCGGCGGAAATTTATGTGAATAAATTTTGATGCTCTCTCGTTGGGTAGCTCCTTTTTCACTCCAGTGTGACGGAATTTATGAATATGAAGTGATGTTGATGGCGGTAAAAAATATCTGAAAAAGCGCTTAGAGTGCATTTTCGGGTGGTAAAAGTCGGTCAATATTGCGCTCATGATTCAATTTGAGACGGACATTTAGGAGAGATGCCTTGAGTGTCTCAAAACACCTCCATTATTCACTCAGGACTTTATTGTCCCATTGCCTGATAACGTCTGTGTGTCGAGAGTTCGGCACCATGGTTTAATAAGTCAAAGACCGGGAAGAGGAAGCGTCACTTATTTTGCATAAGCTGTGTGCCTCTCTGTTGATCGATGCAGTGCTGGCCAAACAGAGAAACGGCCCTCAATCGGTGGACTTTATTAATTTTCAATCAGGCTCCGGTGCGACGAACATCTCTCTGGTGAATAGTGTTTGTTTCCTGACGGCTCAAATTGCGTACTCTGGCGTCAATCACACTGACAATTAGGCCACACTGAGTCCCCGTTTGAGAGTTTTGCATAAGCTTCTATCGATTTTTCTGGAAGTCGTGTGAAGGCTGAAGGGGAGTGAGGTGAACGCGTGTAAAAAAAGCCCCCCCTTCGTGTGACGACAAAGCATGAAAATTGTTTCACTCCATCCAACTCATTCTCATCATCGTCATTATCTTTCGTGCACGTTGTTAGACAACTTTTCCACCGGGAGATTGTCTTTCTTTCGCACCCTCCACGGATATAATGAATCAATTCCCACCCCATCGAGTGCGGCGCCCGCCCTCAAGTGTCAGCCCCGCGTGCTGGATATATGAAAGTGTCTCACGAATATGTCAATTGAATTTTCTGCTCACGGTGGAAAAAGTGAAGAGCTTCATTCGCACACCTTAGAACACACCATGATTCCTCGCACGCAAATTTCATTTATTGTTCACTGCTCAATAAACCAGCCGTAAAATCGACGGCAAACTTTCGCCTCTGCTCTCTCTTTCTGCCGCCTTCCATTGTATGAAAATGCCGTGCGCCGAGAATAGAGGAGAGGCACATAGTTCATATCGTCATCGCTTCATTTGCGCCCTGCCTCATTAGTTATTATAGGAGGATAGAGCACTTGCCTTCGCCCTTTGTAAGACGATGCGAGTTACTAAGAGGCGTGCCATAATGCCCTATTTCACCTTTGGGAAAGACATTTGGTAATTTCAGAAAGTCAGGTTCAAGTAATCTATACATATATTTGCAATGAAGTCGCTTGAGATGCCTTTGCTTTTGCACTGCTTTAACTCTGTTGATTCTTTTAATGGGAGACACTAGAAAAAAAACACGAGGAAATGTAGAAAATGTTTCTGTGAAGTTTATGCAAAATTCTTGAGGATGAAAATCATATAAATAATGGCATCTTCGCTCTGTGTTTCGCAGACGCAATAGAATGGGATTCTTTCTCATGCGATATGACTGAACTGGCCCTTTGAGTGAATTCCCCACGAGGAGCTTTCCGCTCTAGTGTGCTCTGTGACGAAAGCTTGAGTGGAAGCAGGGCAAAAAAGAGGAATCGGAATGCCAGGGAGGGAGTGAGGAAAATATTGAAATAGGATATTGTTTCTGGTTAACAAAGGAAATCGATTGGTGGAGCAAAAGGAGTTGCCATGAATAGGAAATCACACCAATTACGAGAAAGATGGCACATGTTCTGGACTAAAAGTACCTACTCATTTCCTTTCAACTCTCTCCGAGTCCTTTTTTCTGCCCTCCGACAGTTTATTGAGAGGGAAGCGACCAGATTAAGTTACAAACAGTCAATCTGTCACAGGGATTCATCTGGTCTTTATTTGATTTCATCATTCCACTCCATTGGCCAATAGCGCGGGATGGGGAGCTTTTATTAAATTTCTTTGTGGCCTCCTGTCGTGCAGATTTCCCTCAAGATCTCCATTCCTCCCTCGCGCCGCCCTTGGGCCACAGGAAAAAAAAAGTCTTGAAATTCTCTCATGGAGAATTCCTCGAGATTGGACCCTCAATAGGGAGGGAATATTAAATACTATGGCGTGTGAGTGGAAATCCTTCAGATATCTCTCATGTAAATTTTCTCACTTCCTCGCTCCGTCTTTTTCCTTTTTCCCACTTCGGAGGATTTGTGGAAAGTTCTCGCCTCCCCCCTTCCATCTAAAAAGGGCGAAAAGTTGCGAAAATTTTCTTTAGCTCCCAAAATTTTCATCCCTCTCGCATTATTTATTCTATCTCATTGATCTTCACCACAGTTGGTCGCCGAAGCAACACAAAACCACGCAGCTGAGAATTCTAAATTAAATCGCATCAATTATTAATATGATAGAGCAGATGCCAGTCAATTTAATACTCATGCAGTTGAATCCTCGTGTCGCAATAATAAGGATGTCTGTCGGGAGCCAATTGCTCGCAATTATTCACCTCATTTCACCGCACAGAAATAAGAAATCCTCACTCTATTCCTTGCCGGATAATATCCAGTCCCATCGAGGGTAAGAATCACTCTCCAGATGATATCCTTGTGTTCTCTAATATCCCGTGAAATTGTGTGTTAATCAATATTGACACAAAAGCGTGTCATTTCAGCTGGCAAAAGAATCCCATTTGTCCTCAATTGCTTCTCTCAACGGGCGGAACATGGAATTTTCATGCCAATTCTCTGGCGGTTTATTAGGGGGAGAATGAAAGATGTGGAGTTCTTCCAACCATAACTTTTACGACAGACACCCCGCGAACTTCTTGATGACACGCTGGATCCGGAATTAAAAGCTCAACGGGAAGCTGTGATGCGAAGTGCAGTGTTGTCACGAAGGAAAATATAATTTTTGATATTTAGCTGTGATATTTTGAAATATATTCCGCAAATTTCCATAAATTTCTAAGTTTAATTAGCCGAACCACTTCATTGACAGTCAAATTATTGTGATTATCCCGATCATAACTAATTTTGGCGTGAATATTCATTAAAGATTTATGACTTGTGTAATTTAATCTGGTCATAAATTGATATCGCGCTAATCCTGAAATGAAATGAATAATCAAGGCCAGTGGCGAATAGATGAATTTTGGGGCACGCCAGAAACTCATTGAATGATAATAAATGGTGATAATGAACACTCAATACTCACATTATCCGCGCGATCGCGTGATGGCGCAGCGACTCCTGAAAATATAAGAAGGAAAAGTCAGTCGATCATGGCTCTGTCCATCAACTCGCGCCATAAATAATTCCTCTCGGGTCGCATGCAGGAAAATGAGGCCCGAAAATGGGCCACTAGAAATAATTATGTGGCGTCGGAAGCCAAGGAAGAAGAGGACAACTTCTCATCCAATTTGCATATGAGTGAATACCTAATGGTGAAAATCCACCTGAGGCCGCTTCAATGAAGTGGAAGATAATAGATTTGAAACTACATGCCTTCGAGATAATGCTGCCGAGCACGCGATCTCTTTTCTGGCAGTGTCTTCGAGCCTCCAAACAATTCATTGTCAGCTTGAAGAAAGAAAAATTTGGGGGTGGGCTAAATTTATACGACTAAATTTGGTCAAAAAGAAACATAAAGCCCAACCATAAATTTGATATGAATTTTGCAGCCGCACTAATCATGATAATACATTGTTACCAAATATTTTCCTCCATTAAATACTATTTTGTATATATGCAAATTAATTTATGTTGGAATTGTGTGGTAAATTGTTAACTAACCACATTGATTTCATGCCTGCAAACATTTGCTTGTGTCGTTCTCTACTGTTGTTGATAAGTTGATTGAAATACCATTGGAAATCTTTTGCTCTGACAACATTCATTGGCACATTTACTGGCGGGGCTTCACAGTAAAACCAACAAGTTACAGCTCTTTGTTTGGACGTTTTGGGAGGTGGCAGAAGAAGTTAAAACTATGGGAATTCTATCGCAATTTCTGTGTGGGAAAGTTTTCTTGTCAAAATCTCCCATTTTGCCATCAGTGTCGCATTTCGGTGAAATAACAGTGGCTTCAATTTGTGGCTTTTGGGCGGAGAAATGTGGGTGGAGAGGAGCTTTTAAGTGTAATGGACACGCTAATGGATTCCTCATTGCACCACTCTAAACAATTCAGTCCAGCCTGAATGTTTGAGAATTTGCTAATCATCGATGAAATTGAGGGTAAGTAAACATCAAGGGGAGGATAATTAAAGTGCTTTGACTCATTTTGCACAGCGACAATTACATTAAATGACCAACCACTTTTCCACAAAGTGCAATGAGGAAAAGTCGCTCGTGAGCACGCGTGGGAAATAAAGTAATATATTGAATTTAGAAAGGCACATAAAATACGAGAAACTTTGCAGACTGCTTAGGAGAATATTCAGTGAAAGACTTGTTTTTCTCAGGTGTAAAGTTTTCATATGAATTTGGCTGTGGAAAAATGTCGCCCATAAAAGTCGATGGTAGGTATTTTCATAAGTTATCCACCTTCGTCGATAAACAGCTTCCACGCGGGATCTTTTCTGTGCGCCACGGAAGAAGGAAAAAATCGGGAAAAAGTTCATTAAGCTCGAAAAACAGACATGCTCGGGCACTTTGGCACGCAGCGCGGGGGTTGGGACCGAGGGTGGATGAAATGGCCCAATTCAGGAGGATAAAGCGTTCTATTTATCACGAATTAGGGATTTGGCGTGATTGTGCCGTCAACAGACTCACCCCGGAGTCCAACATTAATCAAACAAATTAAATTCAATTACAAAGTCAAACACTGTGAATTATACAGAGGAGATTTCAATGGACAAATTTAATTAATTGCCCATGGATGGAAGGTGGCAAGAAGTTGCCTCTGGGCGAGATATATTTTTCCTCAAATTCCACCCCATATTTTGCCTCCTTTTCGGTGTTCCGCAAGCGCCATCAGGAAATTAGACTCAATAATTTTCACTCTCTGGCGGATTGTCATCAATTAAAATTCACCCGTGGGTCAAAGTTGAAAGTTTTGCTCTACTGAGCACATTCATAAATGGCATTAAACCATACTCTGTGCGAATATTTGCCCTCACAATTGTCCCTTGGTGGGAATTTCCATGGGAGTTTGTGCAATCATTTGATTGCTGATTACAAAGCTCTCGCGTATTTGCGTTATTCCATCTGCAAGGGTATTTGCATAATATTGTCAATAAACCACCGACCGAGAGGAAGCTATTTTCGTCCCCTTTCGGTATTGTAATGACACGATGTTGAAAAAAGAGCTTTGTTATGCAAAACTTTCGCGATATAGAGAGAAATGGAGGGATTTATGACGGGAAAAGTCACGGTGGGACGTAATTATTGCCCTCTATTTGCGTGATTAAGGCAAATAATAATCGTCCTGAGGCATTTCATTTTTACAGCCATGTATTCGCATAAGAATCCCCGGGAAAACCACAAATTGCCCATTAAAATAATTACACAGAAAATGTTTGTAAGAATTAATTGTGGCAACGAGAGCAGTTAGAAATGGCAGAAGGAAAGTTGTGAGTGAATTTTTCTCTCTCTCTCTCTCTCTCTGTACGAGGAAATTTCTCTGGAGTTATTCTTGAATTTAATAAGAATTTTCAAGAGAATTTCCCGAAACTGCACTCATGTGAATTTTGTATACATATTCATTGCAGAATAACGATGCTCTTCAATCAATTATGGGTTCTGCAAAGTCCTCTGTATTGAAAAACTTGATTTAATTGATCATGCTTGCTTCAATCATGCTTTTATGAATTTCAACTCATAATGGAAATACTTATTAAATCCCAATTTGTTATAAGAGCAAAGTTGCGCTATGTTTTTAAAGTTCCAACGAAACTCGTTACTCTGCCTAACTTGAATGCAACTTTTTGAAGAGCTCGTTAGTTTTTGCCTTCGTCTAATTGTGAAGAAATAACTTATAGTGCGCAGTTGTTAATTAAATTATATAGTGCAATGTTTGATAAAGAAAATTCGCGTCATTATAGTTGAGTGTCTTTCTGTGTTGCCTCTATTTGCCACCAAACATTACTTTGTATCACGTGCAAATTAATTGAAATTGAGGTGTGTGTGTGTGTGCTTTAGTGAGCCAGAGCCCATATCGGAAGCACTCTCGTGTGCACAATGGGTGCACTTTTGCGGGTCAACAGAGCTGCATGGAAAATTCGATACCCGGACAATCAATGTGGAAAGTTGCCGCCCCTATTTCAGCAACTGTCGATCACCCTAATTGACTGTGTTTTCCCAATTGTAGGCTGTGGGCTTTTGGCGCGCTGATAGAGACAAAGAATGGGAAACTTTCTGCCGCCGTGCGAGGAGGTGGTGAAATTAATGGCACAAATTACACGCATTGAATCAGAAAACAACCCCTCAATATATGCTGTATATTCACCCTTCCTCTGGGACTCAGCCGAATTGGTGTGCTCATTAAATTCATGATTATTGCAAGAACTTAGTATTTTGGTGCTTTCCAATGAAATATTGCACACCATTTGCCACCCCCACGAGCTGAATTACTGCATATTGGGTATTAAGTTTCGAGATGGATGCGAGCTTCCTCGGGAAATTTCTCGGCATCTTCACGACGTAATCACAACTAATTCCGCATTAGCAAATTTCGGAATATATAGGAGGGAAAATCCTTGTCTATTAGTTGCGAAGCTCATTGAAAGCGCTCTCGCCAGAGGAGGAAGTTTTGCGTATGTATTCCAGTCATGTATGTTTTCGGCATTTTGGCCAGGAGAGAATCTTGGCAGTATTTCACCGTGGAATTGTCTGCATAACCCCTTTTAAAAGCAATTCACAATTTAATATTTCGCCACGCACAGTGGGGTGCAAAAGTGTAGACCCGCCTCGGGCATCGACACACGCCGCCGAGGCGAAATATGTAATGTATCTTGCACTGTTTCACATGGAATTATTCCGGGAATGCTCGCCTGATATTTCAACAAAAGGTGAATTTCGGCAGAAATCCTCAGCAAAAGGATTTTTCCAAGGAATTTGTGCACTTTAAGTGGATTTCCTAATTTTTTTTTGCAAATTAAAGCTCCCCTTAAAGCTCTAACATGTGAATTAACAGCACCAAAAAGGCATATTTATTATTTTTCAAACTCCTTTTTTTCAATAAACACCATAAATTTCACAGCGGTGATTGTATTTTTTTCGGCGCTTTCATGGGCACAATTTATGTATCGAAATGTGCTTTTCCTCCTCACATGCGACTCGCTTTTCCCATAGTCATTATCCACTGACCTGCGCTCCCAATAAAAGAGTGAAAATTGCTACAATTCCTGTTGCAGTGTGCCAGGAAAAAAGCTTCCTGTGTGACGGAGACAATTGTGACTGTCTGGAAAAAAATCGGGGTGTAAAACAACCATAAATAGCAATGCTATTCAGCGAGCAAATCTCCCACGGATTGCTCACTGTTGTGGGGATAAATTGTGTCTCTCTTCGCCTGAGCTTTTTCCTGGGCCATATAATGGCTGTATGCAGAGGCGAAACGTGTCTCGAATAGTGTTAAAAGGGGAGACCCAGTGTGAAATCTATGAGCATGTGAGGCGGGATATTATATTAGTGATGCTGTATTGTTATAAAACAACCCCAAAATTGCCCAGAAAATACACACATCTATGCAAATTTCCACACGCGAGCTTCTGCTGGGCGGCGAGAAAGTAAGAGAGAGCGAGAGAGTTTTCCAGGGGCGATCAATTGTGGATCATTTGTTGTTCTTGGTTGTGGTCGTTGAGTCGCCAGGATTCGCTTGGAGATATTTATCTAAACAACTCCATGGAGTGTTGAACAACAATCTGGATGATAAGTGAACAAAGAGAGATGTCGTAAAATGACCATTTGCCAGCCCCAAGAGATGTTTTTTGGGTAATCCCTGGGGGTCGAGGCAGTGTATGGGCTGTAAAAACATTACTTTATTGCCATGAAAAGGATCACGTTTTGGGAAATCGACTGAGACACATCTCACCTCCATTCTTTCTTCCATTTTATCACCATCTCCCAGACACTCTGGGACAGGTGGCAAGGAGTTGAAATTAAAAAGTACATTTTCGACCAATTTCTCACCATCGTTAGCGGGTTTTGGAGAGAGTGTCATCTGAGTGAGAAATCAGCAAAACATCATCTTCGTGACATTATTGCTCTGCCAAGAGGAAAAATTCTGAAGCAAAGGCAAAAGAAAAAAAAGCTCTCGGATATTTTTCACAATTCAACGTTGACTCGTGTCGGTATTTCACGGTAATCCGACGGGTGAAATCCGTAAGAGGAAGCGTCGAGTGGGAGGTTCACCCGCTCTAAGATGGGGAGTCAGACAACATTTTAACATTACAGCGAATTGTGGGTGGATAAGCCTTCACTTTAGCTCTGGAGCATTCAGTGAAAGCTTTATGATTCCTCCACACCGACTATCGGGTCTTCCGATGGTCCATGGCCATAATGCGCCCCTGCCTGAGATTCGTAATGCGCCCCACATAAGAGAGAGGGTGATAACGAATTTCGGGTGTCTTTTTCATGCGGGAATTTTCCCGAAGATTTCACACAACACTGCCAATTCTCAGGGACAACGGAGCGACCCAAGAATTGATCATTTCCATTCACACGCGATGTTGGAAATTCCTCTTTACTCAAGTACGGGATTCCATTCGAATTCAAATGACCCCCGATGGAAAATAATTGAAATATATTCTATGGGAAATATGCAGCACATTCCTGCCTACATCCTTGTTTGTTCATTTGAGAGCGAGAGAGAGAGAGAGAGAAACAACACTCAAGCATCTCGAGAGATGAAATTTTTCAAGACAAACTCCTTCAGAGCATCACTTGAGAGGGAAACGTGTGAAAACATCAAAGTCTCAAAAGATTTGTGCTAAATTTTCAAGTGAATCCCACTCCATGCGGGAATTCATCCGAAAAGCTTCGGAAAGTTTCAAACTTTTCCCTCCGCCTGGCAAATGGCACAACACACACACACACACATCGTGCGAAATGGTCCCTGGCAATGGTCAAGGCATGGCAAGAGGGAATTTATTATCCACTTCACCGAACCAATAATCTTCCGGGCAGATGGATTGCAGTGGCTGAGAACGTGCTAATGCTGAAATCAAAATATTTCCTCTCTCTCTCCGCAAAGACAAGCGAAAAGGGAGGGAACGTTGAATGATATCTTCCTGTGGGAACTTTTGCATGATATTTCTATGTAATGATGAAAAATGATGCAATTTGGAGGACACTTTCCAAGCGAACTCCCACTGGTTAAATCGTTAAGCATGAAGAAGCTTCACAGCCAGTGAATAAATGTTGCACTCGGGGAAAAATGTGCTCTTTTCCCCATAAATTAAAGAGCACATCCGATCAGTTTCTTGAAAATTCAGCCATTGAGGGGGTGTCACAACATGACACAATAAAATTCATGCGTGCCGGATTGTCTCTTAACTTCCTGAAATGAGTCTTTGGTCGTACATAAAATCCCAAGATTTGGGGGGAAATCCCAAAAATGGGCTGTTTTTCCAAGTGCAAGACTTGTCCCGGATTCTCTTGCAATCCCTGCCGGCCGGGAGGCGATTGTGGGAAAGGGATACAAATTCTCGGTGCGACTGAAGAGGAATACCAAGTGTGTATTCAGTGAGTAAATCACTCTTTCTCTCTCCGCTTTTTGGGAAACACTCATGGATGATTTAAATGCTAACATAGTCTCTCCAACCCTGAATTTTCCACTGAATTTCCCCAGATTCAGTGACACCGATAAATTTCATTCCAACCATCCAACTTGGGCAAGTTTTCTATCAAAATACCCTCGCGCACACCAAGAATTCAATGCCCAAATAAATTTACTCAAACGTCCAATTTAAAACTTTTGCCCAAACACTGTGGCAGTTTTTTGACGCTGCCTCTGTGTGACTCTTCAGAAACAATTCCCGCAGTACATTTTCCACTCACACTTCTCTGTGTCTGGGCGATGGAAAAAAGTTCATACTCTCAATCTCTGCGCACACAATGCACATTTTTCCCAAATTGAAATTAAATTATCCCCATCCGTGTGCCGGAGCAGAAGAAGAGCTTCGGGACAATTGGAAACACGAATGCGGGTAAAATATTGAGGAGTGTGAGTGCAAAAACATGAATCAAATTTGCATTTTATTATTTGACTCTGTCGCTTTTTTTATTCCTCCGCCAACACGGGAAAAATGAGTTTCCCCGCACGAGAATTCCAATCTGCCCAGTCTTTCTGGGTACGGAATATTCTTGTTCCGCAACATTTTTATGCATTAATCACAGCCCTCAATTTGCACATGCGATGACTGAAGCATGTTTTACAAGCCCTTCACAGTTCCTTTTGCCGACAAAAAAAAAACATCGCGCCAATCTGATAAATCCGCTGGGGAAATTGTACGGAAAACGTGTGCTGTTCTCCATCGTGCAAAGCCATCACGGAAAAATATGAAAGCTGCCCAAACTATGTGCAAAAAGTCACCCAAAGCTGAGAGACGAGAAGAGTGAGCAATAAATGAAACATTGAATCGTTTAGCAAGTCCGCCTGCGAGTATCGTGACTCTGGCAATTGTCAGGCACTTTTGGCGTCTCCCCTTGAAAGTACATGTCCTTCTGCTTCCACTGACGGCCGCCCGAAATAGAAAATGCCAAAAGTGCTCCCCGAGACGGAGTGATGGATTTCCGAGTGGCTCATTTGGGTGTGTGGCGTATTTTCGCCCCTGCCAGATGCTTACTCAGCTCTTTGGTCCTCTCGCCAGAGTCCATTTAAAGCGCTCTCGCTGGCTTTTTGCACGCCTCAGCGAGGGACTTGTGGGTGAATAAACATCGGCGAGGGATGGCAAAATGTTGGCAATGTCATATTTCATTTGAGATTTTCTCGGCTTTTTCTCGCCACGTCTCGAGGTTTTCCTCCCCTCAGCCCTGAGTGCCGCGCCAACGTGTTGCTGATAAGCTGCAAGATGCTCTCCTCGTGTCGATAATCACCTTGGAGAGCCCTCTCAAACGTGTGCAAGTGTATCAGAATTATGCTCAGCTAAGGGGTAAAAACAGTGTCGATTTGCCGATTTGTCTGCGATAATTAATCAATATCATTCCCAATCAGTTCACTGTCATTTGTGACCAATTTTGAACTCTTTACCTTAAATTCTTAATTCCTAATTGAAATCTAATTGAAATTTGATCATTAAAATTACTGAAAGCTCTAAAATATTATTGAATCAATTCTGTACTAATGCTCAGTGCAAATTGCGAAAACATAATTTCGCATTTATCATGCATTTCCGCACCTCCATGAGCTTGTAATCCGAGGATTCCAGGTTCAAATCTGAGTAAAACATAGGATTGGAAAATTATTTCAACTTGAAAATATTTGATTTGTATCGCTTCACGTGAAAATACAAGCTAATAGAGGTGAATGTATATTTAAAAAGTAGCATAATAATAGAGATTAACCCTGTTTATAAGACGTTCAGTACTCCAAACAGTGTATTTGCCTGTGTCTGATCAAATTATCACTGTTTTCTATCTAATCTTTATTGGGAAACACACACGTTTTCCCCCTAATGCTCAGCATACCTTGAGTGCCCGCAATCTCTGACCAGTGGAGCGACGCCAAAAGCAGAATCCACAGCGGAGGCGTCATTCTGGGCAGCATCTCTCCCTCTCTCCTATTATTATTACTCTGTTTACTTCACCGCACTGGTCGTGTGATACTGTCTGTTTGCTTTTTATCAGTCAATTCAAACAACAGCCGGCAGCCTGTTCAAATATCACGGGAAAAACTCTCTTTCTATGTTTTTCCGCTCTCATCCGCACTCACACGCGCCTCCGATTCCCTTGGCGCGCTCTGGCCAGTCACTGTGTCTTCCTGGTGAAGTCCTCACACCTGGCCGTGTGCGCAAGGAAAAGTGCCACCTCACCGACTTTTTTGCATTGAGACACTGGAAATTGGCTGAAAAGTTTTTCCACTGTCGGTAGCAGACTCACGTCTTCCACTGAATTCACCACACAACTTGTGTCTCACATTTGGCCACACGAGGGGCGGCCGGAAAGCCTCCCCAAGCCGCCAGGCACCTGCGCCGTGTCCCGCTGGCTTCCAGCCCTTCTCCAGCCGCTGCACACAGCTCTCGGAGTGTGAAAGAAGTTGCGGACCTCCTAAGTGGCCATCGAGATGGTATTTCGGTATGTTTGGTCGCCGCATAAATCATTCATGAGCCCCCAACAGCCCACCCCAAACTTCGCCCGCCGCCTCTTACCTATTCCGGACAGAATGTCTCGTTAATATTTTAATGCACTCACACACAACGGTGGAATTCTTTCCTCTCCACACTTGCTTTTCATCTTCATTTATTGAGAATCCGGGGAAAGTATTTCGGAGTATATATAACTAACGCTCTAACTTAATGCCTCACGCCAAGCACAGCATCTTCCTCCACAGCGGCTTCGGCTCCGGCCGCTGAGCCGTGAGGGCGTCCCAAATGGCCGTGTCAAAGACTTCCTTCACCTTATCCTGGATGGAGAAAGAGAGAGAGAGAGACAAGTTTATCAATTAGTCACGAGCTCACTTATTCAATGACCCGAAGAAAAGAAGTCCCCACCGATTAATTCCGCCAAACTTTTCCACCCGCTTATGGCCACTTTTCCGCCCTTCGCCTGAGAATTGTGAATTATTTAGCAATCACCGTTGAAACATTCATGAATTCCATCCCCCAGAATCGCGATGGGCGAGAGTGTTTTCCATTCATATTTTCCACTCTGCAAAAATATCCGGATTCAGGAAATGCTCATTTTACTGCCTTTTTCCCTGATGCGTAATCTCTCTGAGAAAAATATGTTTTGCCTGCGAATATTATTACGGTCGGAGAGTTTTGCTTCGATTTCAAATAAACAGACAGAGAATTCAGCGCGATGTATTGCTTTTTGGGTAGCGAATTATGGTGTATTCCGACCTAAAAATCTATTAAATAATTGATTATTATGCAAAAGTCGTCAGAATATTGTTTCTTTGCCGCACACTTTACCTTTTGTGTATTACTTAAGAGGAATAGAGGAACGTTTGAGAGACGAATATTCCAGTATTTGCAACACAATTTGCATCCTATTACTAAAATCTGTTTGTTCTGTTTTACAGTGTAATTTGCGCAATGATTTAGATAAACATTCTCTATTTGAACAAGAAACTCTCAGAGAAATTTGCCAATTGCAAGTTTTTCAGAATGATCAGCTGAGAAGTGTATTTAATTGCATTGATTCAGTTCTTTCTTCTCAGTGGTTTCCTGCTGTTCAACTTGCTCAGTCGATTAAAGTTGTTCTTATTCCAGAACTATAGTTAGGTAAACAGTGATATAATATATGTATATATGAGTATGAACTGAAAAAGTGAAGAGATTCGATGAAATAGTAATAAAATGCACTTATTTACAGCCAAGAAAAGCCACAGGGAGTTTGCACAATGACATCTATTATTGGATATTTCATACTTTCTCTCGCCTGTCCTCTTGTGATGGGAAGCATCGAGATTAAAAAGGATTTTGTTGATTTACCCAAACTTAGGAAGTTTATTTATGGCTTTCTTAAAACTGAAAAATCCCCAGACGGACCGCAGTACAGTTCATATTCCCTAATGTTAAATATTGATAATATGAAATTAATTGAAATGACATCAATTTTGAACGAAGAAGAAACAAAGAGGGTTAAAAAATTGTTGCGTACTGGAAATTCTCTCGTCCAAAATAAAGATTCTTCACCAGCAGAATTGCAAAGTCACTCTTTCACCTACAAAAAAATTCACTCTGAATCACTCAGTATTGCAAAAACTAAAGGACTTTCTGGGCAGATTAAATTGCCGGCTATAATTGATAAACTAAGTCCAACATTGAGCTTTTCAAATACCGAAACCACTACAAAGACAGACACTATTGAGGAATCAGTGACGATTCCATCGCAGAAAGTGCTTTTGAGTCCGATGAGCCAGAAAATGGTAAATTACACACTTTACAGAGAGGAAATAAAAGAAAGGCATTATTTGTCATTCTCCGTTGATTCAAATTCATCGTTCATTGTCACCAGAATTAAAACTTATCCCGGAACTTTTCTCACTCACAAAAAGGAGGATAAAATTAAATTAATTGATTTGTTCAAGAAGGCGCATGAAAAAAATATGAAATTGAGTGATTCTAAATATATTAAATATGACTATAAAACCAATCAGTTAAAAATAGAGAATTACATGGCTGTAAAAACTGTGATTAATGACATTGTTGAAATCACTTTGGGAGAAGAAGAGCCAATTAAGGAAAAAGCGAAAAAATAAGAAATGACATAACAAACTATTGCAAACAATTAACAAATGTTAGAATTAATATTTGTAATTCTTCTCGATTAACCTTTAATATATTCACATTCATATAAAGAAATTGGGAAATAAATTGAAGCTTAAAAATAATATTTTTTCTCTTATTGAGCTTATGAAAATGTGCTTTTCTTCCTCTCTTTAAGCAAGACTTCTTTAAGCCACAGTCCAAAATTCGTTCATCTGTAATCTCTTCAATTTCTTCAATCTCCTCACCGATTTTTCGGCAGGAAATTGGAAAATCACGAGAGAGAGAGAGAACGGAAAAGTGAGGAATTAACCGCCCCATGACTCGGCCAATCTTGACCACTCTGCGCGTCATCGTCTTATCTTGTCCACTCACCTTTGTACGAGACGATGATTCAATGTATTTGGCTCCAATGGATCTGGCAAAATCCCATGCGTCCGTCAGTGAAACTGGTTTCTCACCTTGACACTGCAAGTAATTGGATTTTACTCATTAGCAATCAGCACTCACGCTGAGTGACACTACCTGCAATCGTATAATTGTACTGCGGTCGCTGCGGAGGTCAGCGTGCGTCCCAATCAGCACCACTCGCGCGTCCTGGTACTGCGACAGTCGCGGCAGCCACTTGGACTTCACCGAGCGGAACGTTTCCGGGTGCACCACGCTGAAGCAGAGCAGGAAGATGTTGGTGTCCGGGTAGGAGAGCTCTCGCAGCACGTCTAGATTATCCTGTCCGGGCGTATCGCAGATCGTCACTCTCACCGGCGCGTCGTCCACCTGGACGTCAACTGTGGGAAGGAAGAGGAGAATAAGAAGCAAATGACTCGGAGATGATGGCTTAAGGATTATGAATTTCTGTGGTAATCAGAAGCTGCTTGCCGTGCTCACTCACCATTGTAGATGTCAGAGGCTGTCGGAATGTGCTCAGCTACGAAGCGATTCTCCAGGTAGGACACAATCAGATTGGTCTTCCCCACGGCTCCATCTCCCACGACGACGCACTTGATGGACGGCACGGCGTCTTTATTGTTATTCACCTTATTACAGCGATCTGCATTAAATGACGAATCAATATGCATGAGAGATAGTGTCAATATTTCATGGCAAACAGTATTCAGAATATAGGAAGAGACACTCTTCAAATTCCCATAAATCTCCCTCACCCGCCGTGCCAAGCGATACGCGGTTGTCGCATCTGAACAGGTAAACAAGTTAATAGATGGAAAGCAAATATTTTCTCTCTATCGACCAAAAATTCCTCCAAGATGCTCAAGAAGAGAAAAATACCCCAAAACGCGTGGTTTCTGCATTCTAATGCCACCAAATAGCGACACACACCATTTTCGCAAATGCGCTCTTTCCCACCCATTCAGCGCTTGTGTGTGTGTGCGGATTCTGGTGTCACAAAAGCCACCCCATTTTAGAGATCTTGAGCACACGGGAAATCAACACCGAATTTGCCCCGATAAATTGTCGTATCAATTTTCAAACGCATTTGCGCCATTGAATGTAAATTAAAACTCACTCGATTTCGATTTCCTCTCCTTGACACCACCTTTTACTGCTGTGTCACTCAGTCTCTGATGCTGGTGTGTCTGAAAGGAGATCGTGAAAGAAGTCATGAATGTTTGCTGACTGGAAAGAAGGTGCAGAGAATCAATTTTCACGAAGTCACACAGGTTAAAAACTCACTCCATCTCATTGTAAATTGACCGTGTAAAGTTCTGAGATTACACTTTGCAAATCCAATTCAACACTTTCCTCCAAACAAATTATGTACTACAAATGCACAGAAAATAGGCCAAATTACAGCAACATTGACCTGCCAATTTGCGTCAGCATCTCGTGACTTTTCCACCAAATGTAATGCAATATTTTAAAAATTCAGTCATGAAGAAAGAATGTCGCTGCGGTTTTCCAGTCGCCACTTTTTGTGGCTACTCGAGGCAACTCTATTCGCCGTTTGTCTCAAACAATTTAATTAACTATGAGTGATTGTTGAAGCTCTCTTTGCCAGATAGTTGCAAAAAAGGCTCGTGTTTTCTTCGTCTATCTTCTTGGGCGCACATTTTCAGTCATGAAATATGGAAATTTTTATGTCACACATTTAAATAATATCATTTGCGAGTCTCCTTTTACAGCTTTTTACTGCATCAACCCTCAACTTTTCACTCCACCATTATTTTTTATCATTCGCATTTTTGCCTCTTCCCTCTCGAGTCGCTTTTCTTTTTGCTTACGAGCCTTTCCCAAGCGCACTTCATGAAGAGCGCGCACACAGTGATGGGGCGACAAAGGAGTAATCCTTTGAACAACTACTGCAAAAGTTAGTTTATAGTTAACTGTGTAAATGTTGACATGAAACCCTCTAATGAAGTACCAATTAATGTAGCCATTCTCCAAAATTTACATCTTTTTGCAACATTACATTTTTTTTCTCTCTCCGCAAAAAAGCTGGGCAAATTTGCTTTTTGTTCCGCCTGTAATTGGCAATAAATGCTGTTCTCATTGTGATGCATTGCAATTATTTCATGTTTGTTCATGTGATGATTTAATTGACATCTGTTGGTTTCCATTGCAATTTGCCAGCTGAAATATTGGCATTAAACTCATGGTCTGTTTTGCTAACGCACTTCTTTTGCGCGCGCGAGATTGTTTTACAACCTCTCAAAATTGCCACGAAAATTATCTGTTTTCTCAACAATTTCAAATGATTTTACGATGGGAAAACATGATACTGCAGAGAGTGTTGAAAAATCTTTCGCTCAACAGTAATCTTATCAGTCTCTAATCTTTATTCCCCGAAGCGCGCTTAAAGCTGGCATGAATTTGAGAAATTCTCTGGCGTCAATTCGCAAATCCCGCTAATGTTTTGCCATTGTTTCATTTCAAAAGTGTATTAACGAATTTAAATAACAATCACTCAATGTTTCTTCTTCTCTCCTCAAACAGTGAGAAAAGACAGGAAATAACACACTTTTTTCTTCTTCCGCTAATCCTGTTGAGCACCGGTTATTCATAAGAAAGAGGATAAGAAAAACTTCTCTCTCTATATATATATATAACATTCTCTCAAGTTTGATAGCTTATTTTTTCTTCGTCATCTCAAAACTATTTTCTCTCCATCCTTTTCCAACTTTCTACAGGACTTTCATACAGTTCTTGTGCATAATACAGTGTGCAAGTTGAGGCAATTGCATCGCCTAAAGTGGGGTAAAACTTTGTTGTTCACATTGTTTCACGCTTCAGTTTCTGCCCATGTTTTGCCAAACTACGTGACAAACTACTTAAAATTTGCAAAATTCTTTAATTGGAAAAAAAAAAGTTGAACGCCATAGAGTACACGACAAAGTCATGTAACCATCATGTAAAATTTATCCCTAATAGAGCGAACAGTTAACACATGCTGTAATGCTGTTTAATGCGGCCTATGAATGAGAAAATGCTACAATTAGCAATTAATGGAAATGATTCATAATTCACGATTTTAAGGGATTTGTAGTGCTCTCTCAAATCACACTCTCACCGATTAGATTGGGCTCCTAGTGAAAGCCATTAATATGAAAATCCTATTAACTCAATGACCTCAACATGAATATTTCATTTATGCTCTTGCCCTCTCCGTGTCTCTCCTCGCAAATCCATCTCTCCAGCCTTTGGCACTTGGCAAATTGAATCACATTAATGGAATTACTATGCTTCGCCAAATTAACAGGAAAAAATCATCATGTTTTTCTCTCTTTATTCATCTCATGAGCGACCAAAGCAAAACATGGCAAGATTGACAGACAGGGGAGAGAGAGAGTGAAATTCGGTGAAATTTTGAAGCTTTTATCACCTCCAAACAGACAAGAACTCTGGCTCCAAGGCGAGCGAGTTGAGTGTGAGAAACCATGAATGTCTTTGTGCTGGAAAATTATGAAAAGCCACGGAATTTTGCTCGAAGAGCGCGTCATAAAATGCATTTATAATAGTATTTTGCTCAAATTACCATTAAAAGTGGTTCCGCCACGACACTCGTTGAGAGAGAAGCGAAAATACTTCATCAAATATTACTTCTGCTCGTCTTCCCGAAGACACACCTTAAAGGCTTTTTTCATATGTTGCGAAAGCTATGTGAAGAATCAAGCAACTTTCTCACTCTCAGATGCATCGCGAGGCAAGTTTAGCCAACAAACTCACAATGAAATTCTGTAGCAAACCACCCCAAGAATCCACCCATTCTATGCATGAAGTTTCATCATTTTCACTTTGGTGAGCTTTAATTGCATTCCATCCATTTCGCGCCTGAGAATCCACCCCCGCATAAACACGACAACAAATGTTAGATGTACAACAAAAGGAGTGCGCTGAAGCAATATTGGGATATTGTTCGTGACAAAATTGCATTTATCCCATGGAAAATTGTATGTGAGATTAAAGTGCTTTCGACAGGGGTTGATAGATTGCGAAAGAAAAGCGCCAGAAAGTTCTTCATCAGCAACATTGCAAATGCACACAAATTACTTTAGCGACAAAGTAAGAGCATGAAATTCATCAAAAGAAGTGAAGAAGAGCATCTCAATTAAATTCAATTTCAGTGAATTAACTTCTCTCCACAATGTGCAAATAGAAATTCAGACAAAATGATGACTTTCACATCCATAGAAGCAAATCGGTAAAACTGCGGCATTTTGCACTCTGAAACCATCAAAATGTTTATTATTGCTGATGAATTTTTCCATAACTTTCCTTTTTCAAAGCATACCGCCAGAAAATTCATCGATCAATTTATTAAATAGCAAAGTGCGCGGGAAATATGCGAGTGCATAGTTGAGTATTGTGGATTGAAGAGCCCCTGAATTTGCGAATATGCGAAATAACCCTCAATTTAGGGAATGAATGAGGGAAGAGCCAATCAACACTAAGCAATTAATGGAGCAATAAACAAGGGAATGTCGGCCGAGTGAGTGCAAATCTCTATGACGTTAAATTCGCGGGCGGTTTTGTATTTTTTGCAGTGCGTGTTCTATATCTGAAATATGAGAACGATAAGTCAAATTGATGGTCTCCAGATAAAAGCTCTTTTTCGGTTATTTCAGCCATTTCAGTTTTGAAGAGTGGAAAAAAGGTAATCCTCTCTAATATTGTTCACTGATTTCCACTGCAAGGACGACAAGAGATGCGACGCACAGGAAATTCGCAGTGGATTCAATATTACAAATAAATATTTCAGTGAACACACTGCGGCAGAATTAATTTTTTGTCGCGTATCATCCAAAGCATTCCAACAGAATACACAAATCGTATTTGTTATTTTTTTTCTGTCGTTAGTGTCATTTTCGATCTCTGGACGAGGCTGAATAAAAATTCGCGATATATTTCATGATTAAATTTTGGCGGATTTTCTCCGTAAACATTGAGAAATATGATAGACTTTCAAGCACAATTGATCTCCCAGAAAGAGATAGAAAAAAAAATGTGCCAATCTTGAATCATAAGCCTGAGTTTTTGTATTTTATTGAGAGATAAAATATTTCGTATATTCATAGAGGAATTATTCATAGACTTTACGTGACTGTGTAACTTCTTTCTCTCTTCGTACTCGCTGGCAAACATTCTTTTGGTGTGGCTGAAGAGGAATTGCATTTGGAGAGCGTTAACTATCAAGTGCTTGAGAAGATAAACCCATGAGAGGCTGAAGCGTCTTGAGAGAGTGAGATTCAGTAATTAGATCCTCACATCACTTACACGCAATTAAGCTAAAGTGCCTTTGGATCATTTAACAGCGCCTCACTCTCACGGAATTGTTGATTCTCCTCCCACCCCCACCCCGTGATGGGCTCTCGCGTGAGCACGCGGGCACTTATCGGTGTGGAGAATGAGGAAGTGAGGTGGAAAAGACACAGATAGAGTGGCAGGCGTCATTCTCTACGGCCTGCAGAGCCGTGTAGAGAGAATGAGTGAGAGCCACCGCTGGACCATGATAAATCTCGCTCACCTGAAACGCGAACGGGAGGCCAGTGGATGAGGTGCTGGTGTCGTTGCTACTGCAGCCGTTGGAGTATTTGGATATCACAGGTGTGCAATCTTGCTGGCAGCACGAATTCACCGCGCTGCCGAAGACATGGACGGGCGGCCGCCGCTGAGATGATGTCGTCCGGAGGAGACGGCGCGGTCGCGTGGGGCTGGGTGTGCGGGGCAGCGGTCGCCACGCATAGTCATCCTCATCTGCGACCTCACGTGACGCCCCGGAGTCTTGGCTGCACTGTCGCTCGCCGTACGGATAGCCGCTCTCCACGGTGAAGTCGGCCGCCCGGATTCTCGGAATGGAATTGAAGTCATCGAAGCCGTTGTACATCTTGCGCTCCGGCTTGGGCAGCATCTGCGGCTGCGGGTGACATCTCTCCAGCAGAGGCCGGCGAGAGTGATTGAATGGGTGATCTCGAGCGGGCATCGTCTCCTGCACTGATGACAGAGGTGACATCTAAATCATCCACAAATTGCCTCTCTGTCCATTCGACGTCTGCTGCGGAAGAGAAGCGATGGAAGATGATGAATTAAGATGGCAGTGAATGCAAATTCATTTTTAAACACTACATGATGCCAACAAGCCAGACAATCTCTCGCGCAGATCGAGGTGAATTCTCGGTAAAAGACATCATTTTCAGCTCTGTGTGGCACTAACGAGTTTCCAAGAAGTGTTGGCGGAAATGGCATAAAATATTTAGAACAGAATGCCTGCTTAGGAAGTCTTATTGTTGCTTTATGCTTCCATTTCTCGCCAAGTGTGCCTCTGCACAACATTTCCGCAAACATTCTTCAATGGCAATTGATTGAAATATCCACAAGAAAGTTTCACTGTTAATGAAAATCCAACACTGAATGATTTTTCTTGGCAGAAAATAGTGCAAATGTTCTCTTTCATTCTACTTTAGCAAACTTTTCAAAGATATTAAAGGAGAATGTATGGGAATGTGCCAGCTGAATTCGCTCTTTTTCCTCCTCATCGTTCTTCAAACACTTCCTGATATTTAATAAGAACCGAAAATTGTTGAAAAGCTCTCTTGCACTATGCTATAACATCTCTATTGAATTTCTCAAACAATCCCCGTTGTTGTATCATCCTTCAAATTAAACATCTTATGAACTTTCTATTTCTTTTCACGTGAAGACAAAACAGGGAATGAGAATGCAGGAAATTATATTTTTGTAACTCTTTTTTTCACCTGATTTCCACTGAAAGATAATTAAAAAGAGCGCTTTTGTAGCTTCAGAGCCAAATGACACAACATTGTACGAAGAGTGACAACAAATTGCGAGGCGATTCAGACTTGCGGAAAATAGCAAATGCTGGAGAAACACGCAATTCGCCTATTTTTTCGTCAGCTCCACACCCAGACAATTGTGAGTCAAAGAAATCCCAGTCACATGTTCGCGAGTGCATCGACAATTTCTCTCGTGTTGGAAATTCACGGTGCTTGTCAGAAGTGGTGTGAGTGATTAAATCACATATTCAAGAGATAAGATAAGACGACGTGTTGCTCATGTGCGACATGAGACATTGGCGAAAATTCATTTATTTAATTGCGCACACACACACAAACACTCGATGCCCGAAAGCCAAAACTCAAATTGAGAGTAACTATTATAGTTGATTTTATGGCTGCGCCACAGCGAGAGAAAACTTTCAATTGACCCCAGAAAATTCCAATTAAGAGCTTTTGCCAGGGAAAAATCTCTCAAACCGGATAGAATGGCAGGGCGAGTGAGAGAGAGATTCCACACAAGTGCTGCACCTTCGGATGCTTTTACGGCCAACAAACAACATAAATTTTGTGCACCATCGAGTGAAAAAGGTTAAATTGAAATCACCGACTCTAACTTTTAATCAAGATCCAATTAATACAGCCAGAGAGTCTCGCATTCTCTCGCCTTTGCGACTATTTGCAATCTATGCGATGCCGTCATCAATCATCATCCTGGGCAACTTTCATTTCCACTTTGCGAAAACACTGTCCCGAACCGCGAAGGTACAGCATTTTAATGACTCTCAAGCCAAGCGACATGGGCAATTTCTGCAGCGCGGATCGTTTGATTAGGTAAAGCTCACCTTTTGGATTCAATCTGGCGAGCATCTTTGGCAGATCTCACGTGAAATTTCACTTTGCCGCTGATTTATACGCAATTGACGGACGGGTTCAACAGTTCGCCAAGCTCTCCTTTCCCTCTACCTTCAATTCAATATCAATTTCTGGCTGAACTTTATCAGATCGCCGAAGACACAGAGAATGCACTAATATTCAGCAATAAAGATTCTGCCCATAAAGTGTAATAAAAAGCCTGTCTTGATTGGGAACTTCTCTCTGGGAGTGTCTTGTATTCTCTCCGATAAAGCCGAGCACCATTAATTTGGTGCGCCAGCCTTTTTCCTCCACACATTTAATTCCAAATTGATTTTCAACTCAAGAGAACACACACCGAATGTGATTGCAAATAAATCCCAGAGATTAATCCCCGAATATCATCCACAATGTTCCAGACATAGTCTCTATTATCGCTAATGGACTATAAAATAAATCAGTAATTAGAGGCATAATCTCCGCAGACTAATTCTCTTCGCTCCCCCATCAATGAATTTATCGACTGATTGGGCGACACACTGAGATTATGACTCGCAGGAAGGCAAATTTTCCAAGAATTTCCGCACTTAATAGATTTATACCAGCGGATAATATAATAGAGCTGATTAGGGCCCGAGATGCTTGGCAGATTAGTATTCTTGAGCGCTGCGGGAGTAAAAGTGAATTATCGAGCAACGAATGTTTAATTCAATTATCCGACATTATCATGAGAATCTCATTACGCATGACTCTTTCATACATATAAAATCTTGCATGCGGAGAATTGCCTTGCAGGTGAATTCTTGCCACGCTCTCGCAATGATCATGCCTCCAATCTATGCAAATTCATTGACATCATTTGCGCAAATCTCTCCTCATATTGAATTACGAGCCTTCAACCCTTCTCTCACAGTGTCGATACTTTCGCCCAGAGCTCTGGACATGAGGAACCTGCACGAGAAGCACGAAGGGATGTTTTAATGGGGGTGTGGAAAATTACGAGACAAATATTGCCACCCTTTTCTGTGCTCCCGCTTTAAACTAGCAATCTTAATGAAATTTCCCCAATTTTATGGTCGAATCGTGCCTTCTCGTGCTCTCCAACCAAGCATTTATGTGTTATTAAACATATTAAATTCTTTTTTTTTTTGTTATAATCAAAAGCAAACACACATGGAATTTTTTAATGAGCTGTGTGTGTGATGAAATGCAACATTAAAGCGCTGTGAGCGTTGGTAAAAAGATAAATAAAGTTGCGACAAGTGCATTATGAGCAGGTGTAATTTATCAAGAGTCACTGTTTCATGTGCACAAGAAGTTGTACCAATAAAAAGTGATGTAAAGAGGCTGCTTCTATTGCTCTATTCAAATATTGGGAGTTGAATTGCGATATTGCGAAAAAGAGTGAACAGATGGAAAAGTATATTTCTCCTGCTGAATGTCCCTTCAATTTCAGGAGTCATCATGACATATGGTCATCGTCCTCTTCTCCACTGGTCTATTCACAAGTATTTTCGTTTTCACAATAAAATTCCTTCTGTCTCTTATTAAAAATTCATTCAAATATTCCCACGACAGCCTTTCTTTCGACGCTTCGTGTGAGAGATGCAGTAAAATGCAATTCTCACCCCATAGAAAAAGTACGAGGGCTGATAATCTTTCACATCTTTTTCTATCATGTTTGCAGCATTTTTTTCCATCCCGGTGACTGACAAAGAGTGCTCGCCACGGAAGCCACGTTTCATCCCTGAGCGAAAGAGTGCTAGAGTTTCCCATGGCGAATGGCAAATGCCAAAGCAATTCCATACATCTTCAGCGGCAGCGAGAGCATTAGTGCAGTGCGGAAAATAATCTTGCCAGAGGTTGAGCCCGAGTGTCTATGCCAAAAGTTAATTGTGCAATTTAGACAAGGTGTAAGCACGTTTACAAGGTACTCGCTATTAAATTCCCTTATTGTTCTCCCCAACTCGTGTTTTTAATTACTTCGTCTTTATACTTTGAATATCTTCCCTCATTCCACACACAGCACGCCAAAAAGCACTTGCATGATGGCATTTGTGCGAAAAAAAGCACGTCACCTTCATTATATGTCAAAGAAGTAAATCCTTTAGCAGAATAATTAGTCATGTGCGCCTCAGCATCTCTTTTCGCAGAACAAAAAGCGGTAGAAAAACAGAGAGTCACATTGTTTAAATTAATAAAACGCACATTCTCATCCAATTTCCCGACGCCTCTGACGCACTAATTATATTTACTAATTAGCCCCATGTTTAATGGTAAATTTACATACCTAATCGCCGAAAAAACTAGACCATGCATAAGCAAAATATTCACACATTACATTGTACAATATGACTCCTCTGTCGTGCCCTCACAAATAGATTCGACAAAATGCCTGTGGCAATTTAATTACGAAACCGTGGGACAAACACTGACATTCACATGCTCGCAAGCATGCTCATGGTGGAAATTCGAACCGGAAATTAAAACTGTGCGGTCCACAACCCCTCTTCCCTTTGTTATGCCACCGAAATGCCTCCGCTCTACATTTCACTCCTGCATCGACGGCCAGAAATCTACCTTTCGCACAGTGAGACCGAAAATTTCAAGTCCTTCTGCACACAACACAAGGGAAGCACATTCTTCGGCACGGTGTACTTCTTCTCACTTGAAACATTTTGGCCAATCGACAGCAATAAAATGCGAATTGTGGCGTCATTTAGAGCCTTTGAAACAATCTTTCAGACCTTTTATATATTACAAATTATGTAATCGTGAAGACAATTGAAGAAAATTATCAGAATAACAGCAAAAAATTCATTCAATGCTCTAAAATTAAAAGAGTGGATATTTGATAAATCTGTAAACATTTAATTTGAAGATTGACATAAATCTAGGATGATAAATAGGCAAATTGACACTCAATTCAACTGTTATTTACCCCTTAATTGAATTCATCTCTACGCATCTTCTTAGATTGAAGATTAAGAAATTGACAGTAAAGTTTACCGCATTATAGCTTGACAAATCACCTGTGCTTTACCCGCAATGTTATCACGACAGAGTTATCTTTTATTTTCCATAGAATTCCCATAAAAATAAAGCACCACAAACCCAAATCGCTGTCGTCTCGCATGCATTTCAGGTGGGAAACCTGTTCCAACATCCACTCAATTAGGCAAATCACTTAATTATTTAAAATTCGAAAATGCTTTTCTCAGAAACTCTCTGCAAGGCCCACAAACCCTGTAATTTTCACGGCGGGGAGAGAAAACAAAATACCGTGAGCGCGAGTGTGAAAGTGTCTCTGGCTGCAGATATATGTAGGCAACGGTGAAACTGTGTACACCTTGTGGCACCAAAATGCACCCTTTGGGCAGAAACGGCCGAGCAATTCCGCACCGAAAAATACCCTCAATTCATATTGGCAAATCGAGAGAGTGCGACAGAGAGAGAATTGATTCGAGAAATGGGACCAATTTTCCTTTGCCAACCATATAATTTTGGACATTGAAATTCTCGAGAGGTGATTTTCTCCCTTCTCCGCATCTCAAAAGATATGTGTTTTGGGCCTTCTTTTTCGGAGAACACTCTTGTGTCGCTCTTTTTCATGTCTTGCGCTCCCTCTCGTTCACATTATCCAACAAATTTTATGTTGTTATTCACGAAAAATTATTGTGCGTCATCTTCATTGCCCGGGCATCGCTGGGTGGCGGTGCGAGAGAAGAAAAAAAAGGAGACCCGCAGAGGTGGAGAAGTGGAAGAAGCTGAAATACCGCCAAAGATGAGAAGCTCAGATGTCGACCTGAAAGACTTTTCAAGTGTAATGTTTGTACCTGGTTGCATGAAAAAGTCAATTTCAGCTTCTTCGGCTCCCTCTTCACCCTCTTCTTCTCCTCCTCCTCCTCTCACACTCTTCTGCGCCACAGTCATCTTCCACACTGCTGCACAGCCTCATCGGACGCAGAGCGTCGATGCAATCGTCGGCATGATCATTGCCAGTGATTGGAGATCAACTTGCTGCAGCTGCTCTTCCTTGACGGATCACTGACTCGAACGCTGAATATTGGCTCTGTGTGTATGTGCGAGAAGAGCCCTCTTTTTTGCCCACCAACACGGGCAGTTTCTCTTGAGAGTGATCTCCACACAACATGAATTAATTTCCCAGTGAGACTTCAATGCTCTGAATTTAATACAATTGCTCACCAACGCGTTTCTCTCCTATTCCGTGTGATTACGTGATAATCGCTTTTTCTCTTGCTCTTCCTTTTATCTCCCATGTCTTTTGTCTTACCACAGATCCATCAAACAAAGAGCCGAGCAATCCAACTGGAATGACCACTTTGGGCTCTCCTCATCGCTCTTCTCGGCCGCTAATCAACACGATCACTTCGCCATTGACTTCTTTTCCACCTTGTGATGTATCTTATGACCATCTTCAGTCACTCGACCCGCGTGAATAACTTTAAAGGGCTTTCAATTCACTACGCTATTCAATGCTGTGATAACTTGGAAAAACCTCGCCCATTTCCTCCATTTCCCACCCAACACGAAGTGCCGAAGAAGAGAGTCTTGAGACTTGTCTTCAGATGTTTTGCACGGTGTTTCCGTCTCTAGGTCGCATACACTAATGGCCCTCTATCAGCCATCATCTCATGCACAAGAGAATTCTCTCGAGGAGATTCTTTGATGCATGTTTTATAGCATTTAATCGTCCCCATTCCCATCAGCCAAAAAATCTCCACACTCCCATTTTCTGGGTGTCTCTCATTGCTGAAACTTCTTCCACTCAATCGCCGTGAAACTTCCACTCATAATATGTTAATTGGACTTGTGAATGTTTCATCTTCGGAACATCTTTTTCCACCGCGTGACTTCTTTTTGCCTCGTCTCCGCGCGGCACCATCATCTTTTATCCCTCCATTTAATTGACGAAAGCACACAGAGAATCGAGTCTTGAGTGCCATCATGTTGCTTAAAGACACCACTAAAGCTACTTGATGGCGTTTAACCAGCCCGACTAATTTTTGAGTCATCTCATTGCAGCGCCCAGTGTAATTAGTTATCCCCATCATTCCGCATAACATACGCGCACTCTTTTAATGTACCGTGCATGAAATTTTAATAACAGTAAATTATTTCTTCGCTTTTTTTCTCACTTCACCGACGAATAAATTCTCTCTCTGTGCTCCTCAAACATTGGCTTCTTGAAGAAGAGATAGTCATATCCGAAACACTGTGTTCTTCTGCTCCTTCGGCATGATGATGATGGGCTATTTGCCTTTGGTGGGGCGAGCAGAGAATGATGGAGGAATTGCTGTGTGAATTACATTGAGAGTCGAGAGCAGCCAAAGAGATGGTAAAACATTCATATCACACAATATTACAAAACTAGCTCTCTTGCTGTGCTTTCTCCGGGAGATGGATTAAGTCTTCGGGGGGTTTAAGAATGCAATTTTACACTCTTGAGTTATCCAACAAGAAAATTGACTTCTTTCATGTCGAAACCACAGGAAGATGGCTGGTCTGAGGGCGAACGACTCACCGCACAGTGTGGAAGTGAATGGATGCTAGAGCATGACCATGAAGGCGAGGGCAAAAAGGGCTTTACATCCAGAGAAGAAGTGCAATTATGAATGATGGAAGGTTCTTGAGCATACATCAAACACTGAGAGAAACTTCCGCAGAACAATTCATATTTTTTCACACTCAGAGACTCTCAGAGCAGGTAAAGAAACTGTGTGCGGAGAAAATCCACAAATAACCCATGATAATTGCAACTAATTGTGCACTTTTTCTCCACTTTTTATACCATCGCCAGGAACTACAGACGAATTTTCTCGCAATTTCTTATCTTCGTCACACACTTTTTGCCACCAACCTTGGCTCTTTTTGCTCACGCGTTCATCGCGAGAGAACGCGACACAAAACGACAATATATACGTAATCTTTGCGGAGAAAGTAATTAAAATATTATCAAACCTCAAGTTTTTTGTTCTGTGTTGAGCTGATTTCGCGCGTTCACACAAAATTAAAGCCAGATCAGAGAGAGAATTATGGGCGTAAAATTTCCACTTATTTTCACCTTATGATCGCGCGAACAGTACCAACTTGGGCCACAACTCAACCAATACTGCGGCAAAACGGTAGATTGACCTGTTGAATTACCTGCGATGGAACGACTGAGTCGGCGAGCGATCGCACACCTTTCGGTCTACCACGGAGATCTCTTTCCCACAGTGCTGCTCGCGAGCACACACAGGTAAAAAGAGAGGCACATTCAACCGCACGAAGCGACGAGTTTACCGGCTGTTGTGTCTCCAGGTGGAAGGCAATATAGCCGGAGATCCAGTGAATTCACACAACAATACAGCCACGAGGAAGAGACTTCTTGCAGGCCATTGAATAAACTTTACCCAGCTGAGATATCACAACAATGAATGAGGAAAGTTTCAAAACATGAAGGCAAAACTCCCCTCTCTCTCTCACTCTGCCCTGCGCGATTTCTGTCCGCAATCACTAAACGTCCACAATTTCATATCCCCAGTAATATCAGCAAATGTGACGTGCCTGCAGCGAGTGCGAAAGATCAAAAAACGTCATGGAAGTACGAAACACAGTCCCAAGATAGTCCAGCATGCCATAAATCAAAAGACTGTCTGGAGTGTTCTCAATATGAGCCAACATATTGAGATGTATGTACGCCGTGATAAGGAAATCTCGCACATTATGACTATATCATATCGCTGACAATTCAGTAGCTAAAGCACGATCGTCAAGAGTGTCTGAGTAGCCATTCGCATTCACCCTAACGAGAAACACTCCTTGGAACAAAGGGAAGAAGTGAAAATTAGCCGCCTAATAGCTTGATTTGTGTGATACTAAAAGGAGAGCGTAAAGGCCTGAGATATTGGCAGTGGCGGAAAAATGCTCTTAAGCCTTGTGGTGGCCTACATTGTGTGGTTGTCGGGTAATACAAGATCGGCTGGATATGGAGCCCCAGTCGCACCACCATCGAGCCTCCCATCGCCCGAAATGGTATTGAATTGCGAGCTAAATTTATGCCTCACCAGCTCTCCTTCGCACTTCCCCTCAGAATTGCACCAACACTAGATAAGAGATGAAAATATTTGCAGAGATTTACGAGCCCAAACACTTGTTTACGGATGTTTCGCGTTGGTGTACATGTTAGTTTAACGGCTATAAGAATTTATAATAGAGGAATGTGTAATGTTGGATGAAGTGGAAATTTACTGCTAATTTGCTAAGACACATTTTGTACCTTTCTTGCTCTCTCTCTCTCTTCATCTCTTATCACACGCCTAATCTCGTCCACTGTCTCCCAACTCTTCTTCACCTCCCTCAAGAAGCCACAACAATTTGCGTTTCAGATATCCTCCTCCTCCTCCTCGTAATTCTGAGAGAAAATAAGAGGTGTTTATGGATGAGGAAATTATTAAATAATTTTTTATCCACCCTCACACAAACACTAATTCATTTTTCCCCGTCTCTTTTTGTAATCTCTCAACAGTTTGCCTTTATGAGACGATTCGGCTATTTAGATGCAAATCCGTCGGATTCTCTGGCTCTGTATAGCGAAGATGCCGTGATTGATGCCATTAAAATGGTACAGAAGTACGGCGGAATTCCCCAAACTGGTGCTGTTGATGATAGAACGATCAAAGTATGAGGAAAAATCCCTCCCGAACCCCCAAGTTTCCTTCAGCGCTAGAAATGAATTTTTCCTCTAATATCACTTTAATGATAGTTAATGACATCGCCGAGATGTGGTGTACGAGATTTACATGCCGCCAGCGCGAGACGGAAGCGTTTTGTTGTAGGAGGACGTGGCTGGCAAAAGAGACAAATTACGTATTTGTAAGAATGGGAGGGAAGAAAATTAGCAAATAATGGGATCCATGAGGAATTTACACGCGCTTATTGATCTCTTTCGCCATTCCAATTTCTTTTCTTCTCTCTTTTCACTTCTCTTTCGATGGGGGGCAGCATAGCAAATTGGACACCAAAATTGGGTGAAACGGAAGTGTCGAGTGACATGGGAAGAGCTTTTGAACTGTGGGGTCAGTATGCCAATTTGAAATTCATTCAGGTCTTCGATCCATCTGCAGACATCATTGTCGCTTTTGGCAGTCACTACCACGGCGACAGGTAAAATGTGTCTCCAACATGTTGTGGGTGGTTTTCCGCACTCACCGTGATGATGGGGAGAAAATGCCATTCAGCAGCACCTTTCAATGCTCACAAATTTCATAGAACATGGCAGAGAAAATAGAAAAGAAGCTTATTGATTGCCGCTTACGGTTTTTTCAACTCTCGCAAAGTCAGTCGCAAAGCTCTTTTTCCCGAGCTTCTGTGTGATGGAGGAAAATCTATGTCAATCACCCCTAAAAATATATTACTCAGAACATTGATATCGATTGTGGGATATTTTGAAAATTCACCTAAAATAGCACACTTATAATATTTAATCACTCGTGAGTTTGGCAAGAGTGCAGCTGAGATACTTTTAGTTATTTACTCCACTTGAAAGCTCAGGACGGAGAAAGTGCTACAAATCGAAAGAGGTTCATCGTAAGAGGTTCTAGAGTCCAAAAAGTGCTCAATTACACTTGAGGACAATTGACTGAGGCGTAAATAAGTGTCTTCCCCAGTAAATCGATTGCGGCAAATCAACAAGTTTATTCGATGATTCGAAATTCAGGAACTCGAGAAAATAGCATTAAGTTACAAAATAGAGTTCAAAGTTGAGTTCAAATTTGGCAGAGAAATCGCTTAAAAACCTTACAAATAATTGTATGATGAAAAAACCAGTCTTTTGTCATACGAAATCGACTGTTCGGCAATTTATTCATTCTTGAACATTGACAAGACGCTACTCAATGACTCGCCCCTCGAGCCATTAGGTGTGTTGGGTATTTTATTAAGCCTCCCTCCCACGAGTCAGGTTTCCATTCGATGGACCAGGATACATTCTGGCACATGCCTTCTATCCATACGAAATGGGCTCATATGGCGGTGACATTCACTTCGACAGCGATGAAAATTGGACAAGAAGCGAGAATATCACAAATGGAGGTAAATATCCTCAATTAGTTTATCACCCCATCGATAAAATGGAAATTTCCCAAATCCAGCACAATTGATCGTTGTCACATTTGCCCCAAACTCTCCATTCGCCTGATGTTGCGGGAGAAAAGGAAAACGTGTGTAATCCTTTTTTATCTGCACAGACATCAACTTTCTCTCTGTGGCCGTTCACGAATTGGGTCACTCACTCGGCCTGGGACATTCACCCATTTACAATTCAATCATGTTCCCGTACTACAGACCCACCCAATTTCCAATCACCCTCGATTTCGACGATATCCTCGCCATGTACAATCTCTATGGTAAGTTGTCGCGTATAATTATATTTTTTCCCATCGTCTCATTTTTGGCACACAGAAGCAAAAGCAATAATTGAATTTGCGCACCCACTTCTCTCTCTATCCCGCGTGCCGACGGTGTGAATTCAGTTAGAGCACAGCTTCCGGGTGATGAGGTGATTGAGGGAAAAAACGAGGCGCCAACCACCCCCCAAATTATCCCGACATCCACCTATGAGACGACAATCACACCGGATTTATCCACTGTGATCGATCGGGACGGAGCGACACCGACAACTGAATCAATTAGCAATGATGTGACGCCTTGTACAACCCCAGCACAGCATTATTATTCATTCCATGGAGACTACGAGACCGTGGAGGAGCACAAGGTGAGCGCTGCCATTGAAAATCCACCACAATACATATGAATACCATAAAGTTTCCCTCTGCGAAAGCCATGCAGAGTTGATCCAGTGTTAGTTTTTGATTGCCAAACATCTCTCCAAAATCACACTGACAATGTTGAAAATGCTTATTTTGTCACAGACATTTTGCAATTGTGGTTTAATACAGCCACAAATATTCTCATTATTATTTATCTGTTTGATATCACAGACCATTGAAAATACCTCAAAATGCGCGCATATCTATCTACCACTTAGCAGTTTACACACTGAACTGAAATACCATCCGGAGCATTTATTTTGGAAATATTTTCCTGCATGCGTTGATTATTAAATTCACAGCAAAATGTACATTTTATTGGATCAAATATTTGTCGCTTTTCATCATTCATCCGGAAGTAACAAACCCTTTGGCATGCTGAAAGGTGAAAGAGGAAAAACTAGACTCCAATTGCAGTTTATTTTTGCATGAAAAACACATAGCTTGAAAAGAAATATTGTATAAACACTCCATTTCTCAATTTTCCTCCGAAATTTTTGCAATTCTATATCAGTTATGATCAAGGGGAAGATAATTCGCGAAGTTCTGATAAAAATATGACCAAGGGGTTGAACCAGAAGCTGACTCTTTCAGTAAAATCACGTTCAAGAAGAGTGAAACTGATGTAATTGCAAAAGTTATGCAAATGGGCGTGGCATTTGAGGGGGCGGAGCTTTGAAAACTTTACCTTTACACATCAGTGCAACTTACTGTTGCAAAAACTACAATATGAATGCAGATTTATTCATCACTTTGTCACAAATCTGAATAAGTATTCGTGTTTTTTCTCAAATCATTGCGTCTGAAAGTCCTTTCCATGGACTCGTGCGAGTTGTTTTCCCCTTGGCTTCATGTTTCATGGGCAATTTTCATACTTTCACAATTGCAAATTCTCGTTCGGAATCCTCTCATGCAGACACGTTTCGATTCGACACCAATTACAACGACGACAGCCATCGGGCCCACGTCGATTGTGGCAGGAGAACCGGCGAGCATTTGCGAAGGTAATTTCGATGCCGTCTCCGTGCTTCGTGGTGAAATATTCATATTCCGTGGCAGATTTCTGTGGCGTCTCACAAATAGATTTCACATCCTGCCGGGATATCCTGTCGACGTGGCACAGATATTTTCCCCACACGAAGGCACCGCCGCAAATCCCTACACAGTGGATGCTGCCTACGAACGAAATTCCGACGGTCACATTGTTCTCTTCTCAGGTAAATCTCCTCTCCACCCCACATGAAAAAGTCCCACCCGCTCAGCACACAATTAGAGGAAATCTCGACCGTTTCAATTGTGTGTCCGCAGGAAATCAATATTGGCTCCACAATGGCAGTCACTTTGTTGAGGAAAGTCCAAGACCTCTCACGGATTACGGGATTGACTCTCAAGTTTCCTCCATAGACGCTGCTCTAGTTTGGGGTGAGTTGCTCACATAAATTCCAAGTATCGCACATCCATAATTAATTTTCCCGCAGCGCATTTGTTGGACTAAAACTTCTCACACAAACACAAACACACGTGCGCTTCTTTGCAGGAAAGAATGGCAAGACTTACTTGTTCTCGGGCGACATTTTCTGGCGCTTCAGCGACGACTCTTCATCCCTGGATCCCGGATATCCCAAAGGCATTGCGCGATGGCACGGAATCCCATCTGATCTGGACGCTGCAGCGACAATAAACGGCCGCACTTTCTTATTCCGCCGGAAGCTCTACTGGTTGTTCAATGACCGATGGATTCGCCCAGAAATCGGATATCCTCGCAGGATCGCGTCTCTCCTGGGCTGCCGCTGAAATACATCATCAGCATCACAGCAAAGTTAGTCAAGACCAAAGATTAATTAATAAAACATTAATCATGCAATAAAATGCGCAACTGCAATTGATAACTCTGCTAATTCACTTGTGAAATGTTTCATATATCTCTTGCATTGATTCATATATTGTCACTTTGTGATGGTTTGCAAGCTGTGTTGTGATTTTATCAAGGCTTTTATGCGGTAAAGCATATATTTTACATTGACCACGTTAAGAATGTAAAGAATATGAAATAATGAGATTTCTAAGAATTTCTGAATGATTCATGAAACTCATTACAATGCAGAAGGACTTTTCCTCGCAATGACGTGCAGAATGATGGAAAATCCCGCCAAATTATGCGAAATATGATAAGAAACAACAGGGTTTTGTGCATAAATTTCGTAAGTGGAGCGAAAAAACATTTGCTTACACACAAATAAATTTAAGTGGCGATATTTCAGCACACAACCGATATCGCTTCCCGCCGTGAAATGCATTTTCCACCCCACAAATAAATTCCGGGGCTGTTTCGGGCGCGCGCGCTACTCTTCGATAGATATATAAATCCCCGCTTGAGTGAAAAAGACAGTGTGGCCATAAATTATTTAGTCTTCACTTTATTCTTCACCGCCGGTGGTGAGGCAGGGATGCCCCTGAGGAAGTGATAGTAGTATCGCAGCCAGAAGCTCGTCACGCCAGCGGCGCAGTAGACACTGGTGAGCAGGAGGGGGAGGAATGGTAATTTCCCGTCAATCTTGAGGAGGAAGTGGAAGATGTAACTGTAGAGGAACAATGCCACAAAGCCACTGCAGTAGACTTTCTCAATTGTGGCGAATGCGACGCCAGAGTGCAGCCATGTGAGGCTCCAGAGGGTGAGGCAGCACTGCACGAGACACAGTGTCACAGACACTGGCGTGAGTTCGGGCGGGAACAGCAGCGGCATGAGGGAGTAGAGGCCGGTGATTGTCAGCAGAATCAAGTGTTTGGCATCCAGGACATTGTGAATGGACAGGAGGCTGCAATGTGAGGGAAAAAACCATCAATTTGCCCATGGTTTAACATTGTGTGCACTCTGCACAGGAGTGCGAGTGGAATTATCTCTGTACCTGAGCGGAATCATCGCCATGAGTATTGCCTTCTCGTGCACATGCCAGCCAAACATGAATGATGTCGTTGCACACAGAACCACGCCGCGAACGAAATCCCGCCACTTCTCATCCCCCGAGCGCCACAGCAGCAATTTCACCGCGCACGGCAGCGTGAAGAGCGCCGTGAGAGCAAATGTGGTCAGTGGCGATATGGAGGGCAACGCCACATGCTCGAACGTCTGCACGAGTCCGCTGGACGTGGACGATCCCGGTGCTCTCAATCCCAGCACAGCCGCCAGCACTTTGTCCGCGAGATTGTACATGGCCCAGAAATTGGGCGCCCAATACGCGTGCGACAGGCCGCGCTTGAAGGGAAAGAGCCGCGAGAGAACCTGCGATGAAAGAGCATCAATTATTGCCAATCATTCAATTTCTACAATCGATCGATCGCTTTTTGGGCGATACATTTTGGGTAAAGGGATTTCTTTCAGCGTAACTCATAACAAATCAGTCAAAAAGTAATTTCTTTCCGTTTTCCTACAATTGAATCATTGATATCCTGTTATACTTAATCTTATCATTCTGACAGAATAATCGATTTTCTTAATTTACTGAGTTTCTAGAGCTGCATTGCATTTTTAAGACAATTTCCGAGCAATTGCCATTAAAATAACTCTTTTCCAGCAATTCTAGAGCCAAGGCAATATAAAAAATTCTCTCGGGAATCATAAACAGAACATTTTAGGGGAATATAAATGCAGCAAATGAGCGTAAAAAATATATTCTAAAGTGGTAAACTGAACAAATGTCAGCTAAAATATTCAAAATATCAGCAATAAATCGTATTTAGATACAGAAATCAATTCTATTCGAAAGCAAATGAAAGATTTCGGCATAAGAATTGACAAATTAAGTCAAATTCTACGAAATTCAACCTAAAATATCGTGTTCACAATCCTTTTTTCGATTATTTGTATCAGCAATTCTTTCATCTCTTATTCTAGCGTAAACTCCAGAATTTTCTATTCAATCTCACAAAGTGAAGCCCTTCTCTTGCCCTACAATTGATCCTCTGGCAGTGGCAACTCACGTTTCGCCTGTTATTTCTCTCCCTGTGAGACTGTTTTGCAGCAGAAAAGTTCACACGTACACTCTTAATGTTTGCTCGAAGGGACGGAGGTTCTGTTGTGAAAAGTGAATGAGACAATTTCACAGAGACACGGAAAGAGGAAAGGTATCTCTCAGTATGCAAATGAGACCCGCTCCGCTCCACTGAATTGAATACATCGCGCGAAACAGGAAAATGCCATCAAATGCTCCATATTTGGCTACATTTTTCATGCGGTCGAAGCCCATACAATGATAAATAAACTATTGAAGGTGGCGAAAAGAGACGCTGGCGGCTTAATTGGGTTATTCCGGGCGAATTGCTCCGCTGATTACTGACTCTCGCGTCACGGATGAATAATTGAAATTCAATAAGCATGTGTGGGTGGCTCACCTGCGGGATTTGGCGGTGGAAAGGACCAAAAGAGATCAGCGTCACGCCGGCGACAACCGCTGCGAGCTGCAGCAAGCGCCTCAGCGGCTGCTTTCCGGCCAGGCAGTAGTGCTTGAGCAAGTACACCACATAAACCGGCGCCACGTACACGAAGATGTGCTTCATGTTGAGCAGAACGGAGAAGAAGATCGCCGACTGGACGTATTTCTCCTGCATTATCGCGCCGATGCTGAGCAAGAGGAGGCCAAAAAGCACGCCGTTGTACTGGAAGTGGATGTGATCAACCATGAGGAGGCCAGCGTTGAAGAGTACCAGGAAGGGAAGGACATTTCTCTGTCTTTCCGACCACTTTTGACCGCCTTGAAGGCACCTGAGCACGAAAATATCGTCAATTTCAATGTCTTTCCGACACTCTTGTCAGAGATACTTAACGATTTCACACCTAGCAACAGCACAGCATCCGTGGCGATTACTGATAACCTCTGGAAGAGAATTGTCCGCTCCGAAGCATAGTTGAGATTCTCCACAATCAGCATTTTCTCATCAAAGAACCTCGCAAATTGCGACAAAATCCACTCAAAATACGCGAAAAACGGCGGATAATCCAGTGTCCACTCGCTTCTATCCTCATAGTACCACTTCTCCAGAGGCAGACTGTGTGTAATTGCCAGCCAATTCCTGTGCACTTCAAAATCCGTCGACCGGCTGCAAAGAAAGAAGCCCAAATAAGAGAAGCTCTACAGCAATTCCATCGGATTTTTATACTATGCCGGCATGAAGAGGAGTTTTATGCACGACACCAAACCGAAAATTGTCCACAGCATCTTTTTCACTTGTCACTCGAGAAATTAGAAAAAGAATACCACGAGAAAATCATGGAAATGTGAAGAGAAATCACAATCAAAATATGCCGAGTTGGATGTAAACAATCTGCTAGAAAAGTGCGCGAATGAACTTGACAGCTTTTATGGCACCCAAGACGCGCCCATTTTCAAACATCATGAAAATTTGGGAAAAACGAGGAAAATCACTGAAAAGCAATTGAGAGACACCTAGATAATGTTTTATAAGAAAAAGACAGGGGAAATACTGGAGAATCATAAAGGATTACAGAGAATTTTGAATGATACACGAAATAGTCATTATATAAAATCAGATTGGAAATCCATACTTTTTGCTCACTTCATCAATCAGCTTTCATGTAACACACAACACAGAACATTTTTTAATAGTTTTCATCTCAAATCAATAGGAAACCATTGATTTTCGCAGTAAATCCCGCTCCAATTCGTGCCAATTCGACTGCCGTTGGAAATCTCGTTCCAATCGCGCAGCCAAAATCTCGCGTTGACAAGTGAATTATGGCACATTCCGAAAGTCCGAAACAAAGATGGCTTGTGAAAAATATCGAGGAAAATCTTTTCTCCCAATTTCACGTGAATTTTCCCACTTTTCCACCATGTGAGCGTGCAAAGTTGTCCACAATCCGCAACACTGTGTCTCAATCAACGTTGTCCAAGTGTGTGTTAAGTGTTTTCGTGGGCCTGAAACATGTTTTCCGCTCAGCACGGCCTCCCATCGAGTGACGGCAGCGATGATTACAATTTTGAAAAGGTGGAAAATGCCATGAAATGGAGAGGTGTTTTCGTGAATTCGCTGCGAAAGGTGAGTCTTTGGGCGGCCCCGAAGGCGGTGCAGTGGTTATTTGTGTTGTTTTGCCGCCGCAGGTCCTGGAACAGGTGCATCCCAACATGACAGCTCAGGATGATGCTCTGTTCTACGTCGAGAGTCTTTGTCTGAGGTGAGGCTGTGTTTTGGCCAGATTTCCCAGCTGCTGGGGCTCATAACATATTTTGCTTTGCATTCCAGGCTCCTGGCGATGCTGTGCGCCAAGCCGCCGCCGCACACGATTCAGGTACAGTCACATAAGTGAGCTTTTGACAGAGTGACGCTTGAGAGTGTCTTTCCGGAATCTCTATTTGCAGGACATTGAGGAGCGCATCGGCAAGACATTCCCCACGCCAATCGACAAATGGGCTCTCACGGAGGCCTTCGAGACGCTGGACAAGTCCAAGAAGAAGAAGTCAGTTCTGCCCGTGGATAAAGTCCACTCGATGCTGCAGAAAGTGAGTGCAAAATACTCTTCCGGGCGCAGCTTTCCGGACATATAATCATGTGTTTTTCCTTCTATCGCTCCACAGGAAGTGCTTCAGTACAAGATTGACATCTCCGTGTGCGTCTTCCTGGTGGCTGTGTTGGAGTACATCTCGGCGGACATCCTCAAACTGGCCGGAAACTATGTGAAAAACATAAAGCACATTGAAATATCTCGAGAGGACATCGAGATTGCAATGTGTGCAGACAAGGTGAGTGACTGTGCATTGAGGCATCCCTTTCTCAAGAGCTGAAGAATGAAGATGGCCGGCTAAAATTAGTAATAAATTCGCTGGGCAGTCGTCAATGCCTCCAACACACTCGCAGACACTCTATCTTGGCGGTAGTTTTGGGCAGAAGAGCTGATAAATCACGCGATAGCACAAGATAGTCACACACGAGATGCTTCTTTTTGCGATCTTTGGAAGAATCACACTATTTTTCTGTTTAGTCTCCTTGGTTTCCAGCTTCATTTCACTGGTTACTTCTCTCTCTATCTGCTCTGTGGGCATTCCGGGGAGGGCTTTTGAGGATGTCCACAGACTGACATTAGTTGACAGACTCTCTTAACGATATAGAATGCTTCTTTTCGTGTCTCATCACACATTTGACTTACAGTTGATTTATTACTAATTTTAAGTTGGTGATTTTTATACGAAAAATCCAGGATTGCTGCTAAATATCTACCGGGAAAACATTAATTCACTGTTAACATGTTGAAATGATATTCAGAGCTTAATATTTAGAATTTCTGATAGATTTTAGCAACAATTCCGCATAAATCAATATTATTTGTACGATATATGTTGCAAAAATCATTATGTTTTTCATGCTGTCCTCTTATTTATCAAAAAAAAAAAAACAATAAAATCAAAAAATACCACAAATCAAAATCAATTTTCACAAATCGAAAAAGGTGGTAGGTTGAAAAAACAGATTTCTTTATTAATTGAAAAACCACTTTTTACTATCCTCTTCTTGTTTTTCATCCTTGATTTTATTATCCTTCTTGAACAATTTAGCTGTGTGAGATAAATTTTGCCACAAATATTGTATTTGTGCCTCTCGAGAGGCGTTCAAGAGTTTGATTAGCGTTTTGCCCTCTTTGTTTCCTGATTTCACTTCTTTTTTTTTGTCGTATTCTAGCTAAATAAGCGAATTGACATGAATCTTTGGTCCTTTTAATTTTGCCTTTGACAATTTGGTTGCTCTGCATGATTCACGTTTTGTCCCCTCATTTGTCGCTTCTCCACATTCTTATGCATTTCCGTTGCTGGCAGAAAAGATGTATAAATTTGCTTTTGTCGTTTGGAACTCTCTCTCTATCTCTCTTTCTATCCAACTCCAGATATATTGTAAATATATATTTTCTCTGTCCTTCGGGACGATTGATTAGCCCCTGATGGGGCGTCAATTGCGCCTGAAGAATGTGTTTTCGCTCTTGTGTTTGTGGCATGTGGAATGTGTGGGAAAATGCAGCTGATCTCTGGATGTCTCACAGGTGCTCATGGATATGTTCTACCAAGGCGATGGATCGGGTTCGGCGGCTCCGAGTCCTCTGCCGCCCACGCCGAGGATCAGTCTCTCGTATGAGGAGGTCGTCAAGGAGTTGATTCACGATGAGAAACAATATCAGCGCGACTTGCACATGATTATTCGTGTGTTTCGCGAGGAACTAGTCAAAATCGTTAATGATTCCAAGGTTAGTTGCTGTCGAAATGACTTGTTTGCTTAGTTTTTCCACTCAACACTCAGAAGATGATCGTGTTGAAAGGCAAAAAGGCTAAAATTGTGTGTGGTGGTTTTGCAGGAATTAGAGGCAATATTCTCCAATATAATCGACATCTACGAGGTGACGGTGACGCTGCTGGGCTCCTTGGAGGACGTGATCGAGATGTCGCAGGAGCACACGCCGCCGTGCGTGGGCAGCTGCTTTGAGGAGTTGGCCGAGGCCGCGGAGTTCGATGTGTACGCCAAGTATGCGCGCGAAGTTACCTCGCCACAGTCCAGGGAGGCTCTGGCCAATCTGCTCGCGCGTCCCGAGTCCAACTCCCTGATCGCCGCCGGGCACGGTTTCCGCGAGGCGGTGAAATTCTACCTGCCGAAGCTGCTCTTGGGACCCATTTGGCATGCTTTTTTGTACCTAGACTACATTAAGATACTGATGGAAAAGAGTCCGGCGCACGATGACAGGGAGAGCTTCGAGCAGGTGCAGGGACTGCTGAAGCCGCTCCAGTGTCAACTGCAGTACATCGTTTCCACCTTACCAAAGTGAGTACAAAATTAAGATGATATTTCGTCATGTTATCCAAGGAAAATCGGGTTTAAAGTCTCTAAATTGTATTAATTAACACAACATATTCTTCGTTCTAGAAACTGCCAAAAAAAATTGAATTTATAGCTCTCTGAAACTTTAAATTTGACTAATATCCGTTGTTCTTCTTTTGAGATACATTTCTTTTTCTGTGTGAAGATGAATTTTCTCTATAACTGTGTGATTTCCGATCTAATTCGCTGTTTCTTCCGCTCGTCAGGGAGTCAATGGTGAGAATGCACAGTCGGGCGAGGCGACAGATAGCTTTTGAGAAGACAAAGGAGCTGCAGAACACAGTTGAACACTGGGACAAGGATGTTGGGCAGTGTTGCAACGAATTTATCAGAGGTGAGTTTGTTGTGTGTGTGTCTCTTTCCGCCTCTTTGGCTCTCAAGCTAATCATATTCATAGTCATTAATATTTTATAATGTGGAATTATTGGAAAAAAAATGGGAAAAGAGAGAGAGAGAAAAAAGCGTGAAAAGAGTGTAGATTTCATATGAGATGAAAATGAAAAAAACATGTTAATCCCATTTAATGTGGTGAGAAAAATCTTCCTTATTGATTTTTGAGCAGTGAATGTGTGATTTTGAGACGCTCGAACGGAGATGTCCAAAACCGATAAATCACGCATCAAATGTGTGTATAATTAGCGTATAATGATTGTTAGTATTTTTTGTGCCTTGCATACAAAATATGACTAATTGGGTGGAGAGATTATGATTCAAATCGAGTTAGATACTGACTTTCTGGGGAAATTCGAGTGAGTAATTTGGAGTGTGATTCAGACGAAGTGTGTTTCTTTTGCAGAGGACACTCTGGCGAAGTTTGGCTCCGGGAAGCGCATCACGGAGAGGAAAGTGTATCTGTTCGACGGATTGCTGGTGCTGTGCAAGGCCAACACGCGGCGTCAGACGGTGTCCGTGGGCGCGGCGCAGAGTTATGACTTTCGCATGAAGGAGCGCTTCTTCATGCGCAAAGTGGAGGTGATCGATCGCGCGGACACGGATGAGCTGAAGCATGCCTTTGAGATATCGCCGCGCGTGCAGCAAGCTGTGGTGTTAATAGCCAAGAGTACGCAGCACAAGAACGACTGGATGGCGGATCTAATCATGGTGAACACGAAGCCGATGCTGGATCGCATTCTGGACAGTATTCTGTTGGATATTGAGAAGAAGCACCCACTTAAGCTACCTAGTCAAGACATTTACAAGTTCGCCGTGCCCGACAGTCCCAACAATATTGTGTTGGAGGAGCGCGAGTCGACGGGTGTGCCGCTGATCAAGGGGGCGACACTGTGCAAGCTCATTGAGAGACTCACGTACCATATTTATGCTGATCTCAAGTTCGTGCGGACATTTCTCACGACATACAGGTCGTTTTGCTCACCACGGGAACTGCTCACACTGCTAATCCAGCGCTTCAACATTCCCGATCCCAGTATTGTGTACGAGAGTGGCTCGATTGGATCGAGTGGATCGAGTGAGGTGTCATCGGACACGGATAAGCTGCACAAGTGCTCACAGCGTGAGGATTGGAAGCGCTACAAGAAGGAGTTCATGCAGCCGGTGCAGTTTCGTGTGCTGAATGTGCTGAGACATTGGGTGGATCATCACTTCTATGATTTTGAGCGCGATGTGGAGTTGCTGGAGAATCTGCTGGCATTCCTCAAGACGGTGAATGACAAATCGATGCGGAAATGGGTGGATCCGTTCTTCAAGATTGTCCACAGGAAGAATGAACAGGAGGAGAATCACAAGCAGATTACATTTAGTCACAGTCCACCAGCCATTGAGTATCATTTGCAAGTGCCGGAGAATGAATTCAATTTGCTCACGCTGCATCCGCTCGAGTTGGCGCGGCAGCTCACACTGCTGGAGTTTGAGCTGTACAAGAATGTGAAGCCATCGGAATTGGTGGGTTCTGTGTGGACGAAGCGTGACAAGGAGTTGACGAGTCCCAATTTGCTGCGAATCATCAAGCACACGACAAATTTCACGCGTTGGCTCGAGAAGTCTATTATTGAGGCGGAGAACTTTGAAGAGCGCGTCGCAATGGTGACACGAGCCATTGAGGTGATGATGGTGTTGCTGGAGTTGAACAACTTCAACGGTGTTCTGTCTGTGGTCTCGGCCATGGGCAGCGCTTCTGTGTACAGACTCAAGCTCACCTATCAAGCCATTCCGGAGCGGTATAAGAAGTGTCTGGAGGAGTGTCGTGAACTCAATAAGGATCACTTTCGCAAGTATCAGGAGAAGTTGCGCTCAATCAATCCACCGTGTGTTCCCTTCTTCGGCATGTACTTGACCAATATTCTGCACATCGAAGAGGGGAATCCCGATCTGTTGCCCAACACGGAACTCATCAATTTCTCCAAGAGGCGGAAAGTGGCTGAAATCACGGGTGAGATTCAGCAGTATCAGAATCAACCGTACTGTCTGAAGACGGATCCGAAGATCAGGCGTTTCCTGGAGACGCTGGATCCCTTTGAGGGGAAGAATGACAATGACATCAGCAATTATCTGTACAATGAGAGTCTGCGAATTGAACCGCGAGGATACAAGCAAGCGCCCAAGTTCCCACGACGCTGGCCAGAACTCACACTGAAATCGCCGGGCATCAAGCCGCGGCGGCACAACAATAGCGGCAGCTCAGTGTCTCTGATCTCACTACCCGGCTCGCTGCCGTACAGCCACAAGAGCCTGGCGATGAGCAGCAGTGAGGGCGATTGGTCGCCCACGAGTGGCATTTCGCAGGTGTCGCAGGAGTTCACGGTGTTTGCCAATGTTAATATTCAGGGCTCGCATCACAGCAGTCTGATGAACGTCTCCCACCCATCCACGTCCCTCAGCGCCCTCGCCACGTCCTCCAGCATCGATCTGATGGATCAGGTGAGCGTGGCCAGCGTCGCGGCCGCCAATGTGCCATCCACTGTGCCCGAGTTGCCAAAGAGATCCAACAGTATTATCTCCATGGCGAGTTGCAGCAACATCGTCATTGACTCCGTGAAGCCCGTGCTCAGTCCGCGCGACCATCAGACGGCGTGCAACACGCTGCCCACGCGCAGTTCGCCCATCGTGAGTCCCAAAGTGTTGCCGTCTTTCCGCGAGGACGGCGACGCGCCCACGCTGAGTCCGCGCGTCCACAGAGGCGGCAGCATCTGTGATCAGGAGTCCTTCCGGACGCCACTGCAGGGCGCCGCGACCACGACAATCGTGAGGAATGCTGTCCGAGGGAGCACGGCAAGCATCACGTGAGTATATCTTTGGCTTGAATCAGATGGAAAATTAACGTATTGTTCGATTAGATAATTCCTATAAATAACTATAATTGAATGAATTGAATATATTGAATGAGAGGGGTTAATAACTGACAATATCTATTGATTTTAGTGCTGATTTTTCGAATTTTCATTAAAATTATATCATATCTGACTGGATTTGCTCAATAAGAATTGCACTGTTTATGCTCTTATCGGGCTCGTTGTTTGACATTTTCCTCATTAATTAATCTGAATCGGAGTTAATCTTGAAGAAAATTCGATCAAAATGTCTTTTAACTTGAATTTGTGTCGATCGCCAATCAAATTTGACACTTATTTACCCCTTGATTGAAAGTTTAGTTTCCGATTTGCGATGTTTATAATCTTGTGGGTAGAAAAAGGCCACTTTGCAATATTGATGTTATGAATTTGTATGAATTAAGCTCTCTCAAATGAATATTTTCCTCATAATAATGCCACAACAGTTGAGTAATCGATAGATGGCTTATAAAACGGCATGTTAAATAGTATACTATACAATTTGTTTGAAATGATAAGCATCTGTTGGCATTTGATTTGGCTTTATCTCACTTTCATCTCAGATGCAGTTTTTATTTTATTGTTGGTAATTGATTAGTTTTTCCTATGAAAATAACACACATTGGAGAATTGTACAAATTACCAGCCATTTGAATGTCCAATTAGAGTGTGTATGGATGGAAATATGTGTCGCGAGAGATTAATTTAAAATCAATTCTCGACTTAGAGAGAGAGAGAGAAAAAGAGCAATGAATGATTTCAATGCAACTTCCGAGGTTACCGAGAGACAGACATTTAGCACTGACATTGGCATGAATGCTGAGAATGTGAGTTCATTACGTTCCAACATCATTAAATTGGACAGATAGTCGATTTATTGGTGTGCTAAAAGGGATTAAATGAGTTTCATGTGTATAAAAGTGTGTTAAATGCGAGCAATTTCACGTTCAGCGGAGCGATCAATTGTTTTTTTTTCTCTGTGCGCCTTTTTGCAGTACGAACGCCGACGAGGGACAACAGAGCCAGCTTCCGGGCAGTCCGAAGATCAGTTCTGCGGACGGCGCGGACGTTGGACCGCTGCCCATATCGCCGCATGTCAATGTTCCCAATACTCACACGTTCAATCACGTGCCGCCGCCTCTGCCGCCGCGGATCAAGCGGCGAGAGCCTCTCGAGGGCGCCCAGAGTGCGCAGGTGAAGCAGGCGCCGGACGCGCCGCAGCTTCCGCCACGGGATCTCAGTCCGCCGCCCCTGCCGCCGCGCCACCACCTCGCGAGGGCGCAGCCGGAGGCGGCGGGTGTGTACAATAACTACAGCGACTCCTCGGTGGAGACCACGCCGAAGCACCATCTCATGCTGCCGCACACGAGCACCATCATGATGAGGCGCAATTCGGCGCTGGACCGCAATCACGGGAAGGCCGCCGGAGGACTGCCGTCGCCGCCGGTCTCGGAGACCAGCGTGGCGGGCGCGATTGGGCTCAAGATTGCCGGGTGAGTGCGTGAACAGCAATTGTGTTATTGTAGTCTTCGGAGCATTGTCGAGAGTTTCCTTGCAAAATGCACGAAAATACTTTGATTTTTGGTTTGCGAAATCGAAGATCTACTCAGAATGCAAGCCAAGTTCCAAGTATCCTTGCTATAAAAGCGATTTAGTCTAACAATCAAAGGTCGTGGCGTAGAATCTTGTTTAAAAATGTTTCAACGCTGCTCCAGAGTTGATGTTGACTCGTTATTTACCCTGATTTCTGTAACTGAGGGGAGTTTTGTCTTTCAGTTCCACCCTTTTACCTCATGTGGTGATACCAAAATTACCTCCGAAGCCGAAACCACCAAATTCTGGTGAGTGTTAAGTTGTCCTTCAGCGTGAATTGCATGAATTTGACTGTGATTTCTTCTCTAGCGGATCGTCAAACGATGTTTTCATATCCTGGAACGACAAACTTTGACTAAACAACAAGGAATGGGGGTGAATTTCAATGTGTAATGTCTGTTGAGGGGTGTTTTATTTTTGTAGCGAAGGACGTGAATCAGATGAAAGACCAATTCATGGGTGGATTTGTGAAGAGAAATTGTGTATTTCTTGCTCAAAGAGCCATCCTGTGAAGAGTTAATTGTAGGCGTTTTTAAAGGATATTATGTGATTGATAGTGAATCAATTGACAAGAGAGAAAGAGAGAGAGAGAAAGTGTTTGTATAAAAGGTTTAACTAGAATTGTGTTGGTGAGAAGATAGTAAAATGCATTTAAAGATCGTTCTTTGTGGAGAACTTGAGGGTGGGAAATACATTTAAACAAAAGTGTTATAATCAGGGATAGAAAAGAGCCCTTAAAAAATAATTTAGATGCAGGTGAGGAAAAATAATTTGATATGCCAAGTAATCTTTTAAAGAGAAGAAAACACCACACAAAAAAAAGGTGTGAAGAAAGAAAGAAAAATGTGCATTTTATTGTCAATGTATTTGTAGAGAGATTATAAACAGAAAAAAAAACATGAGTATAATTGTACATTTGTGCGAAGTGAAAATTCTTGCAGAAAAGAACATTCGCAGTAAAAATGAGTAAATTTGTTGTAAAATGTATTATAGTTGAGAGAGACAAATATAAATGAATACAAACAGGACAAATTGTGCGATTTTGTTAGGCGGTTCAGAGGCGGCGCACGCACGCTTGGCTGCCCTTCGTGCTGCGATCCTTGATGAAGCCTGCGTTGCAGATGCAGAAGTTCGGTCCGGAGCAGACGCCATTGGGGCAGCCGGCGGGGCAGTGGGGCATGCACATGTAGCCGTTGGTGGGGTGCGGAAGGTATCCGGCGTGGCAGGTGCACTTGTTGTAGCCCGTGCAGTAGCCATTGAGGCAGGCGGAGTCGCACTGGACGCCCTCGATGCAGAACTTGTCCGTGGGATCAGGAACGAAGCCCTTGTTGCACTTGCAGCGCCCGTTCGGCTGGCACTCGCCGTTGCTGCAGCCGATCGGACACACCGGGATGCACTTGCCGTCCAGATCGACGCCGTAGTCTGGGTAGCAGGCGCACGTGTCCGGCGCCACGCACAGGCCGTTCTCGCAGGACCGGTGACAGATGGGGTCGCAGAGGCGGAAGTTGTGCGGGTTGCGCTCGTAGCCGGTGCAGCAGATCTGGATGCGGCTGAGCGAGGGATTGGAGCCGTTGCCGGCGGGAATATTGCCGCGTGGGTTGGCCACGAGAGTGACGGTGCTGGAATGAGAATGAGGGAGTCGAATCACGTTCACACTGTCTCGATCGGCGCAGATAAGAGGTGAGAGATGCGATCTTGACTCCTGACTCGACCGAATGGCGCACTTCAGTGGAAGCATCGGCCTTGATCTCTGACTGGAAAGGGGCTCAGGCGCGATCTAACCATGGCTCTGGCGTAAGGGGGAGATATTAGGACTAAAATCTGCACGTCAAATTGTCTTTTCCTCTTCTATCACGCCTTAGACTTCTTGATCTGTTTAATGTTTGGATTTCAAACTCAAGACATTTCCTTACTTCTCTCAGGGTTTAGTAAAGACTCCCGTTGAATTCTACATAATTTTGGATCATTTTATCTCCCCCTTAGCGAGGCGTGCTCACTTCTAACTACCTTGCAACTGTCCAAGATATCAATAGAGATCGGCGAATTGATTTGCCATTCAAAGCATCCAAATGCGTTCTAAATTCTCATTTCAAATATATCCAACGTCTCAATTCGAAGCGTCAGTGATCGATATAATTCTTTACAAAAGCGCCGTGTGAAATGTGAATTATGCAAAATGCTGAGACGCATTGCGAAAACTTCCACTTCAAAGAGGCACACACACAATACCCCAAATCTCTCAATTCGTCTTATTTTATCATGGAGAGCATAATGAACATCTGAGCAACTCTCGCCTCTGCTGGCCTTTCTTCGGGCCCATAAAATAGGCTGAAGAGTGCGCGAGAAGCACGGCACAAAAGAGGCTGAGATTTTAATTATATTGGCGTTACGAGCAATTTCAATCAATTAATACACAAGTATCAAAAGTCCAGTGATTGTGGCTGTGGTCGTGTTTCGCAAGAGCGTGAAATTTTCATAAAAATATCATAAAGATGGTGCAATAGTTTGTCATGTGAGGAAAATTGCCTAAATCTGCTTCGTTTATCACTATATTTTTGTCTCTTTGGATATGCACGTGAAATATCGACTGCGTGGAGATGAACATTTCGTGCTTCTGACCCAATTTGTCATGCTTTCTGGTTTGTTGGTTTTTCGGTTATCACGCAATTTCGAGGTCGTATTATTTCTTCGTGCACACTTTCCGTGGGTTTGCATAAGGAAAGAAAACAAAATTGTAATAATGTGAAAACGGCGCGCGATGACATTGAGAAGGGAAATTAATCAGAGGCGTGAAAATGTGTAATTTAGGGACAATTTTGCAAGATGTTGCGAAATGTCTCTGACTTACGGCACTTCCTCGTAGCAAATTCCTCTGCTCATTTCTTGGCGCGTCTTGTTGAGAAACATCTGCGTTCTGTTGGCGGCATTCCTCCAGGAGTCCGTGATGTCCGTGAGATTCCTCAGCGAAGGATAGAGATGCGTGTTGTTGTTCGCTGGAGTGGCGAAGATGGTGGTATTCAGGGTGAGATTGACTGGCACTTGGTGCGTCTTCACCTGCGGATGGCACAAGACCATCGGAATGGCCAGGCAAATCACAATGCAGAGGACTTTCATCTTGTGCCTTCTTTTCGCGCTGAACTTCACAGAAGAACTGAGGCGATGGAAGAAATTGTGGCGGAAGAAGTGCGCTGATTAATCTCATGGCGGTTTCCTAATCTCGCCTTGAATATTTTGCTCGCATTTTGCGATTTCCTCTCGGTTTTATCGTGTGGCTTTATCATCTCTAATGCCTTCTTGCAGTCACAATCGCGAGAAACAACGTTTGTAGTTTTATTAGCATTTTTATTTCAGTTTTTTGAGACATTCCCTGGGCACTTTCCGGAGCTTCAGACGCACTTCAGACATGAACAACATCGCTGGTAAAGACGGGATACTTGATCTCGTCGTAGAGATGCTCCCGCGTGGATTGTGCGGAGGATTGCGAGGCGGAGGACGGGTAGCTGTACGTGAAAGTGACTTCCTTGGGCTGCTCCGGCGGAGAGTCCTCGTAGTGCAGAATTGGACTCTCGACAAACTGCACACTCTTCCGATGTGGCGACGTCTTGCTCTTCATGTCCACAAAGGGAATCTCTGGCAGAGGTTTATTCACTATCTTTCCACCCAGTTCATCCTTGGCCTGAATACTGGCATTGCTGTCTGTGCTGGAGCGTCTTCCCGGATGGTTTTCCAACTTGCGCTTCCAGTACAGCAAGACTACGAAGAGCAGCAGAAGAATCACCGACAGGAAGACACTCGTGGCGAGGAGGACAATCGTGCTGCTGTCGCTTCCACTCTCGCTAGCGCCTGGAAAATGAGGAAAAAGGGCCACATTAAATATAAAGAAAATCCTCCTGGGTTCTTCCACTTTTACCAGCATCGCTGCTGTTCCTCACGAGCGTGCCATTGAGATCCCAATTGCCGAGGACGACAATCTCCGAGCCTGTGCCCACTTCCAGCACGTGATCGCCGGCGGGAACGACACTCTCGTGCGTGATTACAATGTCCGGAAGTGGCGTGCGAAGCTCCATGAGAGAGATGTCGCTCTGAGTGGTTGTGTTTAGCTGCTGCTTCAGCTTCTCTATGTTGTCCTCCAGAGTCACCAGTGTCGAATTGAGGTCCTCAATGGAGGCTGAAGCGTTCTTGGGCAGATTCTCTGTCACTGGAATGAGCTTCAGGGGTGTTGTGGATGCTGTCGAAGCCTCTGCCAGGAGAAGTTCGCATCTGCAAAGGAGGAGATGTGAATCAGAAGGAGTCTGGACACTTCTTCGGCATCTTATACCCATTTCCTGTCCATCCGGGAAGACACCTGCACTCGCCTTTCTTGCTGTCGCACAGTCCGCCGTTCAGGCAGCCGGGATTGCAGACGCACATGCCCGGCTGATGGCAGTAGCCGCGGCGGCAGCCCTCCGGACAGATTGGCTTGCAGATGATCTCGTTGGCCTCGGTGACCTCCTCATAGCCATCGCAGCAGTGCTCCACGAGCCGCGTCTTCGTGACGTTCTGTGCGCAAATTGGGGAATTCGATGGGAAAATTAGCCATTCATAATTACGTGAGAAATTGAACTGAAGAGAGCGCGTTGTTATGCAAAGGCGAATATTTGCTTCCGTTGCTTGGGAAGATTCATCGGCCATTGCAACACCGCAACTCGTGACAATTTTAACATCGATAAAATGTTGGCCAATTGCCCACGAGATGCACCATTATGCCGTCGCGGCCTTTCGGTCACAGACGCGCGCAAGAACGCGAGAGTGTGAGACCGATGATCGTATTTCTAAGTGGCTTTCACTTTTGTTCCGGTGACGCTGGGGCATTTAATAAATGGATTAGGCGCTCTCGAAGAGATTCCAAAAGACTCTCGCGCGATTGTGTAATGCTCTGCGCGCCATAAATGTTACGGGGCTGCGCATTTGATGACTTCTCTCGCGGCGCGTTATGGGTCAACATTTTCGCCACTGTGCGCGGGAAGATTTTATTCTCAAGATTGTGGTGCTTGCGAGACTCCCACATTCTCTCGAGAATTGTGTGGCAAATTCCCTCAATTGGGCGAGAAATGTACAAATTAACACCCTCATCTTTCGTGCGCTCGTGTATTCTTGCAAGAAATCTCTCATGCGAGCGCAGCATTCAAATAAGACATTAAATGTCGCGCGCGCGCGCGGGACTCAAACGCGGGATGAAAGTAAAAGTTGCCGGAGAAACAAGATCGTTACGCGCGAGAAATGGTGAAAAGATCCATCGACACAGTGTCGGGTTGCGCGCGCGGAGAAAATGTGGAGCTCGATGATCACGAACAATACCTGCCACTTGATGATTTCCTTCATTTCCGTGCGATAGTGGGCGCATCGCGGTGGGAATTCCAGGCACCACACGTGAGACCTGATCCGCACCGGCTGCGTTACTCGTCTCTCCTCGAGTTCTGTGAAGCTGCAAAAAGGAGGATTAACGCTTAGCAATGCGCGGAGGCAATTTGGCGCGAAAGTCCAGCACTCACTTCTCTTCGCGATAGCAAACATGATCGAGAACACTTCTGTGCGTTGTTGTTGACGTCCCATCATCGCCATTCGTCACAAAGTGTCCGAGCAGAGCGACAGCGATTGGCACAACGAGTGCGCGATAGATCATCATTTATCGCGAAAGATCTGCAGCCAGGAATCAGTTCACGAATGCACAAATCATGGCGACTCACCAGTCTTTCGAAACCTACTTCACACGCAGTATTTCTTCACATTGACATTATCCAATTATAGGGGATTATGGGCTGCATGAAACATAAATTTGTCAACTAGACACTTCCGGTCATCCAGAGTGCGACATCACTCAGGGCCTTTTTGCCCCTCGCGACGCTCTTGCACAAAACTCTCTCTCTGTTTTATTCTCAATTACAACCTCTCACGAAACAATTAAATCCGCCGCAATAATCTGACGCCGCAATGAGGCTTTCCCAATTTGTCGTGCACACACGCAAGAGCTTGGCAATCACGACGGTGTCCCAGACGTGGCGAGATCTTTCCTGGTGAAGATCCAGAATGTGACTGAGAACGATGTGTCTCGAGGAGGCTGTTCTAAGTGCCAGACTAAGGGGGAAACTTCCAATCTCCGTCCTTTGGCAGTGCAGCGACGTGGTCATGAAATTGACGACCAGTCAAGTACCTTCCAGCAACAAATTATACAATTTCATATTATAGTGTCGCACAACACAATCAAATTAATCCCCATTGAATCACACAACTGAATCTCTCTGTCATTCACGGAGTGAGTGTAAAATATATCTTTATTTTTCCTTTTCTTTGTTGGCCTCGCCAAGTGTGGGCTTTGGAAGAGATTTAGTGCAATGCGATCTTATATTTTGATACAATTTTGGGGTGTTTATTTGTGATTAGCAACGTGAGATACGAACAGAATTTAATCCACTTCGATTCTTCTTCCATTTCCATTTGACAAGATGGTTAATCCTCTTCAAACCACTCACCAATTCTTCTGCTGTGGGCGTTGAAGAAGTGCTCAAGAAGAGACATTCGAAATTGGGTGCAAATGAGAGTGTTTCAAAATGCAATTTCCTCTGCAATCGCGCCTCAATCGAACCGCACAAATACGGGTCGTTAATGAAGTCTGTATAAGATTGCATTGAGATTGATTTTTCCAACAGTTTATTCACTCACTCGCACTCACTCTCATCCGTACTTCACCTTCTCGCGAGACTCACCTCCAAGTTAACAAACATCAGAATGGTTTATTTTTCCTCTCTATGTTCCTACACAATATTTTAGCTTGTTAAATTATAGACAAGATTACAGACATATAAACATTAAATTAAATAGATAGACGATATATGGAAAAGTCACAGAAGATCGTTTGAGAGCTTTTTGCCCGAAGGACGACGCGTTGTGACCTCACGCGACAATCAGGGGCGTCGAAATTTCTTCTCTTTTTATTCATATCTTAAATGCATCGACGAGAGACAATACACACTGAACTCATTGAAGATTGAGGCATAATTTATGCAATATTTCAATGACTCGTCAGCGAAACATGCGGCAAAAGTTTCCAACAATTGAGAAAAGGGAAAATATTTCCCACATTTTAGCATAATTCACTTTTTCTTGATGAATTACTTCTCAAAGGCATTCCCAGAGAGATTTTCACCCACTATATATTTTGACTGCGTGATGCCAAGAGAGCGAGAAACCCATGTTTTATACCGCCAAAACATGTTTGTTTTAATTGAGGAAGGAAGATATGCTAAATAAGTGGATTCTCCTAAGATTTGCCTTGATTTTTAAGATCAAGAAATTCCTCTTCACATCGAATTTGTCACATCGAATTGACCCCATTTCTAGTGATATTTCATTAGGAATGTGTTTATTCTTAGCTGATAGTGCAAACACGAGCCAAAATATTTGAATAACATCTCCAGTTTTAATTTAATATCTCAAATTTGTCGTGATTTATGCAGAGATTTTACGATTGAGAGGAATTCCTTGAGTCCTGAATTTGCATTCTTTGACGGTGTAGAATGTTTTGCATAAATAACCGAGCGTGATCTTTTGGTTTATCTCCAGCAAGATTTGCGATTGCAAAGGTCACTGAAACGCTGATCTTCCTATTTCTTCCTCCTTTGCCAATGATGCTCGGCATTTCTGATGGCTTTTTTGCCGCCTCTGTCTTCTTTGTGTGTGCCTCATTTATGCAGAAAATGTGGGTAATCTGTGACTGTTCGTCACGCGATCATGGTCACGGATGAAATGTGGAACACTCTCAAACTAGAAGTCGATGAATGCCAAGGATTCCCACCAGGGAAGCTGCGATGATGTGCAGAGAAGCTCGCAGCCTTTGGACGCTGTTGTAGAATCCTCCGATGACCTGCAGATTGGCCGTCTCGATGCTGTGCTTGCAGTAATCTCCGTCGTACATCCAGCCAACGAACTCCTGATTCCGCAGGTTCTCCTGCCGCAGCCACTCTTCCAGTGGCTTGAAGAACTCCCTGAGTGCCGATCCGTCCAGTCGACCCTCGCCGATCGTCTCCTGCAGCACTTCTCGCCACGGCTGCGAGGCCCCCTTGGACATGAGGTCTCTGTGCACAAAGAGAGATCATTACGGAGTCTCTTCTTCTCACCGCCATTGAGCAACATCTCAATAGCGCTTTGTTCGAGACAGCTTCCGACATTTTTCACATAAATCCCCGCACACAGTCGACAAAAGCGTACAGAATAATTGAAATTATACCCAGTCAAAGATATTTAGACTATTTAGTGCTGAGATACAGAGTAAATGATGCTGCAATTTCTGACCCAAAAAACAACACAACACTCAAATTACTTTATTTGCTCGACTTCTGTTTAATTAGCCGTGTTTCCCAATTTTCCACCTCCCGCCACTTCTGGCTGGCAGGTGTTGTGGAAAAGGTGAGCTTTGGAGTACGCTCTGAGCTTCTTGATTTGAATAGATTGAAAGAAGGATTGTGCAAGGTGTTTACTGCAGGAGCAGAGTTAATGAGGAAATAGAAGAATTTCACTGTCTCTCTAAATTGAAATAACCACCAGAAAAGCCTGAACCTCTGAAATTGCAGTGAAGGGATGAGAAAAACGTGATTTTCTACTGCAAATCTAGTCGTTCGTCAACTCTGCTCTGTGGCTGTTTAACTTTTTTCTCGCCACATTAAAAACTGCCACCTTCTTGTGTCCATTGTGACGGCGCGTCTCACACGTTTTGAGTGTGGGAAATCCCTTGAGAAAATATATTGCCCAGTGCAAAAAGCTACACTCTAATTAGCCGACTAATGCCCCTCATTGGAGTGCAGAAACAAACAGAGAGTGTACTTACTTGAGGAGATTTCCCGCCTCTGGATGGCGATAGATATCGCATTTGTGAAGTGGCTTCTCGGGGTCGCTGGGGTCAAATTGTCGCGAGGCGAGGCACATGGCGCGATGCAGCTGGAATTGCAAGATGATTCCCACGAAATACCTGTGTGTGGACGAAGGAGGGCAGTGAGAACAAGAGATGCATCTTAGAGCAATTTGCTGGATGGTCAGCGAGAGTGAGATGGAGACGCGGAAATGGCAAATGATCGGCCAGATTCAATATTATTATATGGTTTCTCTCAAACTAGTTCACTTTCGGTGTTACACAGTCATTTCGCCGTATCTCGGATGCCTTAGCATATGGGCAACAAAGAGGCGGTTCTCTCAACTGAGCTAATAGACTTCTTTTATTGCTCGCAGACGCGTCGCGACGGCGTGAAGTAGTGGTGAAAGCCACTCAAGAAGCCAGTGTGCAATAGCGAGCGTGCAGCAAACTTCCTTCAGCTGCTTCACTATTTATTGCACTTGCACTGGACTCTGGGAAAGTGATAAATGAGCGCTCGATTGGGGGAATTATTTAAGACGGAGAGAGAGAGAGAGACTTTGCTCTTGGAGATCAGACTGTTCCTCCTTTCCCTTCCTTATTCTATGGCCAAAGCACAAATGGCTAGTCGACGAAATCAATATTGTGTCTGTCGGCAAAATCTATTTATTTGAATACTCTAGAGAAATACCATCGAAGGTGATGCAATCTCGCCAGATCGCCTGATTAAACGGCCGATTGTCTGATATACAATTCAAATTTATACCACATAAATTCCATTGGGGATTTTTGACGGAAGTCGGGGGCCTGATTACGTTGTGGAGTCCACATTATTGGCAAACTGTTGAGGCTCACAACAATGATATGGGAAATAAATCGTGGTGTGAACAATTAAAAGAGTTCAGCGATGAAAAAATGGGTGAAAGGTGTGAACTTCTTGCAAGAATTTCGGATGAGTCAATCAGCTTCTGGAGTGTTGAATAATTGCATATATATGGGAGATTGCAGAGAAAACTCCAGCGCGATGGCGAATTGAGAGTGAAAATGTCAAGGCGCCAATTCTCTGATCTTCATTTCAATTGTCTCTCACAATTATTCACGGTTGTGCTGGAGAAGGCGCATTATGCAAGAATCTGCTGCTGGAGTCTTTGTCATATTTTGGACATTTTCCACCATTTATGTAAGATCAAGTGATCTCCTTTCTATCGCACAAGCGATCGCCCCGGCAATGCAAATATGTGATCTCCCAAGAAGATTGCCTGCGAGAAATGCCACACTTTTTGCCTCCCAGCCAATTGGATAATCAAGCCAAATTAGCTGTTTTTTTTTATCAACGACAACAAAAAAGACATTAAAGGAATTTTAATATGCATTTCGACACTGGCATTTTGTTGCATATTATAGCATATAAATGTTACTTTTAAAAACATTTAACATGCATTTTGTCTAATAAATACTATGTGTGTAATTGATTATCTATGATGGAAAATCGCAATTCAGCAACCAATTTCACGCTTCAATAGATCACATTCGCACAATTTGTATGCGAGGAAAATACCCTCTAATCCGACAACAAACACCGCGCGATCTTCATAGCAAATAGTAAATATTTAGGAAGAAAATATTGTAACTAAACCAATTGCATCACAGCAGTTGCTCACGGAACATCTTGAATTACTCAGCTTTCACTGTTTTTCGGAGATCAGCGAATCAGGAGGAAAAAATACTTATCTCAAAAGTTAAATGATTTCAATTATTATTATGGTCATAAGGCATAGTAAAACATTCCTTTTTGCATAGAGAGTATCGTATCACCTAACAAAAACCCCAGATCACGGCTGATCGTGAGAAAAAGTGGTTTGCGGTGGTAAATTAATCTAATATTAAAGTGTGGAGCAGCATAAAATAGCCAATTGTGCAATTTCACAGGTATTTTTCACGCGGCGCTCGGATGAGATCTCAATTCTTGATTGATCACGAGAGGGCATTTCTCCTCCAGAGACCCAGAAAAGAGAAAGGTCGTCTGCTGCAGATGATTAGCTTTAGTGTTGAAGATGGAAAAAGCCGTGTTACTTCATCCGAAGGAGGAAAAAAATCGTGAATAGCTTCAAGTTGTACGCACTTTTTTCTCATTGTGATCTTATTACTTAATTTGTGGTTTAATAGTATGTAGATCAGTGGTACCTTCTCTCTCACTGTGTCAATTCCACTTCGCTTTTTGCCGCACAGATGATCGTCTGGCGGGCATTTTTCGTGCTGCGAGGAGCGCCTTAGAGACACCTGCTTCAGCATGATCGGCGAGAAATGCCATCGGAAAATTGATCATCATAAGCGATTGGATAATATTCAGATATAATTCCATTACATAAAGATCATCGGCTCTGAATTGCACGAATGCATAAACGACGCATCGAATGACATCAAATTACCTTCAATGGACGGCTGAACTAATATCATTCATTATAGCCATTCAGCTCTAAACAGTCGATTGAAGCTCAATCAGATGATTGCGGGCTTTTTCTCTGGCTTCCATCTGCAATTGTTACGTCTTTCCTCAAAGTCTCCTATTTTTATATAATTGGACACCTTGAAATTCTCCCCATTCGATCTCTCTCTCTATCTCTGCACACTTATTAGTTTACCTTCAATTGAGACTTGCACAATCGCACAGATGAAGATGGTGCAGAGGCTACACGGAGTCCGTCTCGCGGACTGTATTCTGCAGCTCAAGCGTGGCCAATTGTCCCTCATCAGCTCCACTCAAGTGATGGCGTGAGCGCAAGAATTCTTTATCGTGTTACATCGTCTTCTTTCCGTGATCTTTTTTCCATCTCACCGCGAGTCTCTTTTTCTCCTCAATACCATCTCGCCTTATTAATTTGTTATGCCGTGCTCATGATGCAATAATACTCAATACACGTGTTTTACTGCCTTCTTTCCTCCCAGTTGTTCTTTCCTCTGCACACCCAAACATTTTTCCCCATTGTGCCACACAGCGCGCCCGAATAAGAAGTGTAACAATTTTTCATCTCCACGCCGCCGCGCACCAAAAGTTCCCACCGAGATTACAGATAATTGCTCCGTGGTGGTATTATTTAATATTTTGGGAAATATTGTTACATTTCGTTCCGTTTCATTACCATTCAATTGCATTTTTGCGATGCGATTGAAATAAACTCGCGACTCCCACAAGCCACAATTGCCATACAATATATCGCATACACTAAATCAGTCTCTTTCAATTCTGCCATTTCAGCGCCCAAGAAGGTGAAACATTGTTGCAATTTACCATCTCTTCACAGGCCACTTCGCACACTGAGCAACTGCATAAATCATGAGGAAAATTGATATTTGCTCCGAGTGACACCAAGAGTGTTTCACTTGCAATACATCAACTGAATTTCCTCAGCAATTGCCATTTCTGCGCCAAGAAGCATCCTAATGGAATTTAATGAACTTTCCTTCATGCCCAGATTTATGGCAATTGACTCGGGATTAAGCATAAGCGAGAGAGAAGGTTTTGCAGAGACTTGCATAGTGTTGGTTTAGTGTGTTTTATGACAGAGTTGACCTGGTTTTTAAGAGCACTTATTAACATTATTTTATTATTCATTAAAGTTTCAATTCTTTGTCATTCTAATGACTCTGTTTTAGCTAATTGCAAAAGATCAACACTAAATTCATTTGCAATCGCAATAAATCATCAAGCTAGGACAGTTGTCTTGTGTGCCAACTAAATTTCCATTCTTGAGATACAAGGAAATGAGACAAAACATTTTGATCAAAAGTTGTGTCCCCAAGAAGAATACTTTAGTAATGCAAATTCTATGCTGAAATTCCTTCTGAAAGCTTTGCATAAATCCTCCTTGGCTTTCCAAGCATTGAGACATCAAGTCTCGCAGTGAACGCTGGCAGAGCGGTGTGAAGGGAAAAACCTCAATTGACCCCTCGGAACTGAGCTATGAGCGGCATGTGAGAAAATGGAAATCCTCGCTGGCAGCCCGCATGGCCAAAGAGGCGAGATCTTGTTCGAGATGAGCAGCGAGAGGCGCAATTTTCCGTCTCTCTGCACATTGGCGCGCATCAATTAAAGCGCGATAAATGAGAGAATTAACCGAGGATCGGCGATGACATCACACCAGTGGCTGCCAATTTCCTCAATGATGAATTCCACCAAGCTGTGTTACATAAAGCACTCCGGCGGAGGAGCTTCTCTAATGCAATCAATCACGGAGAAGATCACCGCAGCGTGATTCGCGCGGTGCATCGTGCAGCCATAACAAGTAATGTCATCGGCAGTATACGAATTGCATTGCCGAGTAACACTATTCCCAGCCATTTCCACTTTCATTTCGCCACGGAATCGCGGCGCATTCGTGTGCCGTTTGAGTTGTCGTCAAAACAGCCATTAGCATAATTTTATACACTACCCAATAATGTGATATTAATTGTGCAATTAGAGCGGCACGAGATGGTGACGCGCATGCAGAGATTTTCTTTTGCCCACAATCTTGGGCGACCTTACAGTCGAAGGTACTCTGCAAGACCACCTAAAATCCCACTTGATAGAGCCACTTTGTGCGGCAGATTATCACACAATTTAATCCTTCATCGCGCAAGCCAATCAATGTCCATCACCCAACAAATGATCACTTAATAATCGCCTTCCGTATAATTGATCTACATTTTTGATTGACTTTTTCTCCCGCCAAAGCGACACACGCATCCAGGGGGAGGATCGCTGGCTTATTAGATGTGAATAATAAAGTACACAATTTGCCTTTCTATTTCAAGATCACATTGAGAGTTGCGATCAATGGAGCTCCTTGTTATTAGTTTGCTATTTACCTTCTAATTGGCATGCAATTCCCATGACTTATTCGCCCCTTGGGCTTCCTGCAGCACAAAAAGACCTGCATATTTCTTCACATCGCATCGCGGAGTGAACCCACCAGATTGTGTCGTGTTTTGCATATGGAGCAACAACAGGCACACAGCTTTCTTATAAATGACTTTTCACGACACTTGTAATTATTTTCATCGACATGAGCCATTTTATGGATAAAATGCGTATTTAACAATGTAATTTATGTGATGAAATGACACACATAAGAAATTCCTAATTGAAATCATCCAATTTTATGTAAGAGAGTGAGACAAACAGAAAACCAGCTCGCGATGGAAAACAACGCATAGATGAAGCATTATGCGGAGTTTGACTCAATTTGCATTTTTTGTCAAATATAATAATCCCATCCAAATATATCGCTGCTTTTCTCCATATAATGTCACGACTTTTTTCATCGCCTTGCCGAGCTTTGGTGATAAGAGTTGCAAGAGCGACACTGGCCATATGGGCGTTCCAATGGAAAAATAGGTGGTAATTAATGCATTTCTTGAGCGCTTTTCAATCGCCAATCAAATCAATTTTAACACTTTTGAACTGATCATTATGCAACGGCCGTTGGAGGCTACTTAACATTTCTCCTCCAAATGGCATTTTTTCCATCATCTCGTGCGCGGGGCAGCTTTTCCCCGCGCACAGCCACAATCCATGTGGACAATGCGAGACACTATCTGTGATCTTCATCACGTAACTGCACAGATCACGCGCACCGGAGGAGTCAACTTGTTACCATCACGCTGATGCAGAAAAGGTGTGCTTCATTGCGCGAATATTGCCATTATTCTTCCTCGGCAAGAATTTTCAGTGGCATTTTCAGATCGTGTCCGAAATCTGCGCGATGATCGTCTCTCAATTGTGAAAAGTCAGGCCACAGATTTTGACGATTGGCGCGAAAGAGAGATGCCGATTGAGACGAGAGACGTTGCGAAATATTATCAGAATTCCAGTGAAACACTCGTGACTGACGCGAGGGATTTAGAGATTTGAGAAATTTAATTTTGCCGAATGGTTTTAAAGACATTTTCTCACAAAATTACTCTGGATCTTGAGTCTAAAAATAAACTAAATGACAAACTCTGGTCTGACTTCCGACACTTTTCTGGTATTGCGATCGTGTGTGAAGTTCCTCAGGCCTAATCAACTGATTGACAACATTGTACGATAATACCATATAGAAAATGATCTTGCTTTACCTTTCGACTATGGCCGGTGAAAATGAAAGTGCGGCTATTGCAAGAATGTCGTGCGATCATCAAGAGATGCTTGACATTTTTCTTGCAAAACAACCCAAGAGTGTGACAAACCGGAAAAGTCGCGTTTGACGAAAGATGACAAACGCAGTGAGGAAAACGATTGATCGATAGCGATCAGCCAGATTTTTCTCTCTTTTATTCACTTAATTGTGAATTATTGCATGGGAATTGTGGGGAGGAAAAAAAATTCGAGTCAAGTACAAATGCGGCGAAATCCGTCCCATAAATCAAAATGTAAAGCGATCTTTCATAGACACATTAAGAGGAGAATTGTAGATCGCGAGAGAGACTTCTGCACGCCGCGCTCATGTTATGGCAATAAGACAAAGTACTTTTAATTATTTCTTCGGGTTGTTTTGAAACCGCAGACAATATTAGGTGCTCGAGTGTCTTTTCGGCAGCTTCGAAAATCGACTTGGTGACCTCAAAAAATTGCCCCCAATTTGCATATTGATCAATAAGACAAATACAATGTTGAATTTAACGTTTTTCTCGTGCAAGCGCGCATTTTTCACCGTCACGACGATTCACAAACTGTGTTGTTCTTTTGTGGGAATATTATGAGATGGATACTTTTTCATCTTAGGAGGTGGTGCTGACTCTTTATCTCCCTCTCACTCTCCGGCCAACGTTTGCATTACAAACTATTCGGTACACAAATGCACTAGATCATTGTTTCGAGAGACTCCCCCATTGTTGGCGCGCAAAAAACTTAGCCACGAAAGAATTGCAGTTAATTATTGCTCAAAGTTCGCCACAAGATTTTCGGTCTGCTATTCACTATGGCCACTGATCACTTTATGATCTTTCATGCTAGACAAACCGCGTCTTGCGAGAGACGCTTGATTCATCTCCAGCGGGAGAGGAAGATGGTCAAGAGCAAAAAAAGCTCCCCCCGTGATGGACGTATTAATTGGCGATGAATGACAGGAGAGATGCAGCACTTTCTGTGCAGATGCACTGACGCAGATATCGAGGATTTCTGGGCATAGGCGAGGTCAAATGGACTTCTTCCAGCAATTAAGTGAGCGCATAAAAATCTCCCACTGTAATTGAGTCATTGCCAAATAATGTTTTGACTATTTCAGCTCTTGGCGTCCATTCTTTTTTCTCGCGCGCGCGCTCACGAGGGAAAAAATGCACGCCAGAAGGTCACGCCAATGCGAGTGAAATCTCTTTTGTGTGCGCTTATGCCAAAAAAAGGCACAAAGGCGCGATCATGCCGTGATCGATGGCGAAGTCCTTCTTCGACCCATGAATGTCACGATCGTGAGCTTCCTGTGATCCTCAGTGCTCCAGTTCTGGGCCAGCGATCGAGCCTCCACTTCTTGCACACGCCACAGAGACTTCCCCCGCCGACGACGTCGACGAGGGGGGACGCGATCGCGAAGCCCGCGCGGATCCGCGAAATGAAAGTGAACTCATTGGTGGTATAAAAGCGGCTGGCGCGCAAATCTCAGCATCCAGTATATCGTCTGGAATCGTCCAGTCGCATTTTCCATCCATTCTTGCACGCGGATAGTACAATGAAAACAATAGTGAGTTGTTCTCCTTCGCGCCAGTCCAAGAGATCGCGAGCCCAAGGATTACCGTCTCAGTGCTATTCATTTTCACGCAATTCAGTTTGATCAATGATCGCCACAGATTACAATTTATTGACAAGAGTGTTTCGTGGGTTTCCGCATTTTTCTCTTTTTTTTAGCTTTGCTTTGAGCTATTAATTGCCAGGGAGAGAAATATTGGTTTTCCTCAAGCGATCACGGTTTCGATAGGAGCATAAATCACGCGACATTAAATGAAAGTGAAAAAAGCATATACAGTTCCAAAGTGATGAGGCGCGCTCTCACGAATGGGCGAAAAATTGAAATGAGAGCCACACTTGGATTATACATTCACGACGCACGATCATAAGAATTTTATTCGAGTGAATTTGGCGATAAAGAGTGAATTAAAATTCATGAAGTTCTTCAATACTTCCACTAAAATTCCGGTCATTGTTTCGCACCACACACTTTTCCCACATATATTTATTTTCTGTATTTTTCACTCTATTGCTTCCCCTTTCTTCTATAACGCAACGCAACAACATGCGCGTGACAATATTGTCAACAAGTGAAATTGAGAGCTTGAGACCTGAATAAATCATTGGGATTACTCGATCATACATCTTGGAATGCGATGGTGTCTTTGTGTCTGATTCATCGTCTTCTCTCCCCTCGCAGTATTGTATCTGTGCCCTCCTCCTGGTGGCCACGGTGCGCGCCGGAGAGACGGAGGACAAGAAGGCGACCAAGAAGGCCGAACCCCTTGAGAAGAAGCTCGACAAGCGTGGTCTTCTCAATCTGGGCTACGGCTACGGAATCAATGGGCTAGACCTGGGATACCTGGGCAGTGGCCATGGATTCGGTGGCGCCTACCACAGTGGATTCGCCCACGGAGGCTACTCCTCCTACGATCACAGCGGCTACGGCCACGGATACCTTCTGGGAGGACACACAGGTAGAGCCCAAGACCTGCACTTCCGCCAACATTACTCAATCTCTGGACGAATCCCTCTTGCAGATGTTACCAAGACCGTAACTCTCGTCAAGGGTGTCCCAGTGCCACATGTTGTGGAGAAGCACGTCCCAGTTGTGCACGAGAAGCACGTGCCCTACCCCGTTAAGGTGCCAGTGCCCCAGCCCTATGAAGTGGTGAAGCACGTCCCAGTTCACGTTAAGGAGTACGTCAAGGTACGTCAACAAACGCCATTCTTTTCTCACGCAATAGAGCTCTTTGTCCTGGCGGATTGTCACCCAAACTGCTGACTGTCTTTTGCACGAAGGGAAGTTCGGCCAGGATTCAGGGATATTTAGTTTTTCTTCAGTGCTATTTTTGCACATTATTTGTCAAGGAAATTTTTCTCATTAATAACCATAATCACGTGAAATTCGTGAGTCTGAGTCTGCTAATATACTAAAGGCACTAAATATTACTACGCTCAATAACTTGAAATTGATATTAAAGGTGCCAGTTCACGTGCCCCAGCCCTACCCAGTGGAGAAGAAGGTGCCCTACCCCGTGCACGTTCCAGTCGATCGTCCTTACCCCGTGAAGGTGCTCGTGCCTCAGCCCTACGCCGTGGAGAAGCACGTCCCAGTGCCCGTGAAGGTGCCCGTTCCACAGCCCTACGAGGTCGTGAAGCACGTGCCCTACCCCGTGAAAGTTGAGGTGCCAGTGCCGCAGCCCTACCCCGTTGAGAGGAAGGTCGCCGTGCCCGTGAAAGTGCCCGTTGATCGCCCATACCCCGTTCATGTGCCCCAGCCCTACCCCGTGCACGTGGAGAAGCCCGTGCCGTACGTGGTGGAGAAGCCTGCCCCATACCCCGTGCACGTGCCCGTCGATCGCCCAGTGCCCGTTGTGCACGAGAAGCACGTGCCGGTACCCGTGAAGGTGCCCGTGCCACAGCCCTACCCCGTGGAGAAGCACGTGCCCTACCTGGTGGAGAAGCCCTACCCCGTGCCAGTGAAGGTAAAGATTTGCTAATAACTAATGTGATCGCACGACAAATACATTAGGCAACACATTTGCAGAATATTAATGGATAATTTTTCCTCCCATTAAAGGTGCCCGTCGACCGTCCAGTGCCCGTCGTTCACGAGAAGCACGTGCCAGTCGTGCACGAGAAGCCCGTTCCTGTGCCAGTGAAGGTGCCCGTGCACGTGCACACAGACGTTCACCATGTTCATGACGTTCACCACCTTCATGATGCCCACCACGATCTCCACCACGATTTCCACCACGATGTGCATCATCACGATCTGCACGATGGCAGCTACACCAGCTTCAGCGGCCTGGGCGGAGAGTACTCCTACCACCACTAAGCCACCAAAAGCCACCCCTTTCGAAATTGCCAGAGACGCGAAAGATGTCTTCTTCCAAACGCTCAACTTAACCCCCACCAAGAAGTTCTCTTTCTCGACCTCTTCCCACAAAATGAAATTCCCGGACTCTTCACATCCTCACAGCCTCTCGGTCCTCCTGTCTCCCACCCTCTCCGATCTTGTGTATAATTTATATATTTGTGTACCTATATAGTGTTTTTTTACCATTAAATTGTGTATAAAAAAGAGATGTATATGAAATAAAAGTTGAAGAATGAAAACAAACAGCTCGTGATCGTTCCCACATCGCGTCCTTTGCTTACAATACAACAAGAGAGCGAGACTGCGTTGCAAAATTCTAGTTCACATCCCATTTCAGACAGCGCGCGCACTTGCGAAACTCCGTGAGATAGATTTCCTCCTCATCTCAAGGTGTACCGAATGCAATTAGCCCGCTGAGCCCGAGAAGTGGATCATTTGACGGTTTATGATCGAGAGCGCTTTGGTCAAGTCAGGTGTATATTTTCAACTTCAATATCCTACAATTTATAAGGAGAGGAAGTGGCGCAATTTTTGCAACAGTTTCGCTATCGATTTGTCAATGGCGCGTTTACATCGAGAGCTCATTTGAGAGATTGGAATTCAGTTCCACTGATCATTTTATCACACATTCGCGAGGAATGTGGCTTTTTTGCCCAGTACTTTCTTCCTCGCACCTCCTGGCCATTGAGGAATGCCGATCAGGGGGCGAACGGAAACTTTCTACTTCACTTCAAAGCTCTCTGAACTAGTTTTGAGATAATCCTGTCGGATTATTTGATAGCCAAGGTGTTTTGTGCGCTGCAAAACAATCTAAAAGTCTCATGACTTGGTCTGTGACTGACCCCTCGGCAATCATAGCTGATCATATGAAATGTGTGCCAAAGAGAGACGTTCGCCTATTTAGTATGACTGCGGTTGCAGCATAAATATGTGCAAATCCATTTTTTTTACCGTCAAGTTATAATGAAGTGGAGATACAATAAAATGACTTGTTGTCTCTTTGCCTTGTCATAAGATGTTACAATATTTAATGTTATTAAGTTTTACAGCTCAGGCGTGTGTTGTACCGCAATGTGGTTAAAATCACACAATGCATCTCTAATGGGGTCTCCATAAAACCCCCCAATCTCTGTGTGAAATCGAAAGAAAAACCTAATGATCTCTAGGAAGACGTGTGAGTGTCACTATTGGAATAAACGCCTCCACGAGCAAGACTCAAAGCTCGCGCGTCATGAAAAGTGAAAAGCTCTCTTGGAGGCAAACTGCGTGGCATAAAAACTAATCCAATTGGACAAGTTGCAAAGTCGCTTTTTGCATCATCAACAGCTGCATAATTTTACCATATTTCGCGAAATTTGAAGAGAAGCGTCGCCAGCAATGTGACAGTCATTAAAGTGTGTTGCTCACATCCAGGTGAGGAAATACTGGCGGGATTTGCCCATCATCGTTCCCTGCATGTGACTTTGATTAGCAATTTTCCCATTCCAATAGCCTGAAAATGCCCTCACAGAGTGGCCAGCAAATTGCGAAAATCAATTACAAGGTTAGCCCGAAGCCGCACAATGGCAAATCAATGCGGTAATTGAGGCATCTCTCTCTGGCATCTCCCAATGTCTGAGCACAGGTGGTTGAGAGATGGAGTACAATTGGGAGAGTTATACTCGATTGCCACAGAATTGATTTTATGGACAGTTTGGTGGCTTGCGCAATATTTCTCAGACACTCTTTGAGCGTTGATGATTTCTGCGAAGAGTCAAAGAAGGTAATTTGGGGAGAAATCCGTTGAAGCAGGTGCACAAATTGGATTATAAATATTCCTAATAAGTAGCTGAATTGTTTCACGTGAAGATTTACTAGAGGTTTTTCGAGGATTAATTTCAAAAATATTAAATTTTGTTCAACTGAAAAATTCATCTACTTGTCGGCGTTATTTTTTATCCAAACGCCTGCGAAAATGTCTGCAATATTCCCATATGAAACAACAAGGTAGAAAAAGCACAAAATCTACTCAATTAAGGTGAAGTTTTTTCACCTGAGATAACACCTGAGAGTGAGAGTGAGAATATAGAGAGGTGGATAAAAGCTTGGAAAGAGAGACAAGGTTGCTCGTTAAGTTTTTTCTTCTCTTTTTTAAAATCTCAACCAACAATCACAATAATTTTTCTGTAGCACTTTTTTCCACGTCATCTCGTGAACAAGCACGTAAATGAACCTCACGATTTATCGTCACAACTTCTTGTAAGATTATTTTGCAATATAAAATCCCAAATCAAGCTCTCTTCAACTTCTTGCAATCAATCTTGATATCTGTTTGTGACTCTTTTTCTTCTTGTCTCTTTCTCTCTCTAAATAAATCAGTGGCAATTACCTGAGGAAATTGTGAATGGGAAAAAGTGCTTTTAATTGGAGAGGATGTGAAGAGCTGATCAATTGGGATGTTATCTTGTAACATCTCTTGTAACAAGTTGATCACGCTTGCGCAACAGAGGCAATTTCAAGCAACATAAAATCGAGCGATCGTCGCTTTTCATGCATCACTTGCTCCAAATTCACCTCGCGAATGTCTCTCGAGGTGATTATTTAATAATCTTCAAAAGCAAATATTACGGTTGTCATCATCCATCAACATTTCTTCGGTGCCATAAAATAATAATAGCACTCAATAGCGTGCACAGGAGTCGAGAGTCTCTCTCTCTCGTGAGAGAGATCAATTATGCAACATTTCGGACTAATTCCTTAAAGACAGTGCGCGGAGTACGAAAAAATAGGCAATTTAGCGTTACGAGATTTATAATCTTATGTATTAAATGCCTTTGTTGCTAATTGCAAATTGACTTCTAGAACAAACATTACCCCAATTTCCACTGCGAAAGGTCAGCTCCAGAAGACCTCCCTCAAGTGTACATAGTGATTAATTTTATCAATTTTCACGCTATCCGCATCTCCATCGACAGAGCCTGAAATAAAGCTCAGCTCAGCGTGCCGAAAAATTTATCTTGGTCAGTGACCTTATCGTGTTGTGAAAAGAAGAGATTTTTTAATGGTCGGATTTTAGCATATGTCATTTCCTAACTTGGAGCCTCATTTATGGCTTATGGACATTGTTATACAATCGACAATAAATCATTGAGATTTCGACCTTGCCTCCAATTTGGTGTTTTCCTCTCAATTAAGTTCTTGCTAAGCATTGCACATGTCCATCTACTTCTTCGCGTCGTTTCACTTTTTCGCTTTTCAACTCCTATGTTCATGTTTCATTATGCAAGACACAATAAAACAATGCCAGAGTTGGTGAGATCAATTTCAAACAGATTAAAGATTTTGATATCATTTTTGAATTGTAATTTCTTGAATTGTGACTAAAACTATTACAGAAAAATCGTTTTATTATTCCACTCGAATAGTGAAAAATTAATTGTTATTGAATAGAAACCTTTGTCTAGGAAAATCCTCTCATAAATTTCATCAACTCTATCAGCACGTTTAGCGATTAATCTGATCTCTCAGTGAATCTATCTCGCAGATTTCTCTGCATTTTTCAAGTTTAGCCGAAAAAAGGCATACACGGGGAGGAAATGACCGCAGCAGCACTTCCTCGACGGGGTGGAAACTCTTGGGCGGCATTTTCCGGCGCGACAAGTGAATGCACATAAATTACACAACCCATGACAAGTACATTGTGGATCTCCGGGCAACATAAAATGCTAATTAATTGATATGAGCCCGCGGAGAGCGAATGAAAATGCTATTATTGCCACTTTAACTGGCATCTTATGTGAAAATCTCATTTGCAAAAAACACACACTCAGCAAATGCGCCGCAATATTTCAGCAAACGAGAGAAAGAGTCGCTTCTCTCCTTCACTCTCTCACCGGAGAGAAATGTGTATGACTTTTATTGCAAACGGACTTGCATCATAGACGATGGAATGCATATTTCTCGCCGAACAATGTATGCAATTTATGGAGCACTTTCGGTGCCAAAAGAAAGCAAGAGTCAGCGGCGAAATGGTGGCATGGCTTTTAGAGAGACGTGATGTAAATGTGATGTTTATGGGTAACAAAAAATTGATCTCTATCGACTTATTGCATGATTACAGCGCATGGCCAGCGCTTTGGCGCCACTGACACGCGGCCAGAAATATTTGTCACTGCGAAGAGTGTGGCGCGCGGAAGCAGCAATTTTAGCACCAAGTCAGGTGTGCCTCACGCTCTAGCATATATTTTCATAATGTCTTCCCCATTTACCCTCTTCTTCTTCTTTTCACATGCCGCTGGACAATTGTGTACTGAAAAATGTGTGTCTGCGCAATTGGAGTGCGTTTTCAGTAATAGTGAATTCCGCAAAAAATGCACGCGGCGTTTTTTATTGCCGCATTGCGCACTGGTTTTATCGTCAAACCTCGTGCATCACCTGGTTTTATCACTTTTTTGCGTAAAGGAGTTACTTAAGATGTGTAGCCTGAGGAGGACTACGAAAAGGCGTTGCATTCGAGTTTGACTATTTGGTAGCGACCAAGGAAAATTACTGACAAAAATTCTGTGCGCAATTCTCATTAATCTCATGACTTTTTGAAAGCTCTGTCAAAGCTGCATCTAATTCGAATAATTAGAAACAACAGTTTGAGGTGGACGGCATGAAAGAGGCTTTTGTATTAATGCGAAATATCTCATGAACAATTAATAGCCGCCATGGTCTGTTAACTATTTACACATACAACACGACTTTGTACAAAATTTATTACCAATTCATAATTTCACCAATTCTATTGGTTGTGTGATTCTTATGTTCATCACCGCGTATTTCCAATCGTAATGAAGAAAAAAAAATGCTCTTTTTTGCCATGCCTCGGATTATATTTTTTCTTGCTTTTGATATGGAGGAATAACAGAGTGTTATATAATTAAGCGCCGCTCTTCCACAGTTTGGAATATTGAATATTATACAGAGAAAAAAAACTGCGCCACTTCCGTTTCTTGCTTGAAATTCTTCCATAATTGGCATCTTTTGAAATAATTTACTACCACTTTTGTGTGCGACTCAACATCCACATTGTCATAAAACTGTCACCATTTCTTGTCTTGGATGTTATCTCAGCGGACATAACACATTATAATGCACACATTTTTTTTCTGTCTGGCGACGCTTCACGAAAAACCTCTGCGCGCATTTTGGCTTCTCATTGGGGAGAAAGCGCGTTTGGGGAAATTATATTGAGAAAATGAGATTAATTTATTAACTATCCAGGCCTGCATCAATGCATAATCCATACGAAAAATGAAAGAGAAACATTTGAGTACTTTTCCGGTATTGTTTTTGCCACGCGTCAATTGCTTTGCACTTCTTTTCGCGCGCGCGCCAAAGGGCAACCGAGAAGATGATATATAATTCTCTTACGCACCATCATTAGGCGAATATTGAGGAAAAACTCGGGCATTCGCGAGCACTGTGTGAGCTTTTACCCGGCGCCTCCATCGCGTTTTGTGGTGTGTTTTTTTTCCGCTGTGCGCGATGATCGACAGAAAATATGATCCGAATTATAAATTCACCCATCTTGCCAAGCGATTAAGAGAAACATAATTTCGTTATTCAACTGAGACGAAAGGGGATTAGGAAAAAAAAGCGGTTGTTGCATCACCAGAAATGAAACTCTTAAATTACATTATTGTTGTGTTGTTTACCATTTAAATCCAATAACGTAAAAAATTGTTTCAATTTTTTGTCCCTGTCCCTTTGAAACATTTTTCTCCTTCTCTCTTGCAAACGCGAGGTTGGAATGCTATTAAGTGTTATTTCAAAGACTGGGAGATTAGAAAAATTTCTCAAAATGCCATTGAAATTCTTCTTTCTGTCCTTTCCTTATCACGCTCATAATCTCACTGTCGATTAAAGTGTGTCTTTCTTCACGCCCAATCTCGCTAATCATATGTTGTGTGTGCCGAAAGCATATTGCACATCATATTTTTGCCACCGTGAAGAAGGTGTACAATCTTGCAAAAGCATGGCGCATTGGGTGTAGATAAAATATGAAATTTTATTGCATTTGACGTTGGCAGTGTTACGTAAGGGAAATATTTAATAATTAAGAAAAGCACCAGCGAGGCAACAATAAAAGTCTAATGTGGAGCTTTAATGAAGTTAAAGTGACTGCAACATGATGGAAAATAATAGTAATTTCAACCTTTGTATATTGAGTGACTGAAAAATTGTACCATCATGTTGACGTGCGCGCGCACTGGGAGTTTCCCAATTCAGGAAAAGCGCTCTTCTCGCATCACAGCCCCATATATTATTGTTTTGGATTCATCTTGTTATATAAAGCGACATACATCGCCCAGTGCACAAGAACATCGCGCCCAGTGAAAAAGGTTTTACACACTTTTCTTCACTTCTCTCTTTCAATACATAATTTTTCTTTCTTTCACTTGCCAACTCTCGATGGTCTCTCGCACACCATCAATTTTCCTCCCACCCGCCGCGCTCTTTCATTCTTCTTCCACTCAACACAAGCCTCTTATAGCTTATTTCCCACCGACAGGCAATTTGATAAGAAGAAAAAAATGTGCTCATAGCATTAATTGGCTCAGTTAATATGAAAATGTGAGCAATTGTACGATAATTTCGTATCTTAATCATGCTAATGGGAATATGTTATAGTAAAGCGGTAATTTACATAAAGAGAGCTCTTGTTAGACATTGAGTGAATCATCTCGCATGAACGCAGCGCGTCCATTTCCGCTATTTTTGCACATTTCACACACGAAATAACATCCATGAAAAATATGTCTTCATGCCGATGGACAAATTAAATTGCTAATGAGATAGGATTTTCCGAATCAGCTCCAAAAATTGCTCTCGAAAGGCAACAGATCATGTTTATGCACTTTCAAGTATATATGTATAAACTGAGGAAGGTTCAAAACTTTCCGGATCGTTGGAGAGAATAATCTCATTAGGACTTGACCTGCTTTTGCAAGATTTTTTTTAACACTGCAGAATTGTTTCATTGATTAATTTTCACGTGATTTTCTTCACATTATTTACGCAGAAATCCAAAAGACCATACATTTCCCGAAATGAATATGAAGACTGTTGGGTAAATTAATTGCATTGTGACCAACATTAAATGCACATTATATTGTGAATTGTGACAAGTGATGTTGTGCAATGATCTTGCGCTGTTGCCGTGGAGAGGAAGTCTCAATCTGCGTAGGAATTCACCCTTCAGGGACGATAATTCTGGCAATTTGGCCAATTTTCCCATAACACTCTAATGTGTAGAATCAGTGGGTTTATGGCTGAAAGTGGGAGAATATGATTGATGTCGATCAGTCTAATATTTCGCGAGGAAAATGTGTGCGATGGTGAGAGAATTGGGGAAAGTGGTGTGTGTTGCATGGAGTGGAACAGAGCCACTCATGGGTCGCCCACCGTCGTATAAAAGCCGAAGACATCCACTGAGGCACCATCAGTGAACTTGCTGGTTTCACACACGGCACACAAAACGGATTAATCTCCCTACCATGAGACTATTGGTGAGTTTCCTTCCTCAATATATATACCACTCAGTGTTGGATATCGCGAGTGATTTTGTGTGGCAAATCCGAAAAGTGGAATTTTCTGTGAAGTGTTCGTCGCCTGTGGGCGCATTGAAGTCTCCTGTCTCTAATGTCTCTGTGATTCCTTTTCTCATAGGGTATCGCGAGTCTCTGTGCCCTGGTCCTCTTGGCGCACGCCGAGGACGCTAAGAAGGTGACGGAGGCGGACAGCAAGCCAGCAGAGAGCGAGAAGAAGCAGGATAAGCGCGGTCTGCATGGCTTCGGGTCCGGCTATGGATCCCATGGTGATTTCGGCGGTCACGACTTTGGCGGTCATGATTTCGGCGGTCATGATTTCGGCGGCGATGATGGCGGACACGGTCATGATTTCGGTGGTCACGACTTCGGTGAATCCCATCATCATCACGAGAAGACCGTCACTGTCGTGAAGAAGGTCCCAGTTCCATATCCCGTCACCAAGCACATCCCCGTGCCAGTGGAGAAGCATGTGCCCGTGCCAGTGAAGGTTCCTGTTCCTCATCCCTATCCCGTGGAGAAGGTGGTACACTATCCAGTCAAGGAGATCGTCAAGGTGCCCGTGAAGGTGCCCCAGCCCTACCCAGTGGAGAAGAAGGTGCCCTACCCCGTGCATGTGCCCGTGGAGCGTCCAGTGCCCGTCAAGGTTTACGTGCCACATCCCTATCCAGTGGAGAAGAAGGTCCATGTCCCAGTGAAGGTAAGGAGAAACCGCGTTAAATACTTCTTCACTATTCTTTAGCGACTCAGTTTTATGCTGTCGTGCGCTTCTGTTCAAATTCTCAATAAGTAATTTTCGCACGAGTTTAGCCATACATTTACAGAATAATTAATATTTAATTCTTCTTGCGCGACAAAGGTGCCCGTCCCGGCTCCGTACCCAGTGGAGAAGAAGGTGCCCTACCCAGTTAAGGTGCCCGTCCATGTGCCTAAGCCCTACCCAGTGGAGAAGGTCGTTCACGTGCCCGTGAAGGTGCCCTATGATCGCCCAGTGCCTGTGCATGTGCCCAAGCCAGTTCCCGTCCACGTTGAGAAGCCAGTGCCCTACCCAGTTGTGAAGAAGGTGAGGAGAAATCTTTCATTACAGCCAAATCCAGGCTGACTTACATTTTCTGATCTTGTTCCGCAACAAAGGTGCCCTACCCCGTGCATGTTCCCTACGATCGCCCAGTGCCTGTGCACGTTGAGAAGCCTGTCCCTGTGCACGTTAAGGTGCCAGTGCCTCATCCTTACCCAGTGGAGAAGCACATCCCTGTGCCAGTCGAGAAGCACGTTCCCTACCCAGTGAAAGTTCCCGTCGAGCGCCCAGTGCCTGTGCACATCGAGAAACACGTGCCCTACCATGTGGAGAAACACGTGCCGTACCCCGTGAAGGTGCACGTGCCCGTGCATCACGAGGAACACCACCACCATCACGATGATGGCGGCCACGCTCTGTCCAGCCACTTGTCCGACCACACGCTGGACCTCGGCGGCCACAGCGAGGAATTCGGTGGCGATCATGGCGGTGACTTCGAGGGTCTGTCCGGCGGCTACGAGCATCACGAGCACCACGACTTCGGGTCCCACCATCACCACCACTAAGGGCTGTCAAGCAATTGTGATCATGTCTTGTCTTCTTCTATCACCTTCCTCCATAACTCAGTACCTATTTAAACATCATCAAGACCCATCTCTTCGTTCGAATTTCGCGTACAGATCGACTGTACGGCAAAAAGGCGAAGAAACAAGTCCTCTTTTTGTGTAAAATATTTTGTAAAAATGTTTTTTTTGTGTAATAGTTAAAATATAAACATAGTATTTTGTTTTTTGTAATAAAACAAGACGCTGAAAATACCAAAACTGCCGGTAGTTTGCCATCATCTGACTTCCATTTCACCTTCTCTTCGGCGGTGATTACATTTTCTGAATAACATCCGCAAATCTCCCTCGTCATCTCTCTCTCTCTCTCTTTTACTCTCTTTCGCGAAAAAATGGCACGATGCTATTTTCTTTCACTGCGAATGGTCGTTTCGTAACAGCGCAGCTTCTGTAGCCGACAACAAAACGGCCAGCATAGTTTATCAATCGAAAAGTGCAGCGCGTCAAAGACCAGCACTTCCTCGTTGCATGACGTTCAATAGTCTGCGGAGTTTCTAAAATTTCACGTAACATAAGATGCTCGCAAGACGCAAAGTTCATGTTCAGTCGATGATCGCAATTGCAACAAATTATTGTGCAATCGTCATGCAATTAGCTGTTGAAACTGGGTGTCGTCCCTCAATTTCCCCATACGCTCACTCAGAGGCATCGCAGAGTGAAGAATACTTGCATAATAAGCATGAGAATTGACTGTGTGAGAGTGGGAAAGATCGATCTCGAGAGAGTGATTGCTCTCAAAAGTGAAAGAACAACATATCAAGTGATTTTTACAGTGAGGCGCAAGACTTGCAAGAAACACAGTCTCAATGTGTTATGTGTGGCTTTGGTAGAAAGGCGAAACACTTTTATGCCCCACTGTGCAGCATTTGCATATTGTTATTTCCAATCGAGTGACTTTTTATCCACCGCATTTTCCATTGGAATAATTTAGCGATCAGTAATCAAGTGAGAGACACTTAAAAAAATACAATTTACCTCACACACCATTAATTAATAAATCCCCACTGCTTTTGTGCACGATTTTTCGTGAATACAGCTTTCATATGGCGCCTTTAATAGCCTGGGACTTATTGGCCACACAAAAAGGCAACTAATTTCCGTCTTGAGATTGCGCTGCATACGTAACGCTCTGGGATTTACCTCAAATTGCCATCTTTGAGAGATACAGTTCTCTTCAACCCAGATATTCATGAATTGCCTTGACCGCAGCAGTGAAAATGGAAGATTGCACTTACCGCGAGTAGGGAATGTTGGCCGGCACGTGGTACTTGGAGCCAGGATCAAAGTCCAGTTCGGAGCGCAAAACCGGCGGCTTTATGCCGCCGTAGCGCTCGCGCAGAAGCCACCAGTGGCAGTTGTACTGCTCCTTGTTGATCTTCTTGCTGAAGATGTCGAGGCGCCACGCCTCGAGGGCCAAGGCGAAGGGCAGGAAGACCACCTTGTCCATGGCCAGGGCAAACAGGAAGTTTATGTCGTGCGCCGTGTCGTCGACGGATTTGTGCACCAGGCCCAGCGTTTGCAGGTGACGCGGCGTTGACACGGACAGGCCAATTGCGTCTCCCACCGCCTCGTGGAAACCTTCAAGAGAGGCAAAACAACTTTCACTGTCGTGGTAGATTCTGCAGATGGACAGTGCAGCGACCGCGCCGGCACTCAGCGGCTAATTGCCACATTGAGATCAGTAGGAAAGTTCTTGTCTCTCCAATCAATTGATCTCATCATCTCTGCGGTAATCGCGCTAGTCGGCAAAAAACCGTATCGCGATCTTATCGAAAAAGATGAATGATCGCGATCGTGACTCCTCTTTTTTTACCCCTTCTTAATTGGTGCAGTAAAAAAGTGTTACACCAGAGTAAGTGGTTTAAATGTTGCAAATTATACCATTGCGCAATATGTATCTTAACTATTTCCGCGTGAAATTGAATAATAATTTGGCCATCTCACCTGGATTTGCTCCATCACGAAACACTTTCGGTAAGTTCCTGTAGTTGTAGAAGTACTGAATGTGAGCCATTTCGTGGTGAGCCGTGATCAGATCTTTGTGCGTCACTGTCGTACACATTTTGATCCTGTAATCCTGGCCGTTGCAGAAGTCCCAGGCGGATGGCTGGCACAGCACGGGCCTATCCGGGGGCTCCTCAAGCAGCGAATTGATCCAGAACTGCGGCGGTAGCGGAGTCATGTTGAGCGAGACGAAGAACTCCTCCGCCAGCTGGAACATGACCAGAGGCGTGTAGCCTTGGGCGTTCATGGCGGGCGTGACTTCCAGGAAACTCCTTCCTGGATAGGGTATGATAATATCCAGGATGTTGGACCAACTCTGGCCGTACATATTGCCAAGGATGTGATCGGGAATCGGAGCGTTTCGGTTGATCTTGTCTGGACCGTAGAACTCCCTCAGCTTTCTCCTGGTGTAAGCGTGAATCATCTCGTAGAGCGGCAGCACTTCATTCCACACTTGCTCCATCTCCTCCCGAAAGGAAAGTGACTCAAATGGGAAGCTCCAGTATTCCTCAGCATTGGTAAAATCTGCATATTATTATGAAATTAATATAAATATGTAAAGAGAAATTGCCTTTAATAATTACTGTTCCATCTTGCAGCTTCATTTGTTAGATCAACGAGTTGCTCGAAAAGCTCCCTCATGATTCGTCCGGACTTCCTCCTCCACTCAATCCAAATCCACGTGAGCTCTTCCCAATCTCGGCTCTTCGCCATGATGTCTTTCAGATGCGGTTGCAGGCGCAATCCGCAGTGGAAGGGCTGCTCATAGCCGCAAATCGACGCCCCATTGTAGATCACAAGCATATCATTTATCAGTCGATTGTACTGAAAGTCGCGACAGAAAGGATCAGCCGAAGATCACGCGAGGAACCATCGAAAGTCTCACCCTGTCCAGCTCAGCCGGTGGCAGAGCGCTGGCGCCGATGATTCCCATCAGGTTCACCTGTCGCCACAGGCTATCGTCGAAGATGGTGCTCCTGTCCACAAACTTCATCTTGTCCCAGATGGCGCGCTGGAACTCTGAGTAGCGCTGCTGGGCGGTGAGCTGCCGGGAGAGGAAAAAAATGTGAGACGCATAGAAACTTGTGCATTGTCTATTCTTGCACGCAGACACACAATGGATCACTTCCCACGGGCAAACAATGAACTCTCTCAGTTTGCAATTTTTCATGTCAATGTCATACGTGCGACAATCATACTCACTGCCTCCAGTTGCGTCGCCTCATTGACGTTCGTCTCGAAGTTCCACTGAGCCGCGACGTTGAGGAAGCACTCCTCGGAGCTCTTTCTGTCCACTTCCTCCAGATACCGGGCGATTCGGTCGTTCTGCTGCTGGTAGCCGCGATCCCGGTCGTATCCGTACCGGTCGTCCCTGTATCGATCATCGCGATAGCGATCGTCTCGATACCGATCGTCTCGGTAGCGATCGTCTCGATAGCGATCGTCTCGGTAGCGATCGTCTCGGTAGCGATCATCCCTGTAGCGATCGTCGTACGGATTCTGCCTGTAGTACTTCTCGTCATCTTGAGTGTAGGGATTCGATCCGGGATTTCGGCCTCTGTTGGCGTAGTAGCGATCATCGTCGTTGTTGTAAGACGATCCTGGATATCCTGGATTGGCGTAGTATCGATCGTCGTCGCGACTATACTTCATTCGCTCATCATAATTATAAGGCTGAAAGAGATGCACGAAGAAAAAGATTGCAATTAAGATTGGTGCACAGCTCAGGTTCACAATATTCTTCACTTAAGAGCTTGTTTTCAAATTAATAATTAATTAGTAATTAATTTAGTAAGTAAAAGTCTCCTAAAAATATCTTTTTTTCTGATTACGTCGGAAACATTTCTACTCATTTGACTAGCAGAGTCAGGCGTTCGAATTTAGATAAAATCAAGAAACACAGAATTTTATGGCAAGATATCATTAGTTTTTCTGGTTAAGATCTCATGATTCTCTTGAGACGCTCAAGAACTGCTTGAGGTTTCGAGAATGGTGCACAGATTTTAGCATTTCCCCCTTGGATTTGCAATGTTCCATGAAATATTCATTAATTCCTCAAGGAGATCAGTGATAGTCATTGATGAAAGCCTCACTGAGCTCATCTTCTGGGAAATTTCTCGGCTTGCATCGCTTGCATCAATGAATAAAGATCGGAATTGCGAAAGAGGATCGCGTGCGTCAAGATCAATTACCCGATCGTTGTATCTGCCGCGATCGCGATAGTAAGCGTCGTCGTTCTCGTAAGGAGGGCCGAATCTCTGGCTGCGATCGCTGTCGTAATCCCTCGAGGATCGCGCCTCCTCCTCTGGCTCGCCTGCATAGCTGTTGGGCAGCACTGTGGGCTGCTCTGGCTCGGGAGTCGAGGAGCTGGGCGGCAGCGGAGGCAAATCCAGCTGCGGCTTGGGTGTGGGTTCACTGGAGACACACACGAGCGTCAGGAAGATCAACGCACTGGCGCTAAAGCCACTCATTTTCACTCTCTTCCTGTGCAAGATCACCGTTTTCTGGCCGGGATAACAGCCCGCTTGTCGCAAATCTCCAGGCACTACTGACGACGGATTTCCCAGCACAAATGCGGGTAGCATTGTTGGCTCCTTTTCCCCGCTCGCGCCATCTCACTCAGGCGCGCATGCAGAATAGGGCGCGCACATAAACTTATCATTTATTGTCTCTAAAAAACAATTTCCACAAACGAACACACACCCAAAACATGCCACACTTGAGAATGTCGACGGTGATTAGAGGCGCGTGTGGTGGAAAATTCATTCTCAGACTCTCATTCATTTCATTTTCAATGTTTTCCCACAAAGAATTGAATTTTTCCAACTTAGAATATTGTGCAACAGCGAATTTGTTGGAAGGTCACTTTTGGCGCACATTTGCAATTGCACTCCTTCCATAGGCAATTAACAAGATTATGTGACAAAGAAGTCATGAGCGATCATCTGCGCTGCTCGTGATTGTTCTGCGCCCGCATTTCAGTGATGAATTTTGCAAAAACCCCACGAAGAGATGTTGTGAAAATGTGAGAAAGGGCCTTCAAAATTTGCATAGATTTGTGAATTGACTGAAAATTAGTTTTCTTTTTTAGGTGAAAGTGATTTATTAATGGCTTTCTGAATGCACATTGTGCTTAATTTCTTATCAATAAATAACAAGATTACCGGCGATTGCATTACTTGTGGCACAGAAAAAAATGTCTTGCTGGCAAAAATTGAATAATTGCATCTTCTCTAATTTATGCATGGCATCATATTGTTAGCTAATTTTCTTTAATTCAGAAATCCTCTTGAATTATGTGCACATTGAAGCGCAAGTTACGTGAACGTCCAGAAATCCCTCTTCGAATTCAAGCGATAACTCAGCGAAAGTGCGCGACTGCGTGCGCCATTCGCCGCGAGTGGGCGCTGCTGCAGCAACTCAGCGATTTCTCGATGGTCGCGGCGCCCTCTGCAATGTCAATGGTTTTCAGTGGAACTAAAAATCAAAATCTAGTGAAATCCGTGTTCGCATCGTGTCCAGCTAGAAAAGGCAATTAAATTATCTCGCGACGTTGAAACCCAGTGCGATGGAGTGCATCTCGTTCTGGGCGCCTCGAGCCAGAACCCCCGTTCAGTGAGTCGCCGCGCCGCCGTGCTTTCCTGGGTGCGTGCTTTTGAGGTCACCACCAAGTCGCAGCGGAGTCTCCGTGCCAAGTGTCGCTCCTCAGTCCTCCGGAACTGCCCGCGGGGCGCCCGAGAGGCCGTGCCGTGCCCGCGCGGGTAATGTTGTGACTGTCCCCGCTGCTGAAGAACCGCGTCGACCGCCAAGATGAACTCCCGGCCGCACCTGCAGAGCTTCCTCACCAACTCCCTGGCCATCCGGCAGGAGATACAGCGCTTCGAGAGTGTCCATCCCTCCATCTACGCCATCTACGATCTCATCGAGCTCATCCAGGACCAGCAGATCGCGCAGCAGATCCGCGATCACGTCGTTTGCATCGAAGGTAAGCACGGGGGCGCGACCCACTTTCCTGCCAGCGTCGCCAATGCACGACTCTCCAGAGCACGACTCCGCGGAGGAGGAGAGCGCGAGGCGCTCTCTGTCCCCATTCTTCGCGGAAGCGATCTAGGCCGGAGAGATGAGCTCCGAATGTCACTCACTCGTGGGGCGCCGCTCATGCAAAAGTGCTGCAATTCTCCTGCGTATCGCATTGAGAGCGACTTTATGCCATAAAAGGCGTTTCGGAGCTTGTTTCGGCAGCAGAAAACAGCGTTGTCCAATTGGCATTGACTATTTCAAGGTCATGCAGGATCTGCGACCAATAGGAGAGTGTTGCGCGATTGGAGTTCGAATCAAATTCAGGGTTTTCGTACAGGAATCATCCTCGTTTCTTTGCCAGTATTTCAGTGGTGTAGGATTGAATTTTCATCCCTCTGAAGATTCTTTGTTTACATTTCCTAATTCAAATTTCAATAACATTGATATTTTGGCGGAAAATAGCTGGAATCATGAAGAAACAAAGTCATTTCGACGAGTTATTGCAATTTTTAGCAAAACAGATGTAGAGAAACATGAATATTTTGAATGTATTCATGCAAATGCTTCCACTAAAATGCTTCAATGCGACACTTTGGTTCGGCTTGCGCCGCTTGTGCCGCATTTCTTGGCTTCTCGGAAGAAAGGCGAAGAAGCGAGGGAGTTCGCAGCGTGAAAAGGGCCGGCGAAGGACAAAAAAACAGCCTCCCAAAGACTCGAGTGCTCTGTGGTACTTCTTGCGTCTCTTCTGTCTCGTATGATTATCTCTCGTTGGATGGGGAAAAAAATGATTACGCGCCTCATGCGTGTGATTATTATTAGTGGCAAAAGTGGTGTGTTGAACATATTGGATGGAGTGATGAGGATCTTGTGTGAAGACATCGCGTCTGTGACGCCTCTTTTTACTTATCCGGGCGCACTTAAAATAGCAACACACGTCATTGTTGCACATTTGGGCTCTGTTGTGGGTTTTCTGTTTCACTGGCTTATTATTGTTTATGTCTATTTTATTGGTGGACGAATTGGGTGGAAAACATTTGTGTGAAATTGTAAACAAAAAACACAGCAAGAAAAATTCATTGAGAAGATTCGATGCCGAAGAGTTTTTTGTGGTATATTTGGTTGTGTGATTTAATGCGTTGTTTTTGGTCGTTCTGTGGCGGGTGGAATGCGTTTGTGAAGTTGAAGGATGAGTTCGGCTTGGGTCTGCTTTGCCTGTTGTCTCCTCAATTGTTCTTCTTCTTTGCGGATGGAGAAAAGAAGTTTTTTTTGAGAAGAAAAGAGTTCCTTTGAGGGTGAAATGACAATAAATTTACACTCTCATGTGCGCATCCATGAAGACTTACGTGCGGGGTTTGTGATGCAAAGTGGGTTGTGAGGCGCGACGTTGAGTTGACACACACACAGAGAAGGAGACTGACATTGAGGGTGGAAGCGAGAGGCATCAATTTATGTCGGTGTGTTGTTACCTGGGGAGAATGTATTCAGGTGTATTTAATATTCCATTTGTATGGCGATGGATTGCGCGTCGGCTGTTTTTAGACGACGAAGAAGAAGGGCAAATGCCGAGCAAAAGGGCGCATTTGTGGGGTTGTGAAAGCCCAACATTTATTGAGGGTGCCACGGAGCCACTTTGATGAGGCTTCCTGAATGGCATCTTGCAAGGATGGGCGGAGATGGCACGAGAAAGGAGAGAATAACAAACAAACCGTTCTTCTGGCCTTTTTTTATTCCGCACTCACACGGAATTTAATTGTTATACCCTGTTAAACTTTAAACAAACCTCCCTTGAGTCGTGAGGGCATTTTATGGGAGGCATTTTGCTCCGGAGTATATGTGGGATGATTGCAATTTGCTGGGATAAGAAAAGTCTTCATGTGAATTTCATGGTGTTTCCAAAAAGTCAAGTTTACTTCGCGCGCGATAAGATAAATTGTTGCACAACGTCCAAAAAATGGTGGTTTTGTCGACTTTTTAAGTCCATTCATGAGTCTTCAGCTGCCTTTTCTACTCGTTCGCAAGACAAGTGAGAACGCATTAAGCGCTAGAAGACGAAAATGAAACATGATATTGTGACATCTGTTCGCATTATATGAGCTCATATAAAATCACAAGAATTAGACAATTTATTTTATTGGTAGAAGCTTCTGAACCCATAAAATTGTCTCAAACCAGAAGTGAATGCTTGAAAGTAACACAAACACACACACAGAATCGTGGCGAAATTTTTGGTGAAACCGAGTTTGTCAGAGGAGGAAGAAAAAAAAATCAATAAATTTAGATAAAATTTGATGAATATGGAAAGAGTTTTATATAGAGAAATTCATATAGGATTTGATGTATAGAAACCGCCAACGCGTTGTGACTATCGGTGAAATATTAAATGAATCTGTATAGATAAAGTGGTTAGCGCGTCGTAAAAGCAAGTTGTCACGTCTGATTTATGTGTGCGTTGGCCATTTTTCCACCTTGCAAATTGTGCAAAAGGTGATAAGGGATTTTTTTTCCTCACACTCGTGAAAACTGATAAAGTCGGGCACAGCGTCAGGAGTCGAATGACAAATTAAGTTGCGGTTTTCTAATCAAATATTTGAACGCCCGCGAATTGCCTTTCAAATATTTTCCTTTTGCGCTTCTTATTTGCCTTTTGACTGACTCTGCGAGATGGTGTGATATTTTGCCATGTGAAATTGTGTTATTGAGGTGATTTTTTGCAGTTCAGATGTTCAGAAAAGTGATGTGAGTCGCTTCCGGGGATTCTCAGGCAGCATGAAAAGTGAAATTCTATTCTTTTTCTGCATATTTGACACGGTATTACACAATTTCAATTTAATTTCACCTGATGTTTGTGGCTTTTTCCCTGTCTCTTCGCTTTCAACTACACAAACGGATAGAATGTCACGGGAAGAGTGGATGAGAGTATAGATGGAAGATTAATGATATGAGTTGCCTTGAGAGCCTTTAAATGATGTTTAATGTTCGAAAGTCTGTAAAACATCTTAGCTCTGGACAGTGTTGCAATGAAATGACTTTTCTGGCTTCTTCCTCAATGTCTCCACACGGTTTTCTACACTCTAATTCATATTGTTCTCTTGGGGACTATCAAGTTAATGAATTGTCCCGCATTCATTTGCATATGCCAACAAAATTACCCGTTTTTCTCTTTCGAAAACACTTGCACAATGTTTTCCTTCTATTTCACTATGAAAATTTGGCTTTTTCCCCTTATAAAATGTCATGTTTCGTGTATGAGAGAGACTGCAAAAAGGATCTTTTTGCTGACACGATGTGCTCGAGAGTAATAAAAGACAAACGAAGCATGTGAAGTTTAGGTAGTGAATAAAATAAAATGTAAGAGCAACAGATAAATTTATGATGTTGTTTGGTGTAGGAAAAATGCAGGCTTTTGTGACATAGAGAGATGGTTTTCCTTTGGGGAGGAAAAAGAGTGGAGCTTTTCATGTCGCT